TCGGCCTCATCTTTTGTTTGGAATCGATCTTTTTCTCCTTACCTGCAGTGTCGGGTCCCTTCGGTAGATGGTTTGATTCCTTTTTAGTGTCAAAAGGAACTTTTTTGGCATTTTCGGGAATTTCCATACCAATATCTTTTTTGGACGGTTTCTCTTTTGTTTCCGTTTGAATTTTTGGATTTGTGGGTCCTGAGCTCTTGTCTTTATTTGTGAAACCCAAAATTTTTTCAGGCATACCTATTTTGTCTATAGGTTTTTTGTCGGCAATTTGTGAATTTTTTACGTTATGNTATTGTCGAAAGGAACTTTTTTGGCATTTTCTGTAATTTCCTTACCAGTATCTTTTTTAGACGGTTTCTCTTTTATTTCCGTTTGAATTTTTGGATGTGTGGGTCCGGAGCTCTTGTCTTTATTTGTGGATCCCAAAATTTTTTCAGGCATACCTATTTTGTCTATAGGTTTTTTGTCGGCAATTTGTGAACTTTTTACTACATGTTTACTTTTCGAATCTATGTTATTAGTTTTCTTTTTGTTATTATTATTAACTTCTTTTTTATGACCTAAAACAGGGTCGATCGAGTCACCAGGAGTGCTTGTTTCTCCATATTCCAATATATCCTCTGTTGATACATCAGGAGTCAACAATTTTTTATTTGGCTTCGTCTTTTGTTTTGAATCAATCTTTTTCTCATTTTCTGTAATTGTTGGTCCCTTCGGAAGTTTGTTTGATTCCTTTTTATTGTCGAAAGGAACTATTTTGGCATTTTCAGGAATTTCCTTTCCAATATCTTTTTTAGACGGTTTCTCTTTTATTTCCGTTTGAATTTTTGGATTTGTGGGTCCTGAGCTCTTGTCTTTATTTGTGATTCCCAAAATTTTTTCAGGCATACCTATTTTGTCTATAGGTTTTTTGTCGGCAATTTGTGAACTTTTTACTTCGTGTTTACTTTTCGGATCTATGTTATTAGTTTTCTTTTTTTTATTATTTTTAACTTCTTTTTTATGACCTACAACAGGGTCGATCTTGTCCTCAGGAGTGCTTGTTTCTCCATATTCCAATAAATCCTTTGTCGATACATCTGGAGTCAAAATTTTTTTATTTGGATTCGTCTTTTGTTTTGAATCGATCTTCTTTTCATTTGCTGCAGTCGTGGGTCCCTTCGGTAGATGATTTGATTCCTTTTTAGTGTCAAAAGGAACTTTTTTGGCATTTTCAGGAATTTCCTTACCAATACCTTTTTCAGACGGTTTCTCTTTTATTTCCGTTTGAATTTTTGAATTTGTGGGTCCTGAGATCATGTCTTTATTTGTGGATCCCAAAATTTTTTCAGGCATACCTATTTTGTCTATAGGTTTTTTGTCAGCAATTTGTGAATTTTTTACGTTATGTTTACTTATTGGATCTATATTTTTAGTTTTCTTTTTTTTATTATTTTTAACTTCTTTTTTATGACCTACAACAGGGTCGATCTTGTCCTCAGGACTGCTTGTTTCATCATCTTCCGAAATATCCTCTGTTGATACATCAGGAGTCAAATAGGTTTTTTGTCGGCAATTTGTGAACTTTTTACTTCGTGTTTACTTTTCGGATCTATGTTATTAGTTTTCTTTTTTTTATTATTTTTAACTTCTTTTTTATGACCTACAATAGGGTCGATCTTGTCCTCAGGACTGCTTGTTTCATCATCTTCCGAAATATCCTCTGTTGATACATCAGGAGTCAACAATTTTTTATTTGGCTTCGTCTTTTGTTTTGAATCGATCTTTTTCTCATTTTCTGTAATTGTTGGTCCCTTCGGAAGTTTGTTTGATTCCTTTTTATTGTCGANTCCTCTTTTGATACTTTTGGAGTCAAATTTTTTTTATTCTGCTTCGTCTTTTGTTTTGAATCGATATTTTTCTCCTTTGCTGCAGTGTTTGGTCTTTTCGGTAGTTGGTTTGTTTCCTTTTTAGTGTTAAAAGGAACTTTTTTGGCATTTTCAGGAATTTCTATACCAATATCTTTTTTAGTCGGTTTCTCTTTTATTTCGGTTTTAATTTTTGGATTTGTGGGTCCTGTGCTCATGTCTTTATTTACGGATCCCAAAATTTTTTCAGTCGTATTTGATTTTTTAGTTGCCTCTTTTTCTGTGTTTTTGGTATCTTTATTTTCAAGTTTACTTTTCAGATCTTTATTATTATTTATCTTTTTTCTATTACTTTTAACGTCTGTTTCATTACTGACAATTGGTTTGATTTTGTCTCTTGTTGTGCTGGTTTCACTATCTTCCCCTGATTTCTGTGTGAATAAATCAGGAGATAAATTCATTCTATTTGTTTTTGCGTTTTTTGTTGAATCGATCTTTTTCTGATTTTTATCTGTGTTATATTCCTTTTGGACTTTTTCCGATTCTTTTGTACTGTCTTTTGAAACTTCTATGGCATTTCTGGGAATATTTCTAGGTAGATCCTTCATGGATGTTTTCATATTTGTTTTAAAATAATTGTCCACTTCCTCTTGGATACTTCTATCGTCGTTCCTAATACCTTTTATAAGATTTGTTTCGTCTTCATTATTGCTTGTGCTACTATCTTCTGTAGAGCTCTGTGCTTTTAAATCCGGTGGTATGTTGATCCCTTTGGGATTTTCATTTATTTTTGTATTAGTGTTTTTTTTTTTTTTTTCTATCAGTTTTGTTTCTGTTTTAACCACAGGCAATTTTTTTTTACCCTGGCCTGTGTTTTTTTTTAAATTTCCACTTTGTTTACTATTTTTTTGATTTTTGTTCTGTTTATCTTTAGTTTGTTTTGTTTTGTCATTTTTTTTTTTTCTTTTATCTTGAATATTTGTTTCGTCCTGTTTCTTGTTACCGTTTTGTGCAAGAGAATTGGTCTTTGAATCTGTCCTCTTTTTTATTTTACTTTCTTTTGTTATATTTTCTTTTTTTTTTTGTTTTGTGTTTTTTTCATTCAAATTTTCGGCACTTTTGCATTTTTTTGTTGTAGTTTTTCTGGTCTGTTCTTTTTTAGGCTTTTTTTGATAGTTTTCCTTACTATTGTGCGATTCTAAAGTGATTTTTTTGGAATCATTTATTTTTAAATTTCGTTTAGAATTAACAGGCTCGTTTAATATTAGCTTCAGTTCATCCAATTGATTTTCATCGCTTGGAACATTATATTTTTCAGGAGAATTTGAACTCATCGATACATCCTGCGTGTTTTCTTTATTAATTATTTTTCCTTGATTGATGTCTGTTTTAGTTTGTTTATTTTGATATTCTAAAGTTTTTTTTCTTTCAGGTAATTGCAATGTTTTTTTATCTTGTCCTGAAATTTTTTTTTTTTCATTGGATTTCTCTCTTTCATTAGTTTCGGTTTTACCTTTATCCGGTGTATCTGTTTTGCACCTTTTTTTTGAGTTTATTGCTTGATCAAATGTGCTTTTTACATCGTTTTGTTTTGTCTCAATCACAGGTTTACGATTATTATTAGATATATTTATAGTTTTTGATTTGGAATTCTCTGGGAAACTATTGTTTTTATCTTTATTTATAGTATTAAATATTGTATTGTGTTTTGGTTGTATAATTTCCATTATATCTTGTAACTTTGCTTCTTCAATTTCGCTATAATTTGAATTATCCCCTATTAATTCTTGAGATGTAGAACTAAGGGCTTTTTCTACGTTTTCGTTCAATTTTGAATTTGACATTTTAATAAATTTATCGTGTGTATTTTGTTTTATTGATGTTTCTTTATATTGTTTATTTTTATTTTCAATTTCTTCAATTTCCTTTAATTTTAAATTATGAGCGACTGGTACTTTATTTTGAGGAATGAGTTGGCTCTTAAATTCCCTTTTTTGCCTTCTCACATTGTTTTTAAACTGTAACATATTTAAATCTTCTGTTACTATAACCACGTTTACATGGCACAGGCAATTAACTTGCTAATCAATATAAACAACATTATTCATCTAACACTCAGATTCTGAAGACTTTGTATTGTATATATATATTTTAAATTTAAATTTCACTTTTCTATTAAGCATATGATTTGTCTACTACTACATATTCTTTTTATATTTTTTTAGACTCCGAATCAAATTTTGGACTATACAAATTTTATTACACTCTGTTTATTTTAGATTCTGAACAATCTGAGAAATTGTATTGGATTTATAATGATGTTTATGTTTTTATTTATTCATTTCATAATACTATTTACACACTGCCTGTTATAAATGTTGTTCTTATAAAAAAAACAACTAAAGATCCTTATTATTGCATTTACCTTTTAAATCTAGATTATGAATAAGTTTTTTTTTTTTTTTTTTTATTTTTATTCAGTTCAAAATATTAGTAGAGACTTTAAATTTGTTTTAGATAAAAGTTATATTTGCCTTTTATAGACGTGGTAAAATGTCCAAAACATTTGAAGCGTTTTTGACATATTTAAATAATTTTTAACTTTGCGAGTTTTTACGATTTTAAATTTGCGAGGATTAAATTTTTAGACCAAACCGACTGCAAGATAATTTAACAGGAGGTTGATTTTAAATTGTTCGTATTGATAAAAAATTGATTTTAATGTAGTTTTTTACTTTATACAAATTTTAATATCAAATTTTGACAAAAATCGTAAACATTGCGGTATTTTTAAACATGTATAACCGAAATCCTATCAGTTTCGTTATTCATTAACAATGATTAATCATTGCATGCAAAAATACATTAAATTTCCCTCCATATCCTACATACCCAATCACTCAATAAATATGTACTTACGTTTAAATCCAAGCCCTAATAATAATATAAAATGTCGAAAATTAAATATTTTTACATATAAACATATACCTACTTGAAAAAATGATATTGGAAAAATTCTATACAATCCATATTTTTTGATTCGTCCTTGCTCATTTTGTTTAATAATATTATTTCTTCTTTTCCTTTCAGAAATATAATTTTGTCTCCATATTCCTTTATCGTCTTTTGAAAAACGATCACTTTTTCTAATATCTTCGTCATTTTTGGTCTCATAATCAGTATATTTAGTCTAAATTAACAACCACACATATTTTCATTGAAATACTTGATAATCTACTGATGAAAATATCTCCCTATGACCGTTATATGAAATTTGAAGTTTTAATACATGTCAATTTTTTTTTTTTTATTAATACCTCATATTAAATTTTAAAAGGTTTTGCTCAAGACAGTACTTATATTAACTATGTGGATGGGACCCTTTTCGGTCAGTCTCATTATTCAGCTATTTCATAATAACCATTTTCGGCCAGTATGCTGTTTGAGTCGCCAATGGAATCTGGTTATAAATCTGTATTTATACAATTATTTAGTATTTTAATATGTTGATTTTATAAAGACATGATATACTAAAACAAAATAAGTTGAAAATTGTATTTTCATATTTTTCAATAAAAAAACAAAAATAAAATAGTTTTAACGATTTATAAAAAAAATCTTTACTAATTATCAGAATATCGAGTCTAATAATTGTGTAATATTTTTAATTTTTTCGTATATTTGTCTTAATTTTAAACATCATACATATCGAAAAGAAAAGTTACACAATTAAATTGTATGTGTACTTGGTTTTTTTTAAAATTACAAATCTTATATTGGTAACCAAAATAGTTTACTGGCCGAAACCAGTCATTGCTCACATAGCAAGTAAATATTTTATAAATATTAATAAATATTTTTTATTTATTTTAAAATATATATTTAAAACAATTTAATTGTATTTATTTTTTATTTTATAAATATTCCAAATCCAAACATTTCAAAGTTTGATATTTGCATTATACATAATTTTAAATATTCTTCAAATATTGCTAAAATATATGTTCAATTTAGACATAAAATATTTAACAAATGCTCAAAACTAAATATGTATAAAACATTTAAATTCAAAATGTATCCACACACACAATCGCACTCTCTTGCAGCTCCCTCGCAGCGCCTCTGGTGTGACAGTGAAATAAAATAAATACTCACCGGACGTTAAATCGTCGAAAACATACGTATACTAGCGAAAATAACGTCAAAAATCGACGTTCGCCCGTATAATAAAATTCCTGATCCGAAAATAACAAAAAAAATAGAGAACGAGAAATTGCGGAGAAGACTTATATAGTCAAAAAATTCAAAGGAAATTATCGCGAACGGAATGGACGTTCAAACGTTAACAAGTGCTTAATTAATTTAAATAAAACTGTACATATAAGCACAAGCATTTATTAAATATTTGTAAACCGAAAATTATTCAAGTGTTTAAAGTTTTACAGTAAAATACAATATTTCTTTACACAACAATATAAAATATATGATAATTATTATTTAAGAAAGAAAATTTAATTTTAAAAATTTGGATAACTTTGTATAAATGTTTAATTTAAAATCATAATTAAATATTTTCAAAATAAATATCATTGAAAAATGCTGAATGGTTGTAGAATGGGCAAAAATTAACATTGACCGAAAAGGAAAAAGTTAATTTTGCCCGAAAACGGTCCCACCCAAACATGTAGGTATGCCTATGAATAAATAATAATACAAACTAATATAATTTCGTAAATCGATTTACGATTCGATAGTTCCACTATTTATTCGGTAACCAATATTTTGATAATAGCCTGAATATAAATCAAAGATTGAGTAATACTCAGAAATTTAATAAATGTTAAAACTTTCATTTATCAACCATTAATTTATCAATATGTTAAATGTTTAACAATAGAAAACACAAAAAAATTGATGCAACCATAGGCATATTAACTAATGGACCGTGCCCAAAAGTAAAATTATCTTATACTTATATTACTATAATATGGCTGAGTAATTAAATTATTATTTGATAATCAAAAAGAAGGGCACGGGAAGAAAAACTTAAATTTCTTGTTTTTTCCATAAACCATGACTAAAATTTAAAATCCTGTATAACAACCTGTCGAACTGTTTTTATAGATCGTTTATGCAACTTGGTAATAGTATATACAAGACACATCATCCACAGGTAATTGTCATTGTTATCATAGATATATTAACTGTTAATAAGTTGTCTATGCATTAACTAGTTAATATCTCTATAATAACAACAACAAATACCTGTGGATGATGTGTCTTGTACATACTATTACCGAGTTGCATAAACGATCTATAAAAACAGTTCCACCACCTATGATGTTGTACCGATAAATCATTAGATAAATAACTTTATTGTACCGATAAAAGCATGTACATTGTATTGTTGCATAAAACTTTATAGTATAAAGTTTATACAGTATAACCGTGATACCAACATAATAATAAAATAAGTCCAGATAAATTCCCAAAATTCAAATATTACTGTCAACCCATATTAGGTATTAATAATTAATAATAATAACAATAATAATTTAGTCGTCAACATAAATCTATCAATTGATTACAATATTACATAGTTCGAAACGATCCCGAAATATTTTAGTCTTGGAAGATTAATAAGTACTTCTAACATATATTCATTATCAGAATTTGATGATGAAGATAATTGTGATTATGATGTATTTAGATACATGGTTAATATATATGTTTAATTATTTATGCAACTTAAAAAGAAAAGATTAATATAATAATAATAATATTCCGCGATGATAACACATACCAAAATTTTTGTTGTAAGAAAGAATTGTGAAAAATATATTGTATTATCAGTTCAATAAAATTATGGAACTGTTTTTATTACTTATTGAACCACAACCAGGCCTTCAACTTATCGGTTCAATAAAAAATTATTTGTCGAATCGATAAAAGATAAAAGTCGTTACTGCTACATCCAATCACTTTGTCGAACTAATTTCTATATTAACGTTTCTGGTTTCGATAAGCAGTTATTGGTCGTTTATGCAACCCTGCATAGCATAACCTAACCTAATCAACCCGGTATTGTATTATGTTCTGCGAGTTTATGACCGAGTACAAAAGTATTTTATGATCAAACTAATGATTTATATATCTTTGATCCATCAAAACATTATTCCATTTTACTTCCTAATACCATGGATCCAGTAATTACAGTAGATGACAACTTGAACAACTACAACGGTTAAATCATTTTTAATACCTTTATGCAGAAATATTCCAACAAAACAATTAAACATTAAACTGCATAGGTGCAATATATTTTATTAATTTGCTTATACTATTTTTATTACTACGCAGATATTTGAAATTAAAGTCTCATTAATTAGTCGCGATTTGTTTGCTGAACGAGCAACACATATGTTCTCGCTTTCGAGTGCCGTCATTCGCGTTATTTTTTTCTTTCAGTTATTTAATTACATCAAAATGCTTACTACGCTCATCGGAAATTGGTAAGTGTCTACATAACAATATTAAGTAGGCCATATGCTCGTGCAACGGCGCATGACGCGCACAGCCATAGACGGACCTATGCAACCAGATCTGCCGACCTACGCAAAAATGAAAAATATTTTAACCGAATTAAAACGCGCCAATGAACAACTCCACCGCCAAGTAGCAGAACTACAAGCAAGTCAAAAACTACTAAAAATAAAAAATAGTGAATTGGTACCGGCAGCTAAATCGTCAAAATGAATTACAAAAATAGATAACAACTTAGAAAAAACGACCCCTATTTCTAACATATCAGTATCAAAAGATGTTAACGTAACTTCAAAAGTTGAACAAGATAGAAACAAAAACCCGACTAATGATAATACTCAAAAAATATATAAACCTCTACCAATAACTATCAAAGGCGTTAAACAATTTGATAAATTAAAACAATTATTAACGTGTGGAGAACCGGTAAGAAACAAACAACAATTCAAAGTTTTATCAAATGACGAGACGAGAATCTTAACAACAAGCGAAAGTCAATTCAGAAGTACAATAAAAATATTAGAAGAAAATACAGTTGAATACCATCGGTATCAATTAAAAAGTGAAAACCATTTCGAGTAGTATTACGAGGTATAAATCATGATTCCGATATGGGAATAACTACCAATGAACTGTATAACCAAGGCCACGAAGTAAGCAAAATAACCAATATTTAGATCAAGAAAGAATCTGATCCTAAAAACAAAAACAGCGAGTGAACATATATATGGTTACCATTATTCTTTGTAGATTTAAAACCACGGGAGAACAATAAAGACATTTACAACATAAAACTACTATGTCATCAGATAATAAAAATAGAACCACCACGTAAAAAAAAGAAGTACCGCAGTGTAATAACTGCCAAGCTCTCGAACACACACAAAATTACTGTCACAAATCGACTGTATGCGTGAAATGTAGTAAAGGACACAGAACCAAAGATTGCCCAAAATCTAAAAAAGGCAAAAGCAAAATGTGCAAACTGTAGTGAAAATCACACAGCCAACTGAAAAGGTAGCTCTGCTCTGCTTACAAGAAAGCAATGGAAAGAGCACACCCAAAACAAATCTCTGCTGTGCAAAGAATACAGCAAAAACCTGTCACAGCAAATGTTTCATACGCGCAGATGGCTAGCACTTAAAAAATCGACCCAAAAACATCTCAACAAAAGGGAAACGAACAATCAATAATTGATATTCTTAATGATATTCTAGTTACGTTAACCAACGTAACACAGACACTAGCAAATATCACAGCAAGAATGGACAAACTGGAAATAAATCAGACAAGGTCCAAAAATACCTCGCAGAAAATAAAGAAATAAACAGTACACTGCAGATCATTGCATTGAACGCCAATGGGTTAGTACAGCGCAGACAAGAACTTGAAGACCTTTTTCACAGTAAAAACATTGGCATATCCCTTATTTCGAAAATTTACTTAACAACTTAATAACCTTTTTTAAGATAAGGAATTACAAAATATATACGACAATTCATCCTAATGGTAGAGCTCGGGGTCGTACTACTGTAATAATAAAATAGTTCATAAAGCACTATGAATTCGAAAAATACTCTGTAAATCATATACAAGCAACAAGCGTCAGCGTTAATGACAGGAATAACGATCTCACCATTGCTGCAATTTATTGCCCACCGCAAGGAGGTGCAGATGAAATTAAGTTCGCTGAATTTTTCCATACATTGGGTTCTAGATTCATTGTTGCAGGTGATTATAATGCCAAGTATACTCACTAGGGATCGAAACTGATCACCCCAACCTCATCCTTACAGTTCTCTATGTGATGAAACATTAATTCACTACCAATTTGGAAATTCATTAAAAAAATTTATTAATGATTTGTATTCTATTTGTATATATTTCTAATCACAAATTCCGAATTTTTACAGCACTCAGAACCCATGCTTACTGCGGTGGTACTAATATAACATTGTATCAGCTATCCACTTTTTATATAATAGGTCTATTGACTCAAAAATTCCAAATTCCATATTCAGAGTGCTAATGGAACAGACCTCAACACGCTCATGAATCATTTCAAAAGCAACATTTCTGTCACAACATTAATTTAAAACAATTGCATTTTTATATTTTGCCGTAAAAAAAAAAAAAAAATGTTAAAACTCTAAACTTAAAATCAAATCAAATTATTTATTTATTTGGGTGTTAAATACTACATATATAAGTTGTCTCATGGATAATATGTAATGTATGGTGTATATTTTAAAAAAATCGTATTTTTATCTTGACAATAACATATTCAGGATTGGTTGATTTAACCAAAATATTATTGAACAAATAGTTGTCCATCGACATTAAATAAATTATCATTTATGATATTATACCATATTATTATATTAATTTGTTTAAACTACATAAAGAATAATCTATTATTAGCTGTGAGGTCTAGGGACGTATAGTCCTAATACGCTTTACCAGGACACCATTTACTTGACACGCTAACTACCTACCGCCCGGAATTTGTATGTGTGTATACTGTACAGTGTACCTACACTATGCTCAACTGGAAGTGATGGGATTCATGGGACAAAACCAGTGAGTCTAGTGTGTGGTGCATGTATTAGTTTGTACAACTATAGGTGTGTAGCTTAATTACTTAACAAAATAGGATAATTAAATAAATAGTAACTCAGAATGCGGTAATTACTGTCTGTATTCTTCTTCTCCTCTTTCGCCTTACTCCCACAAGTCAGCCACTCTCGTTCGAAACTTCCCCTTGACCTGATATCACATTTTGCATACGCCAGCTATGCACTTATCATTCTCAATCGCATCAAACCATCTCCTTCTCAATATTCCTCTTCATCTCTTTTTTCCAACGTTTATTTTTATTACAATTCTTACTGCTTCAGATTCCTCTCTCCCCATGACACGCCCAAACTATCTCCGTCTATTTTCTCACATGCTATCTACTATTGAAGCCACATCTAAGCTACATCTTATATGCTCATCATTTATCATATCTTCTTTTGTCATTCCACCTATCCACTCATTACTGTCTGTATTACTAGGATGAATTAAACAAAAATGGCCCTTTTAATCCGAGAATTAAATATAAATAAATCACAGCAAACAGATAGCACGAAAAACAATACAGATATAAGTAAATGAACGGTGAGAATCGGTAATTATCACTTTTTGCTCAACAGGCAATACTAATTTATAACGATTACTATTCACGAACAAAAGCAAATGTAAGGGCGCTGTAGTTTAATAAGCTAAAATGGACGTACTGATAAAATTATCATAGCTAATATATGAAAACATTTTATTTTTTTTTAGATTAATCAATAAATTAACAAATTGTATAAACTGTAATTTACAAATAATATTTATTAAAACAATGTTTAAGTCAATCATTAAATTAACAGGCATTATTAATTATGATGTGGTGGTAGTGACGTGCTCAGAAGGGAGGTTAGGGGCAATGCCAGGACGTAAAATAATGTACAATATAACACTATATTTAGTACAGTACGAAATCACAGTAATATAGTACAAAATGAAAAAATGTATTTATTACTTTTAGATCTATAAGGTTTCGTCTAATAATAAACGAAAAAAATGACGAACATACTTCGCTCGTGAATGCACTATTGTAGGCAAGAAGTAGAGAAAGTAATAGATAGGAAATTTAATGTATATCTGTACGCAAATATTAACCATTTCTAACGAAAAAACGATTCTGAGCGGAGTTCATTTGATAGTGATTCGTCAACAATATGAATGTCATATTATGGTAAAATAATTAAATAGACATTGTATATTTCCTTTAATAATATTTGTTTAATGTACCGATTTTCCCGTTTTTCATACGTTTTTCCCAATTTCCCCGTGTTTTTTCTCGGTTGTTCATATTTGCTGGAAAAGTTTTGGGAAAATCGAAAAATGACCTCCCTAAAGTACCTTCCCGGTCAGATTTATTTTTAGAAAAAGTACTATCATTGTAAATGGGAAAAAAATGGCAAAAAGTCGGAGTATACTCCCTGTTAAAATCGGGAAAATTAATATAAAATTATTTATTTATTATTATCATCATTTTTGGTGAATTCAAAAACTAAGACTAACGATGAAATAAATCACTACTGTAAAACAAATAATTTATAAAAATTATAAAACTATTATAAAATAAAAATATGTTTGTTTTTATTTTAATTTGTACACGAAATGCATATGTATTATACTACTTATATATATTCCGTTGTAATACATCTTCTGCATTTTTACGATTACAGCAGTGATTAAGAGTTATATCATGACTAAAAAATACAAATAAATATGAATATTTATTTAGAAATTTAGCTTCGAAGTGTATGTATTTCTGTCAAGGTACGAGGAAAACCATGATGTACTCGCATAATACATCACGGCTAGTTTCTTAAACAAAAATCTCGTAAACATAAATTAAAAGTATGTGTTAAGTAAAAACGCCGTATTTAAGATAAAACATGCGGCCAATCTTTCTCAGCAAATTGTGATTTTATTTATTAATTTATTTAATTTAATTTAATTATTTATTTTATTATTTTTGCTAACCATCAATTATGTTTAATTCGAATTGCGGCAATCTTATTTTCTTGTGGGAACAAATTTCGGAACATATTATAATCATAATTACGATATTTTTAACTACGAAAAATGTGTAAAATTAGTAGGTATAAGTCCAGAACCCCATATTTGTTTTGGTTTTGATGGATCCCGTGGTATATTATTATATAGATATAGAATTATTAGTTTTACTAAAGCATTGTTCAGGGCACCGCAAAACCTAGCGCAGTCACTGGATATAATACACCTAAGAAAGAATTTTGTTATTATTTCATTTTTTTTTTTTTTTGATTTACGGCATTCTTCCTTAAAAAAAGCAGTATTATAACATAATATTAATAATAGTAGCCAATAGGTAATAATATTATCGCGTACCTATTTTACAATATATTACAATACACATTTTTATTTATCGTAGTGTACATATACACCGTGTGTCATAGTACACATAAAAATATCCATAAGACTATATTAAATACTTTTTAAAAAAAAACTTTTAACGTCAAAACTTAAACAATAAGTTTCATAAAAATAAAAAGGAGTATAATATGTCCTATATCTACAGTGTTGTTATCATTACAGCGCGCCCGTTTCAGATAGTTCATAGTATTGTCGGTGAGGGAAGACCATTCGCTTTTATTAACCAGTACGTACTTGACTGGTGCTGAAGTGAATTATAAAACCAATCTGACTAATGATTACTTAAATGATTATATTTTTACTAATAACTGAATTGGTAGGTGACTCACATCCCACCGCTAACGACACTATCACTCGTTGAGAAGTGACTTCACAAAAAATATAACATACAAACACAACAAAAACTAAAGTCAAATTACTCTAATAAACCACTCATAACACACTGATATAATGAAATAATTTACTCACAATTCACAAAGAGAGAAGACTGGATGATAATAATTGGTAACAATATCTGGCTTTTCTAACCCAATAAAAACAACAACATGCGTTACAACAACAATAAACAGAAAAATAAATACCACTAACGCAATGCCATTAACGATTCGTTTTTGATGTTAGTGTAACGTGTGCACAAATAGATGGGTTAACAACGATAAAAAAACATATACAACTGATGGGTGTGCGACCGTTGTTGATGGAAAGTTGGGTAGGTAGGATACATTGGGTTATTTAATTTACATCTGTAATCAACGGTAAACCATAGCTAATATAAAAAAAACAATTCTGATCAAATCAAAAAATGTCTATTTCAGAAATGGTGATACATTTGATACACCGGACTAGCAGAGTAAGTTTTCTTTTCAAAAATTCGCTTAACAAAAATTTAAAAAAAAACATACATCATAGTAAAATCAATAGATCACTCGCTACAATCTGAATCTAAAAGACAACGGCGAACGTAAATCACATTCGCATTTATTACATTACACTCGATAGTAAATTTTTAAGTTAATCTGACTGTGAGCGCATATGTGTGTGTATACGACCGGCCAGTAGGTAATTAAAGCTATTTTGCGTGGACTATAGATAAATAAAGGTACTTATCCGAAAAATTGGCATCTATTTTCTATTTTAAGTGTCAAGTGATTCAACTAAAAAACAAAACACAAAATTTAGCATCATATTATTCAGACTTTTACACGAATATGGTTTCAAATACTTATTTATAGTAAATAAGGAATTTATTTATTCTTAAAATAGGTAGTTATAAACTAACCAAGACTCAATAAATCGTACTTGAAATACTATTTGATAAATCACAGTTGTTTTAAACGCTACACAAAGAATTACGCCTTATTATAACAAGTGAAATTATATTTTGTAAATTTATAATTTTAAAATAATTAGCACTCACCGAATTTGTTATATTTCTCTTTACAATTGGAGCTGTGAATACCTTCATTGTACATGCATTGTTAATAATAATATAAAAGTAGTCATTTTAATGCGTATTTAAATATCGAGTTACAAAAGTTATTACTTACGCCAGTCAAACATATCATACAAGTCAATAAAAAAAATGTCCATAATCGCATTTTCACGTTTACATACGTAATGCACTCACATATAATCTATAGGTATTGCGTTAAAAGTAGACTTAATGTTGCATTTTTGTCTGTGTTTTAACTATAAACCGTGTACCCTGATGCAATACGTTAACGTTTACATTACATTATGTACTTATGCACATATAATTAATATTTGCAAGTATTACAAAATTATTAAATTATTATAGACACTTTAAACGCATGTGTCATATTATAAAAATAAAGTTTTGTTTTGTTGGCGTCCTCCGATGTTTATTTTATTGATGCCATCGCAATTCATATGTCACCAAATCACTGTCAAGTTATGATGACGTGAACAACTGTACAAATAATAAAATTTCATTGGTGTATCTCTATTTTGTAAGTACTTAACACATAGCTAAACGTATAGATTTTATTTTCCCGGCATTACGATACACGTGAAAATGAGACTATGGACCGTCTTTTTATTGATCTTTATAATATGTTTGACAGGCGTAAGTAATAATATTTATGGTTTTTTTTTTTTTTTTTGTTATTATAAAATATACAATGCAATTATTATTATTATTATTAAAAATGCACAATAAAGGTATTCACAGCTCCACTAGAAAAAGGAAATCAAAAAAATATAGTGAGTACTAAATTTCTTTTAAATTATATTGAACAAAATATACATACATGTTTATTATCGTTTTAAAATGATTTTTATCTACCTAAAACCTAACTCTATATGTTATATAATTTAAATTTAAAACATTTTTAACTGTTAATATTAATAAAATTATTTGTTTCTGTTAATCCTTAATTTCATTAGACAATATCTAAAATAATTATAAAATTAAGCGATTTAATTTTTACAGAATAATACAATAAAATATTTTATTTAATGTTAATTTTTAGAAAGCAGCTGGGAACGCCATTTCAAAATTAAAAAAACAAACTGGTTCGGTAATATTAATTATTCATAATTGTATTATATGATATTATAAATTTCGTCGTTAAGCATAAGTTTTTACAATGGATTCAAGCATTACTGCAGTGTTCGTTAGTACTTAACGTAATGTGCGTTACTCATAATTACGAGTCATTTTTAAATACAATACGTTTATAAACAATTTAACGTATAAACTGTAAATTAATTTACTTAAAAGTTAAAATAATTAATACGGTTTATATCAAACATTTAAAAATCTAAAAAGTTAGCGGACAATTATTGAGCTCTAATTTTGTCTTCAGTTCCAACATTTAGTGCAGAATGAGTATTGACCAACAGTACCATTTTAAAAAATAGTACCCCATTTTTCAACGAAGTATTAGATTTCCTGTAATTTATCACAGTGGATTCATCCCTAACACCCATAAACATGTGCACAGTGGCGTGCCGAAGTAGGTATTTTGCGACAGTTACTTAATGACTAAAATGGGTGAGTGAGCTGGTCGCCAAATATGTTGAATGTTGATTAAGGTAAACTAATTCAGAGATTAGAGATGCTCTTAGTTTTGATTATTCAATTATTAATATACCTTGACTACATGAATATGATAGTCTATATTATATAACCAACGTACCTAAATAAGGTTATTGTAAAAAAAAAAATTATTTATTGGATATATAAAAATCTGTGTATTGGTGAATCGGTACAGTACGATTAAGCATATACCTTTTTAGCAACACGATTGAGCATAGAATATTTTATGCAACGTTGCAAAATTCAAGTTACCAAAATTGCGTATTTTCACGTATTATTAGGTACACCAATTATTATGATACCAAACTTAAACGAGCCGTGACTGCCAGTCCGGCAGTATAAGTAACTATTCCAAAATTATTATAGAAATAATTCAATTTATATAGTATTCGATCACACATAGTCGTGTACTCGTATCACATAAAGTGCGTTAAAAAAAGTTTCGGTTTCTATTTTTTAATATAAAAGCTCACAACCAATATTCAAATCGTAAGAATACTGAATCTCTACTATTATATTTATGCTTTATTTAACTTGGAAACAGATACCAAGGTATATCAATTTAATTTATTATCATCATCAACTATTTTATTATTAACTTCACGGTAGGCAGTAACCAGCTAGTATGAATAATTTATTATTTTTAATAATAATATTATTATTATCAAACAGACCTATGAAATTAAACTATTATTAACTATGAAATCATGTTATTTTTTTAATTCGTACAATATTTTAAATTATTATAATTATTTAAATAAATATTTTTCATATAATATAGATCAAAATTTAAAATGGCAACATCTCAGAGATTTTTATTCTCAATCGTGTAGGTTTTCTTTTGTATTTCTGTATTATTTGATGCGTCAACAAATTTACTCAATCGTGTTGTGGCCGACGAATTGGTCCTTATTTGTTTGTTTTACCTCAAGTATAGAAATTTCAGCACTGTTGTTCAGTTTACTAATTGAGTAAGTCTTTCTGGATATACTGAATAATTACTTGTATCATAATTAACTCCGTAAAAAAATGTTGATGTTAACGAAATTAACTTGATTAATTAATCTAACGAAATATTTCAAAAAATATTGAGGTCATTAATCGAGATTAAGACTACTCTATCTTTTAAGTTTAAGTTTAATTGGTTAATTTAGTGTAGTTACATATTCTCCAATACTACATTCCTTGACAATTCTATTACGAAACTTGAATTTAAAAACTTATCCCTGGTTGATAGCCTAGGTATTGTCAGTTATGATACAGTGAATAAATTGAAAACCTCTGAAAAGGTCTGCAAAAAGTCAAGAAGTTAAAAAGTACTTAATAAAAACCTCGGTTTAAAAACAGTTGAAGCTATTGCAAACATAACAACATTGAAACAAAACACAAAGTTGTCTTTAATTTAGTCTTAATGAATTAGAAACTTTTCATTTACCTCCTATAACTTCAATCGACGTGTAAAGATCCTTTGCCCGCTACAAAAACGTATTACGTCTTAATCGATGTCAATTTACCTTTGACAACTTAAAAAGTACATGATGACAAGTATTCTATACTCAAATAAATAAATATGTAATTTGAATGTATAATTTAATTATAATAATCCGATATGAGTTTATTGTTTTATATTATTTTATTCTATTTTATATGTATATGTACGTGTGTACTTATTTTTAAATTGATATCAAGAATTTAAACATTTTTGTTCACATATCTTGTATTTTTAATTGCATATTTGGTTAAAAATAAATATATATATATACATGTACATATTTTTTAATTTTAAATATATATAAATCCGCACCCTAAATTGATGACAAACAATGAAACTATTGTACAAAATACTGTATTATTAATCTAATAAAATAGTATTTACAGCCAAATAACTAATAAAAATTGATCTATGTGGAAAATTAAAAAATTCTGGGTACGCCACTGTAGTATTATACTATTTATACAATAGACAAATTATAAAACGATGTTTTATACACGAATATGCAAATTTCACAGCATCTACAGGCGTCAGGCTTTATATATTTTTCAGTTTATATTATTATTTATGATCATGATTTTTTGTGGAATCTAATCATAATAAAATCTATTTCTAATTACACTCGCAGTTTTGCACTATTATTGTCAATCGTAAAATATTATGATAACAAGAGCCAATAGACACTTACAATATAAAAGTAAACTACTAAAATAAATATTATACTTACGGTATGTCTTTGAATTTTTTTAGACTTTCGCCAATTTCGCTGATAAATATGTTAACCGCGAATGGCTAAATGTAATGTATTCATTTTTAAACTAAATATTATGTTATTTTATTAATTTTATGTTTATTTATTATATTGAATTAAATATATTTTGTAGACTAAAGACACGAATAAAGATACTCCAAAAACAGATGATGATAATAAAGTAAGATGATTTCCTTTCAATTGAAATTAACAACTTAACATTTTACTAAATTTAGTAAATTAATTTATACTTGAGACCCATACTTTTATAAAAACAATTATTTCATTAAGGTACATATGTAATTATGATTGATCCTTTGACTATTACCTGCCAGACAATTAATTAAATTTTGCTTCAAGTTTATTACCCAATTACACGTATTTTTATCGCTCTTGAGACATAATTTTATAAAAATACGAATGAAATTAATAACCATTGAATTATCGATAATATACCACTAATTAACTGTGTAACTTAATACCATTAAGGATTTAATTAGAAAAAATAAAAAAATTCAGACAAAGATTCTTTTAATTGCGCATCATTATTTCAGAAAATTTTAGGTTAATCGTTTTGATTTATGATTTGATAAATTTGATAAATCGTTAAATTCAAATTTCAACTAATATTTCTGAGGAATGATTAGTTCTTATATTGTTGAGGTTCTAAATTAGTTTATAAATCTTAAATACTTCAACATTTTGATTTCGTATAAATAATTAATAGACCACTAAATAATATTTAATACTTTGGGAACAAGGTAAGATTTTAATTGAATTATTTATAACGTAATAACTAATATTGATTGTAATGGACATGATGTAAATTTTAATTATTTTTTAAATATTTGGTTTTATGCTAAATATCTTAACTTATATTCGAAAATAATAATTATATTTCTGATTTAATTTTTTTTTTTTTTTAAACAAACTATTAATTACACTATTTTTCTGTGGTATCTATTTTCAAAACAGTTATGGTATATTTCTTGTAGATTATTATTATTGTTCTAAATATTACAATTTAACATTATATTACATAATTTTTTTACATTTTTTTTTTTTTGCATTTTAATTTTACTCACATAGTAATTTAAAATTATTAAAATAAAATAAATCTTATTGTTTTTATTTTCATTTTGTTATATATTTATAGAATCCTTCCCAAAATCCATCAACCGACCTGCCGACTGATTCGACAGCTAATCCATCAACTGATCGATCGAAAAACGTATGTACAGTTTTATTTTGTTTTATTTCGATATATATATTACGTGGAGTTATAACTATTAATAACTTATTAATGTCCATAGTTGACTAATTTAATAAAATAATAAAATATGAATTTAAAATAATGAAAATCATAAGTATTTAATAAAGATAAATATAAATTGATTACTTTTAGAATGTGTATAACATTTATAATGACATCAATCTTGAACAAAATCTGACATATTCACAGCATGGACCTGCCACTATTGTAACTGAAAAGTTGGGAAGGTAGAAGAATTAAACGTATATCTAGCAATGGCGTAATTACTGGGAAGGAAGGATTTGGGTGTCATATTCCCGTCCCAAGGGAACTACATTTATGTACTTATTTAACTAAAAATAGTATTATATTATATAGTCTATATTTTATAGAAGTAATGCATAATAAATTAGTAATACAAGGACGGATCCAGGGAGCCTATAAGTCCAAACCCCCACCCAGGCATATTATTTCTCTAATTTTAAATTCTGAGTGGTGCAAAGTAGATTATGTTTTTACAAAGATGTTTACTTTTTTATTTTTTTTTTCCGTTGACAACTTTTCTACCAGAAATTTACTCCGATTTACAACTGTAATACTTTTTCTGAAAGAAAATTTTACCGGGAAAGTATTTTAAGGAAATCATTTTTGATGGTGGGAAAAATAGAGAAATCATTTTAGTATATTATTTTTCGGATGTACGAGGTTTCAAGTTGGCCATATTAAATATTTCAGCAAATCATATACAAATATACATATTATAAACCTATGTAGTATGTATATTAACCTGCTTTTATTTGTTATCATTTTTAATTATTTTATATCTGTTGGCCTTCTTGAATCTATTGGTGAGACCGTAAATGATCGCTAATATAACGTTTGATCACTGTCTCAAGTTTAATGCTAAAATAGACTAAATGTCTTGTAAATCAATGAAAATACTAGAAGTCTTGCTCAGAATTTCTATGGGCTTCAACTTAGTTCCTTAAAAGTTCTTTTTTGTTCAATTTTTCGTTCTATACTTGAGTATGGAGCTGGAATTTGGTGCCCAAAGACCATGAGTAATAGTCAGTTTTCACCATTTCGCTAATGCAGAAAAAGTGGGGTCTCGTTCTTGCCCCGCACCTTTCACTACGGTTGGCAGGCCCCACGTGATCGCGCTTTTATAGATATAATTAAAAAAACTAAAATTGATAAACAATATAAAAATGTATCGCCTTATTTTTTCATATAATGTACATACATGTATGTACATGCTATTGTATGCATTATATTCACTTGAATTCTAATATATTTTCTATTTTTGGATAAATATTAATGTCTCTGACATTCTCTGAAAGATTACAATGACGATATCTCGCTGCAGCTAATAATTATATTAGAAGCATGGGCATCTGCCTCACCCTGAACTTCAACATTTCAAATATAATTTCAATAATTAATTAACACAATTTTATTTTAAGTGCTTTTTGATGTTTGATTTAATTATGACCCTCCCTGATAAATTTCCTGGGAGCACCTATGATTAAAGGTACTCATAATAATTTCTATTATTATCTTTCCGACATAAACAATATCTATTAATTTAATTATGTTCAGAGTACGGAATTCCATAAGATATTTTAGATTCTGATTGGAGAAAGGAATGTATTAATTTTACATTGATGTTTATTTTTATATTATTTAAGGAGGCTATTTTTTGATTTTCCCAATAAATGGGAAAAACCGAAAAAATTGAGAGGAAAACAGAAAAATGTACGAAATGTATTAATAATATATTACGGTCTTTTTTTTATCTGTGAACAACTTTTCTACCAGGAGACTTGCTCAGATTTTTAAGTGAGGCACCTTTTCTAAAAAGAAATTGGTATGGGGAGGTACTTTAGGGATGTTATTTTTTGATTCTCTCAAAAGCTTTCTCATCAAATGTGAAAAACTGAAGAAAAATCCGAGAATATACACAAAATATATTACTAAAATATCACGTTTTTTTTTCCTGTGCACAACTTTACTACCAGTAAGTTTGCTCCAACTTTTAATGACAGCAATGTTTCTAAAAGGAAATTTCACTAGCGAGTCACTTTAAAGAGGTTATTTTTCGATTTTCTCAAGAGTTTTCTCATCAAATATGAAAATCCGGGGGAAAACGTAGGAAAACTGGGAAAATCAGTAGAACATTAAACAAATATTATTATAGAAAATGTATAAAGCCTATTTAATTATTTTGTTGTAAAATGACATATATATCGTTGATAAAGCATCTTTATCAAATGAACTCCGCTCAGAATCGTTTTTTCGTAAACAATATTTTATTGATGCTTCAGGTATACATTAAATTATTTATAACAGTGACTGCACCCGTCCCCATTATCCTAGGATGTCTTTTTTTAATTGTTATGTATAATTTTTATATAAGCAAAACGCTCTAGAAAAAAAAATTAACTACCTATATTTTACATAAGAGGATACCGTTGATTTTTTAGTCCAGCAAATACATATACAACTTTTACTAAATCGTTATTATTAACTTCTTCCATTTCGGCATTTAGCATCATAAGGCAACATTTAACCATCTTGCCTATGGAAATGAGTAAATATGATTTTATATTTTTAAGCGATGAAAACATTTTTCATTTGATGCCATTGTAATTGGTGAAGTTTTTATTAATGAAATAATTCTCAATGTTTCCTTAAAAGCGACCGTTAATTGTCCAACAGCGAAGTTATCCAACCGTATGGTTGTATTGTGTAGATCCTTATCTTTATCTGTATTCTGTAAGTATTAGGTGTGTCTGGTAAATTATAAAATACGCGATACATTTATTGTTCAATATCTCGATAACATGATATTTGTTTATTGACAGTAAAATATCAATACTGTTAGTATAAAAATACAATTAAATTTTATCATATAAAAAATAGTACATTATTTCAATAGGTCAATTGGAACTATTTTAAAAATAAGGGGTGCAACCGCAAACTCTAATCCCCCTAAATGACGCCCCTGTTCGAAAAACTGGGGGAAAACATGGGAAAAATGGGAAAATAGGTACAATATTAAACAAATATTATTAAAGAAAATATATAATACCTATGTAATTATTTTACCATATGATATACATATGTGTCAAAATAACACTATCAACTGAACTTCGCTCAGAATCGTGTTTTCGTTAGCAATGGGTTATCGTTACTTACAGATATTATATATTAAATCTCCCTTCTACTACCTTCCCAACTTCTCACCTAAAACAGTAGCCCACCCATATGCAAAGTTCCTGACTCTTTTTTATAATTCTATATCCTGATATTACTATACTCCAATCACAGATATGTATGATAGTATAATATATTATTATATTGTGATTGTAATTGTGTTGTAAAAAATGATTGAGGCACTTCCTAGATCTTTGCTCTGGGTCCGTGCTTATGTTGATGTTTAAAGCAAATAGGATAAAGTGAGGTATATTCGTAATATAGATACGTAAATATCATATTTTTTAAACATTTTTAATAAACAGTCGATGTATCTGACGTACTCAACGGCTGTATGTTAGTTGTAAGTACCAGGGGTTTTGACGTTATTTCGTCGTTTACTGACGATAGCTGGTATGTTCGTTACAAAGCTTTAAAGAATTATTATGGCATTCATTTACCTATATCTCGAATATACCTTACATAACAATACTTTACACTTGAATACCATTTTTCAATACAAAATAATAAATTAAATATAATTTATACCTTATTAGTAATAAGTTATTACCTTCAATTGTATAGTTATAAATAGAACTTTTAATTATGAACTTAGGTACTTGTGTATTCTTGGTTTATAAATTAGGCTAAAGGCACTACTTCTCCAGCAAATAATACAGATTCTGACAATACAGACACAGATCAAAATCCTTCAAAAGGTAACAAAAGCCCTAGACGAAGGAAAAATACTACTTTTGGAAGAAGAAAAAATAACAATTATAGACAATATGGAAGAAGACCTTATAAATACCAACTATATAAAATAGTTCCATTATCTTATGCACTAGTAAGTATATAAATAATAATTTACTTTATTTTTTTTAAAAGGTATCATTTATGTAGTACCTAAAACTCTCGAATGCAATATTATTATTATTAATATTATCCATTAGAATAATACACTAAAAATTCATCTTTCAATGTTTTGAAATATTAATGTTGAATGTGACATCGCGATGTTGAATATATATATACCTTTCTAAGTACTCTAGTATAATACAGTAAAAGAGCCAATTGTACTATATGATTAAACAGTGATTAAATTATAATTAATGATTAGGACCTTTGACCTGTTGTACAGTGCCGATTAACTCCTTAATCAGTGATTAAAGGCCGATTAAGTTAACTACATATCCGAGGTCAGTTAAATTATGATTAATTAATTTTTCGGCTATTATCACAGTTGTAGATGGCTATTATCAGTATTATCTCACGTTTGATTTCCAAATTAAAATATCTAATAATAATTTTAAATTTGTGTAACTATTGTGTAAATTGATACATTTTAATATTTCTTGAAATTAGTTCTAAATTTGAAGATGACTCAGATTTTGAGGATGAAAATTAGTTTCGATGATAACATTTCCTAGACAGCTACGTATATTCAGGCTTCGAACAAATCATTTTACTTGGTGGAGAGACAAACAATTATTAATACATTTTGTTTTAAAAAAGGATAATTGGTTAATAATAAATTAGATGAGTGTATTTTTTTTTTTTTTAAGAATGCACAAGCACGATCACAATACTGTTAAAAAAAATTGTAGATTACGCACAATTAATATTTAATCATTGATTCGGTAATCACACTTTAATCAGCGAACTATACAACTGGACCTTCTGTGTTATGTGAACTATACAGTATTAATATGTACTTAAATAATTAAGTATATAAATAATTTGATTTTTTGATAAGGGTTATTTACGAGAATATAGAACAAAAATGAATTTGAAATGGTTTCGAAATGGCAACCGACGAATTTGGTCAATAAATCCTGTTGATCGATTATCAATTAATAAAGTAAGATTTGTATTATACTATAGTAATATGATAAATATATAGTAATCAGGTTTCAATTTTATTTTACTTTAATACCCGTACACTGATTAACGGTTTTTCTCTGTTTTTTCTTTTCTATTTAGAATATTATACGTATGAAATTCATATGCTTAATAAATAATAACTTATATATTTAATGTAACTTAGAAAAGGTTTTCCTTTGCAGTTTTATCTTTCCAATTATCATTTAATTATTTATCTTCAAAATATTGTATCTCACATGCCCTAATTATTCTGGCTCCTTCCATTTTCCAATGTTTAATAAGATTTTTCTTTACTTCACTTATCATATTGATATTTCAGATTCAAAATAAACTCATATTCCATAGAACCTTCTCTTGATTTGAAATTAGTACTTGGTCTTTTAAAATCGTAGAATGAATATTTTATTATCATGTTTGAACATAAGGCGCTGTTTAAAGATCCTTACAGCTGCTTTTGAATCAAGACTATTAAAACACATTGTACAATCATATATCAGTTAGACCAGTGGCTCCCAAACGTTTTTAGCGTTTTATGTCTTGCCTCGTATGAAGCCCAGTTATATTTACTTACCAAGTAGCTGAATACTGCACATTCATGAGGCTAAACAACGATCATGTGAAAAACGTAGGCACCTAACTTAATACACCATGAGACTTATATCTGGTAATATAAAATCGACAACCCACTCACTGGCTGTCAACACTAACAGCAATTAACCCCTCCACTTCGTAGAGAAAACGCCTTGATTAAATAGTTCTTAAAAATAAATCTCAACCACAAACTGCCAATTAATAATTTTATTGATGATGTAACCAAAAGACGATTGAAATCTAGAAAAACCCCTATCAAAAACAGCTAAGAATCTAATCAACACAAACTTCGATATAATGACCAACTAGAAACAACCATAGGCAACTGCGTTAGAGAACGACAACCTACTATGTAACATATCACCAGGGTATATACTCACTGGATTTCACTTGTATCACAATCTGTAGTGCACACTTAATAGAATATGAACTTCGCATGGCTAGATTCCTGTGCAAGGGCACAAATAGGGCATGAGAAACTTACCAGATTGTAAATGTGAAAGAGAAAAATAGACCATCAAATAAATTTATTTATCAGTGACCCACCATTAAAACATCCACAAATCCGTTTTGAGTCACGATCCCAAGTTTGGGAACCACCGATTTAAATGAATTAATTTAATGAATTTAAATGAAATAATCATGCAACGTCATAAAACAATATACTCTTTGCCTAAAATTTAGAATAAGTTCCGCCAATCATTCTTTCATTCTTGGTCAACCTAGGGTAAGAGCCATTCATTTAACATTCATATATGAGGACTTATTTTTATGTCCTGAAAACACTTCTCAAGACTATTTATAGTGTCGGAAATATAAGTGTACCATAAACATAGTTTATGACTGAACCAAAATATTATAATGTTTTGTAGATTATAACTATAGAACAACCAAAAATATATTTGGCAAAAGAAATACCATATAAATTAAATTGCTTATTAAAAATACATTTACCGTACAATTAGAGAAAATATTCATCATACGTATGATCAATTAATAGGTTATCATAAAAATATATACTGATATGTTTCAGCAAAATAATGTAAAATTAAAAAGGCAAAAGAGAAACTACGATGATCTATATCCTAAACAAAACTTAGTATCAATTGTTGAAAACCCGAAACAACAAAAATATAAAGAAACGGAAAGTCAAAACTCTAAGCAAGGAGACGAGAAAATGGGAATATTAAATAACATGGAAAAAAAATTAAACAAGAGTAATTTTTTTGATAACTATGAAAGTAATGAAGAACCACATGATCTAGCTCTTCAAACAAATATGAAAGATTCGAAAATCAATGAAGATATTAAAGATATAACAAAAAATCAAAACAAAACAAAAAAAAAAAATAATTATATCCAAGAAACACACCTAAAAAAACCCAATAACAAGAGTATAGGAAACACCAGTGAACGAAAAGAAAAAACAGAATTGTATGAACAAAAAGAAGCCCTAAATATTTCACAGGTCAAACCACAAAAAAAAAAAAAAGGTAATGACAGTACGGAAAACGACCCAAGACATTCATCGGAGAAGAATACAAATAAAGAGAACGTAAAGAATGAAATAACTACTGATATTAGGACCAAGGCACCAACCAATACAAAAGTAGAATCCTACACCCCAAATTCAAAAAAACCCAAAATAATTCAACCCAACATCAATAAAACACAAAACACAAGAAAACCAACAAATGAAAAACAAATTGAAAGTAAATTAGATGACTATACTACTAAAACCGATAATGCCATAACAAACGAAGAAAATAACCCAAAAGAAGTTCATCAAACTAATAAAACATTAGGAAAGAAAAATAATATAGATAGAATGAGACAACTTATAAATGACGATGAGGTCGGTAAAAAGCGACCGGCTAATAACGATATAGACGAGTTGGAAGGACTAATGAACACATCCCAATCAAATCCTACTGAGGATCTGAACAATGAAAGTGTTTCTGCCAATGATAAAGTAAACAGCATTGAGAATATGATAAATACCACGGAAGATCCAAAACGTACGAAAAAAAGAATCGTTAAAAAGAAGCCAAAAGACAGAAATGTGAAGAGATTAGGTAAATCGAAAGATGATGAAAATAATCATAAACCGAAATCTTCGGAAATTATTCGTCTTCCTAACGATACTATAAACGAAACGAAAAACATACAAAAAAAAGAAGATATTCCCGTAAAACAATCTACTCTTCCACCTGAATTAACTGGCAAAAAAGAACCTATAAGTATGCTGAAAGAAACTCCGGACAATATTATGGCCGAGACAAATGATAACTCCCACAAGAAATTAGATCAGGAACCAAATTTCGATAATTTGGGAGATAGAAAAACTAAAGATATTAGAAATTTAGACCCGCTGAAAACAAATATCGACAATGTAAATCCTGGTATGGAAAAGTCAAATAATGAAATAAAATCACCCTTTAATGAGGTTTCACCAAACATAGGTAAGCGAACGAAAGTGGAAAGNTCATAAACCGAAATCTTCGGAAATTATTCGTCTTCCTAACGATACTATAAACGAAACGAAAAACATACAAAAAAAAGAAGATATTCCCGTAAAACAATCTACTCTTCCACCTGAATTAACTGGCAAAAAAGAACCTATAAGTATGCTGAAAGAAACTCCGGACAATATTATGGCCGAGACAAATGATAACTCCCACAAGAAATTAGATCAGGAACCAAATTTCGATAATTTGGGAGATAGAAAAACTAAAGATATTAGAAATTTAGACCCGCTGAAAACAAATATCGACAATGTAAATCCTGGTATGGAAAAGTCAAATAATGAAATAAAATCACCCTTTAATGAGGTTTCACCAAACATAGGTAAGCGAACGAAAGTGGAAAGTAATACCGATACAGATACCCCACAGTTAAAGGAAAAATCAATCGAACATAAGAAAAACCCCGATCACAAAGCAACAAATGGGCAAAAAAACCAAAGAGATAACGATGAGGTCGGTAAAAAGCGACCCCCTAATAACGATATAGACGAGTTGGAAGAACTAATGAACACATCTCAATCAAATCCTACTGAGGATCTGAACAATGAAAGTGTTTCTGCCAATGATAAAGTAAACAGCATTGAGAATATGATAAATACCACGGAAGATCCAAAACGTACGAAAAAAAGAATCGTTAAAAAGAAGCCAAAAGACAGAAATGTGAAGAGATTAGGTAAATCGAAAGATGATGAAAATAATCATAAACCGAAATCTTCGGAAATTATTCGTCTTCCTAACGATACTATAAACGAAACGAAAAACATACAAAAAAAAGAAGATATTCCCGTAAAACAATCTACTCTTCCACCTGAATTAACTGGCAAAAAAGAACCTATAAGTATGCTGAAAGAAACTCCGGACAATATTATGGCCGAGACAAATGATAACTCCCACAAGAAATTAGATCAGGAACCAAATTTCGATAATTTGGGAGATAGAAAAACTAAAGATATTAGAAATTTAGACCCGCTGAAAACAAATATCGACAATGTAAATCCTGGTATGGAAAAGTCAAATAATGAAATAAAATCACCCTTTAATGAGGTTTCACCAAACATAGGTAAGCGAACGAAAGTGGAAAGTAATACCGATACAGATACCCCACAGATAAAGGAAAAATCAATCGAACATAAGAAAAACCCCGATCACAAAGCAACAAATGGGCAAAAAAACCAAAGAGATAACGATGAGGTCGGTAAAAAGCGACCCGCTAATAACGATATAGACGAGTTGGAAGGACTAATGAACACATCCCAATCAAATCCTACNAAACAGCATTGAGAATATGATAAATACCACGGAAGATCCAAAACGTACGAAAAAAAGAATCGTTAAAAAGAAGCCAAAAGACAGAAATGTGAAGAGATTAGGTAAATCGAAAGATGATGAACATACTCATAAACCGGAATCTGAGAATAAGACCATAATTGAACCACCTTCGAAATCGCCAGATCTAATGCCACTGAATTCAGAAGTAAATCTACTTAACGAAATGCCTGTTAAAGAAACCGGCATCCCCGAAACAACACCCTCTTCAGTGATTACGGATATTCCTAAGGAGAAAAAATATTTGAAGAAAATACCCCAGAATAAAATTCAGAGTAAAGAAGTCCCGTCTATCATTTTAAATCCGGTGAACTCCACAATTTCTAATCCTATAATACCATACAACAAGACGATAAATTCATCAAATCTGGATGAAAACCCATTAAATAACAGAATGGTAGATTCTTTAGAAAATGATATTCCTCATGACGACGAAAATATGTCGAAAAATCCGTTAAAAAACACACAAAATGATTCAAAAAGTGACAATGTTAAACGCAAACAAAATAAACCGAAGAAAATTAATTCATCTACGATGCCTAAGCCATTAAATGTAAATCCGACTGTGGAAAGTTTACCCCCTCTCACTGATGAAATTCATTTACCTATGTTCAATAGTAATGCAAGTGATCCAATCACAGAGACAAAAGAAACTATGGATCCTTTTATAGACAACGGAAATGACCCTTTTTTTAATTCTCCTGAATTTGTGTCGGATTTGATGCCTACAGATAATATTCCTAAGCAACACGAAAATGAACCCAAACCTGAGAATAAGACAAATATTGAACCGCCATCGAAATCACCAGATCCATTGCCACTGAATTCAGAAGTAAATCTACTTGACGAAATGCCTGTCAATAAGACTGGCATCCCCGAAACAACACCATCTTCAGTGAGTACTGATATTCCAAAGATTGAAGAAGATTTAGATAATATACTATCGAAAAAAATTCCGAGTAACGAAGTTCCGTCTGCCGTTCAAAATCCGGTGCATACCCAAATCCCTAATCCCATAAAACCGTTCAAGAAAACTATAAATTCACCAAATCGGGATAAAAACCCATTTAATATTAGTTTGATCGATTCATTAGAGAATGATATTCCTCATGACGACGAAAATAANAAAATTCCGAGTAACGAAGTTCCGTCTGCCGTTCAAAATCCGGTGCAAACCCAAATCCCTAATCCCATAAAACCGTTCAAGAAAACTATAAATTCACCTAATCGAGATAAAAATCCATTAAATATTAGTATAATTGATTCTTTAGAAAATGACATTCCTCATCAAGATGAAAATATCACAAAAAATCCGTTTAAAAACAATCAAAATGATTCCAAAAGGAACAATAGTAAACATAAAAAAAATAAACAGTCGAAAATTACATCAACCACACTACCAACTTATAATTCAGATAAACCATTAATTGAACATAAAACAATGCTGCCTAATTTTGAGTCTCACATATCTATGAATGGAGACAAGGTTATTTATCCCTTACCCAAAACTATTAATTATAATACAGACTCACATTCGCCACAAAATGTAAAAATTGAAGTTAGTCCCCCGTGCAAATCTATTGATAAATTATCCGTTGAACAACCAAGACTTGTGTCAGATAATTTTTCGAAGTTGGTAAACAACAAGAATGACTTACCATCAATTGGAGATACAATAAATAATCCAGTTAAAGGAATATACAGATCTGCCAGCACACCTGATAACAGTTCTCGTGCTCCACTGTATAAAGGGTCTAATAAATTACCAAAAACTGAAACAAATAATATTTCATTTACTATACAAAATTATATTGAACCAAATAGAGGTATTAAGGATAATATGTCTTCAAAAAATACTGGAAAATCCGATTATAATCAGAACTTTCCTCCACATCTTTTAAATAAACCTTTTGTTAGTAATACAGTTGACCATATTGAACCTTTGTCTTATTTTAATTCAAAAGAAATGCCTAATACAAAAATGATGTCTGATAAAAAGAGTGCAAATAATATTCATTCAAATATCCGACCGATAATTGAAGATGCAACTGAATCTCCACAAAAAAATCTTTTAATAATACCTAATAATATGAGCGATTTAAATACTTCACCAATTAATTCTATGAAATCACCGAATAAAAAACCGAAAAATTCCACAAAATCTAATGGTTCATCTTCGAAAGAATCAAACCTACGGGTTAAAGAACCAATTGTATTTGAAAAAAATAAAATTCCTACTAAATCTCCTATATCTAAAAAAGTGACAACTCATTTCAATCACATTGGTTCAAATTCTCAAAATGTAGATGAAACATATGTCATTCCAAATTCTATGAAGCCTAATCTTGTTCAAGATCCTACTCAGAATATGAATGAAGAACATCTTCTAAATCCTTTTCAACATTTATCTGATGAAAAATCAGCTCCTGATATGCATAATTTATCAAAAACATCTGACATGAATATACCAACTATTGGTGATACGAATAAAGTCTTAAAATCAAATCAAATGAATAAAACAAAGAAAAAAAACAGTAATTCACATTTTCCAACCAATAGAAATGAAAATAATCTATTAAAAATCTTTCCCTCCACTGAAATTTCTAACCAAGATTTAACAGAAAACTTTCCTAGGAAACCAAAACCAGTTTACAATTTAAAACATGAAACTGATGCAATAAATAATCCTTTTCCTGGTATGCCTGAAAACAAAACTATTACTGGAAATTCAGCAGTCAATCTTTCTGGAGAGAAAGCACTATCTAACACATTACCTGGCAGTATGAATAGAATTTTTACTTACCAATCAACAAAACCAAAATTAAATGAATCCGATAAATCTCAAAACGATGATACTACACCAGTATATGACAAGCCAAATAATAACATACAAAATATACTTAACACAAATTATTCAAATTTAAAAGCTGATACTCCTACTGATATATTTAATCCTATAACAAAAGAACCTAATCATTTTTATGGTAACATGTATCCTAAATTTGAATCTAAATATAAGGATAAATATTCTAATAACAATTTATGGGAACCAGTATTACCGAAAAAAAATAATAATTCTTTTAACAATAAAGGATTGGAGGAAACTTTTGAACCAGATAAGCAATTAAAAAGAAATAATAAGGATAATATAAGTTCGAGTAATATTGAAAAAGACCAGAAATTAATGAAGACTAAAGATAAAAGAAAAAGTAATGATCAATATAACAATGGTAGTAATTTTAAACCTATTATAAATAACAGCATAATTTCAAACCATAATTTCAATGATAAAAAATTAGATACCAACGATGAAAAAAATAATGATGGGCAAAACAATAATTTAAGTAAAAATGTTAAACTTAATATTAATTATAATAATGGAAATTTCGATGATTTTATAAAAAAAATTGCTGATCAATTTTTAAGCAAATTTGATGATATTGACAAAAAAATTTCTCTTTTGGACAAACTTTCAAATGGAGAAATGAATGCAAAAGGAATTAAAGATGAAAATAAAACTGATCAGAAAATCAATAACGATTTAATAACTAATAATGAGAAATCTACTAAGCTTAAAACCAAAAATAATCCATTACAACCAAGTTTAAGAACAAATAAAACAGAAGAAAATTTTAGAAAAATTGGTAGTGAAAGTAGTGAAGAAACGGATACCAATGACAATGAAAAGACAAAGAAATCAAAGTATACTAAACAAGGAATGAACAATAAAACCCATAAGAAAAGGAGACAAAATAAAAATAATGGATATAGAAAGCATAAAAAATATAAGAAAAATAAACACAACAACAGTATAAATGTTAATGATAGTGAAGATATGAAAAGTAAAGAAAATAATACAAAACCAAAAAAACATGGGGATAAAGAAGTAAAATCTGGAGAAAGTGATGAAGTTGATGATAATTCTGATCTTCAGCTTGTTGACGAAAATTATGATTCCATAGAAAATGTAAATAGCAATGACACACCAATAAAATCGAATAGAACAAAAAAAAGTAAGAAAAAATTTTCAAAAAAAAAATCAAAACACATAAAACATTCAAAAAAAAATAAAAAAAATAAAATTAATTCAACTGATAATGATAGAAATGATAAAGATAAAAACTATACAAAAAAGAATAATGCTAACTATCGAATTAATTTGACAAAAAAGAAAAAACATAAAAATAAAAATACTATTAAACAGAAGAATGTTGATATTAAAACTAAAACAAAGAATGACATAACCACTGATGTAAATAATCAACAAGATAAAAAGGTGAGATTCATTTTGTACTTCCAATATGATTGAAATTTCTTTGTGTACCAATATAAAACATCAGGTATACTATGGCCTATAATTTTTTTTTTTTTTTTGTTTTCAGAAAAATAAATATGAGTACATTACTTTTTATCCTCAGTATGCATATGCAAATATTGCAAATCCATTTTCAAAGCGTCTCATTTAAAATTGTTACACAATAATTAATATTATGTGAAGATAAAAATGGAAATAGACATAATTTCAATATTATCAAGGAAAAATCTATTTCAAATATAGGTAACATTCAATTCTCACTAAATATATAAGTACTTCAGATTATTTATTATCTATGAACAGTGATTTCTGCTTAATATATCACACTGATACACTTTTGTACTACATTAGGTAGTTGGTACAAAATAAATTGTTAACTATTTTCCCAAATCAAGTTTCTAAAACTTTTTTTTTATGTACTACTAATACGTATTATGGATCTGTCACATGCCACTAATGACTAAAAATCGAACTATTCATAATTATAGTACATTTATTTCAAAATTATAAGAGACAGTAAAATATTATAACAGAATTAATGTAAACAATACAAAATATGAAATGGTTCTCCTTGTAGAAGATCAGAATTGTCCCAAGGTGCCTCTACTTGTTTTAAAAAGAGATAAATAGTATTGTATCAGGTCAATAGCTGGTGTGAAATTCTGTCAAACAGTTCTAAACAAGATTTTAGCTAACTGTCCCATAGTGGATATGCACAGGGAAAAAAGATGAAGAAAGTTACCATGGTGCATGGTGTTTACAGATGATAATATAGCTTTAATAGGAGAAAGTCTGGAATAAATTAATAATAAGCTTAAAGAATGGAGGGTAACACTTGAAGGAAAAGGACTGAGGATAAGTAGAAGTAAAACAGAGTATAAGATTGAAGGAACAGGACAAAACAACTAACGATAATAAGCGGTGATGATGAGGTTGAGTTTTAAGTACCTAGCATCTTTTGTACAAAAGAATTATGGCTTTGATAAAAATGTGAAATATAGAATAAAATATGGTTGGATAAAGTAAAGAAAAGAAACGGATGTTTTATGTGATAAGAAAATTCTAATGAAACTTAAAGATTGATTCTACAATAGTGTAGTTAGGCCAACTATATTACATATTTGTAGTGTAGGGCAGTAATTAGAAAAATAAAACAAATAATAAGTGGATTAAAATAAGAATTTTTAGAGGGATAGGTGGTTGGACAAAAGATGAAATAAAAAACGAGTACATTAAGAAGTAATATAGCAGTGGGTTCGATAATAGAAAAAGAAAAAAAATTAAACTGAGATAGTTTGGGCATATCACTAAGAGAGATGAATCAGAAGTTGGGATTATTGTGAAAAGAAGAAAACCAAAAATAAAATCGTATTGCATCCACTGAAAACATTTGTATAAATATTAATTATTAATTTATTTTCCCTACTACTATCACTCGTGAGTTTGAGAACTGCTGAGTCCTACATATATTATTAAAAAATGTTAATATTAATATATAATATTTTTTTTTGTTCCAGATTTTCTTTCGGTATTTATTAGATTAACAATAACAGATCAACTACCAAAACTTCATAAAATCGAATTAATTGTAAAATTCAAAAAAAATAAATATAAAAGCTTATGTATTACGTACAATATTATTTCATTATTTAAATCAAATAATATTTATAAATTGGATATGATATTAAAGATTTAAATTGATTTAAAATTGTGTACTAGTCACTAACATTACAGGAATAAGTAGTCTAATAAGTTTTGTGCTAAGTAATAATAATAAAAATCATAGAGAGTCAGTTATAATAATTATTATACATATAACAGGTACTTTAAACTAATTATTTAAGGTAAAACAAATTGCATTGCCTTTATTCTTTAATTATACAGTGTGGTCAATCTTCTGTAATATACACTCATTATCCTGGAAAGTAAAAAGATTTCTCAGAATTGTCTCTTTAGAAAACTCAAAGTGAACAATTCCAAAAAATTTTAGAATGCACTTATGTTTAGTAATAAAACAACGTTAAACCTGTTGGATATTTGAATAATAATAAATTATATTGAAAATTTCCAGAAATAGATGAAAGTTTAATTGAAATAAATTTTGATGTTTAAATATTTAATATTTCCATTAAGTTAGTGATATAATTAGAGATATAATTAACAACTGTACAAGTAAATTATTATTATTTTTTAATACCTAGATGTAGTGGGCCGCTATTTGTGACACAGAATCTGCGGGACAGTGCATAAGGATGAAATAAATTGAAACTGGAACATTTTAGAACTACATGTATATCTAACATATTCTAAAAATAAAATTCCAAAAAAGGAACAAATATTTTAGGTACTTTCCGAAACATTAGTGTGATGATATTTGATCACCTGTATAATACAGGTGTACACTTTCACGTTGATACTGATACCGTGATTGTAATAATGCATTAATGCATTATGCTCCAGTCAGTCAATAAGCCAGGTTAACCGCTCTTAGAGTAGCAATTGCAACACAACACGACGAAGCCCGTGACAAGTAAACCGAACAGTGCCATGTAGTAATATTTGGCAGCGGTGACGAATGGTGGTGACGACGACGTAGTGGCTGCCACTGCGGCAGCCGGTGTTTGAAACAAACGGCTACCCACAATTGACGTTATTTGTTGGCCGTCCACCGTGGTGGCCGTCACCCGTATCACGTACGTTTTTCCACCGGCCAATTCCACGACTAAAAAATAGCATATGGACAAAACAAAATTAATCTAAATTACTTCCCATTATTAAAATGAAGAATAGGCATATAAGATCCTCGATACTTGTTAAAACTGTGTCGCGATCCAAGATTCAATTGTATCATAGCTTCGTATTTAAGTTACTTGTATCGAAGTTATACTACCCATAACTGTAGTGTGTTAATTTTTTTAAATAAATTCAACTTGGGAGGGGGAAGGAATATGCTAAAGTAAACTGAAAAACAAATATGCATGCAATTTTTAAATTTTTAACTCGGTCGGAGCGTGCCTAATTCTTTTAACAACAGATCAATCAATTTTTTTTTTAAAAGATCCGTTAACACTTACATATTACTGCGCTAAACCTGAAATTTATTGAATAATGAAAATTACAAAAATTAGTAAAACAAAGTATTAAAATTGCAAAACAATCCAAAGTAGTCAAAATAAAAAATAGCTAAAACAAATTAATTTATCTGATATTTAATGGAGTATTATTATTATGTATTATTTAATTGTAATAAATATGAATTTATTAAAATACGTTTTGATTTTACAGTGATAAATAAAGATTGAAAAAGCTATTATTTTCTAAAAAGAAGTAGTAACCATAATATGTTTTAATAAAATTTTAGGGACATTCTGAGGAGCACCACATTTTATTAGCTGCATACTATGTGAACAAAGTCTATGCCAGCCAATGCTGTAGATATTAAATTAAAATATCAAATTTAGATTTTGGGATCTTTTTTTGGGAGCTTTGATCCATTGACGTCATTTGGATAGTGGCAGGAAAAGCATTTCCCCCCCCCCTTTGTCATCGGTGGGCCTCTATTGGGCCGGGTATAAGTTAATTTTGGGCCACAAGCCTGCACACATAATTTATGTTGCATACGGCCACTCTGAGCTACAATTTTTTAAGATTTATTTATGATAATAATTTTGATACGTGTGACAATTGTATTTAATATTTTTTTTACTGTACTTTTTATTAACATTGGTTGCACTTTAGCTGAAATTGCCAGGTTCTCATAAGATTTCATGATCATTTTTTGGGAGTGTTTATTCTTATTTAATTTATTCCATCATTATACTGATGTCCATGGTGACATGGTTAAGTTTTTTGTAAATTCATGTAAACTCCATACATATAGGCGCAAACAGAACATAAATTAAGGGAAAATTCACCTTAAATTAAATCCTCATATAATAGCTAATGAGTAATATATTCTAATATATTCAAGTATCTCTCTCTATATATATATATATTTATTATTCACTCATTATTGTCCCTCGAAAAAATGGGTTAATCTGCCTATAATATCAAGTATAGAATGATGTAATAAAGATATTTGTATTTAGATAAAAATTAATTGTGACGAATGAATTAGCGAGCGGTTTTTTTTCAGTTTTATTATGGGCTGGTCAAATCTATTGCCCTCTCCTTTCAAAAACTGAAATGACGCTACTGCTTTGAACATTGGTCTATTTATTATACCATGTGTTTTATTGTGTTTTATTGTTTTACCGTGTGATTTGTAACCTTCATTTGGCACATCCAGGAATAAAACAGTTTCTGGACATTGTAATATTACCTAAATTATTACTTAAACATAACCATACAAAATATGTAAGTGAAAATATATCCGGTACATCATATCTCCAACACAATAATAATAATAATAATAATAATAATAATATATTATGTCACAGTCACGGTCATTAGACAATATTTTAAAAATATTAGGAGTTTTCCAATACTAATTTAGTAACTGCGATCACCTAGCGACGAGCCGTCGTATTGCTGGCATAATGATATCGGTTACCTATCGCCAAATACCTAAATTACCCGAAGATTAACAGACTGAATACCTATGAATATAACTATGAGAGTTCTATCTTTATTACACATCGTTAACAATAACAAACAATATTAAAAAAATTACAATTAAAGTTATAGACTTGCAGTGACTGCACTGTGTAAAAAGCAGAAGTGACCTTTATTTATTCATTTATTAACTCAAATTGTTTACTTTATTAGATATATTTTTTATAAAATTATGACACGGTAGTTGCAACTTAAATGATTATATTTATGTATTGATTTTACAACTAAATTATTTGTTACTTCTGAGTTTTGAGAGATTTTTTAAAAGATATTTTGTATAGGAAAAATATTTTACCAGAGATATATTTTATAGGAGATATTTTGACTAGAAATATTTTTGCGGGGATATTTTAACCTGGAACCTAAAAATATAAACATCCATAAACAAAAATTATTAAAAAAAACCTTGGATAAACATGAACAATAAACATTAGATAGTAGAAGTTTTTGTGATTGTGTTAGTGTGTGATAACACGTATTCATTGATATTATATTATTTTGATATACAAAATTCGGAATTATTTTATTTAAAACAATTATATCTCTTATTATAAAAGTCGTATATAATTAAAAATACATCTATTCGATTGACGAAAATTTGGTCTTCAAAAAATGTTTAATAGTAATTAACATTTAGTTTCACCATTTACATTATAATAATAAAACACCAATAAATCCCCTATACTTTTTACATGTAAAACCAATATCACTACTGACCGAAGCGCATTCTATCGATTTGCAATAATTTTGGACCACCTTTAGGCTGGGAATACATAGACATAGGCATTATTTTACCGCACGGCATTTTTACCGCGTAAACAAAATTTACCGCACGTTTTAAGTCATACCAACACACAAGCGTTTATTTACGACACGTATATTTAGGTATCTATGATATTCATAAAGTACAATCTAGCCAACTTGAGTTTTCAGAAAATTGTCTAGACGTAAAAATCGGAACAAGTTTACTAGGTAAAAACGTGTCTACAGACTAGAACAAAGAACAAAGAAAAAAAGAAATAAACAGCATTGTAAAACCAAAAGCACCCTCGCTACGCTTGGAATCTAATATTATCGCTAAAGGCTAAAATAATGAAATAGATTTTGAGTGAAGCAAGCAATTTATTGGTTTTTCAATGATGTTTAATTCTTTATCTTTTTTCTTTTTTTTTTTTGAGACACCCTTTCAACCAGAGTTTCAATTCTCCAATTGAAAAATGACAAAAAACCTTTTTTGTGACATTTTAGATCTAGTTTCTTATGGTACACGAATTGTACTTGATACGTGTTTTCAGCCTACATATTACATAGGACATACATCGCTCCCAGTAATGTTAGCTATTTGTGGTAAAATTTTCAATCAAGTTTTCAAACAAGTGAATTCAATCAACGTAATTTTATTTGAATTGTGTATATCAAAACAATTTCAAGTAGATATTTCAATAAAATTTGATATTATTATTATTATTATCCTATTTTTCACGATATTAGAAAGATAAAAGATGACATAAAGGTAAATTGTACTAAATTGTACTAAATTATACTAAAATTATACTAAATAAATGAAACTTATCCATTTCAGACATGAATAAATTCAATTGAGTACCTACTAATTTACCAAATTTTCATAAACCAGAGCTGTGATTTATACATATTTTTTTTTTCTAATAGCGTATTATGTAGGTACAAAATTATTAATTGTAATGTAATTTTAAAGTTTTTGTTAAAATATTAATACATAATAAATAATGATAATACATGATTATAAATATACAAATCATTAATTAAATTTATCAAGCTTAATTAATCTACATAAATAAAAATTAATTTCTCAAAACTTTGGTAAGCGCAAAACTTGAGAAAAAAAACATTTTTTTTAACCCTTAAAAGAGTTTTTATGAAAAGGAAAATCAAATGAATAGCTCAGAAAACTAAAAAATAAACATTTTTACTTTTTTTTAAGCATAGATTGTAAACAGGAAACCATGGAAACAAAACTGCTTCTTTTTTATTGAAAAAAAAAACGTTCTGTCAAAAGCATCATTTTTCAGATTTGGTCTCCAGAGAAAAATTAAAATCTATGAGAGATTTCAGATTATTTTAAATTCGATTAGGTTATTTTTAATAGCCGTGTTCGTTTAACCCTAAGGAAGGTTTTTAAGAACCATTTAGGCTTTTTAAAAAAGAAAAAAGGTAAAAAAAAAGAAATTGAATTTCAATAAAAGTTCAATATAATTTAATTTTTTTTTTTAAGGAAAATCTGATAAAATAAAATTGGTCAACATTTGTGTGTTCAGTTTAAGAAACAACAAATAAAATAAATAACGAATACCTATAATAAATAATAAATAAAATTATAATAATAGAATGTTTGTCATATAAAATGTATGAATAAAGATTTCAATGAATTTATAGGTATGAAATCAAACTAAAATTCAAAGTTTTTAACTGGAGGTCATTTTTTGATTTTCTCAAAATATGGAAACACCGGAAAAAACGGGAAAGCAGTAAAATAGATACAATATTAAACAAATATTATTAAAAAGAAACTATCTAAGGGGTATAGGTTGTTTGTGGGAAGTTAGGAAGGTAGGATACAAAAAGAAATGTAATGTATATCTATAAGCAACGATACGCCATAAAACGATTTTGAACGGAGTTCAATTAATAATCATGTATTGTCAACAAAAAATTAAATAATTAAAATAGTTAAATAGGTATAATATATTTTCTTTAAAAGTATTTGTTTAAAATTGTAGTATTGTACCAATTTTCCCGTTTTTCACGGGAAAACTCTTGAGAAAATCGAAAAATTACCTACCTAAAGTACCTGTCCAGTCAGATTTCCTTTCAGAAAAAATGCTATCATTGTAAATTGGAGCCAAATTGCTGGTAGAAAAGATGTTCACAAGGAAAAGCAGTAATATTTTAGATTCTGAATGGAGCGAACAAATGATTTTGTAGTTTTACAAAGATGTTAGTATTTTTTTTTTTCTGTGGACAACTTATCTACCAGAGATCTTACTCCAATTTCTATGTGTAGTGTGGCACCTTTTCTGAAAGGAAATCGGTGTGGGGAGGTACTTTAGAGAGGTAATTTTTTGATTTCTCAAGTTTTTTCATCTAAATGATTTTTTAATTTTGCACACAGATAGCTATTATGACGTAGGTATCCGCTAAGAAAAGATTTTTGAAAATTCAACCCCTAAGGAGGTAAAATAAGGGTTTTTAGGTATTTTTGGTACGAATATCTAAGTGCTTATTTATTCATTATTGTTTATTCGAGGGTTATCTTGGTATTACGGATGATAATTTGATTGCCACGGAAAAAAAACTATTATAATTATTATTATTACTATTATTTACACTATTGAAATTTCACAATAGAACACATTTCGTCCATCAAAGGTGGACTACTCACTTTCCATCTATTTGTTTCCATTCAGGTCTGGCACGGTCAAAACCAAAAATGAATATGGGTAAAATAATAATTGGCACGAGCAACGCCTCTGCGGTCAACCAGCATAATAAGTAGCCATAGCTTCGCTATTACATTTAATCATTCAAAATACGCGCGCTTTGTTTTCATAATTTTGCGAAACTATGATATAAATACACCACCTGGAGCGTGCGCATCAGCGGCCACTATTTTCGTTCCCCCTATTATAGTACTAAATAAAAGTAAAATTAGTTATGAGCTATTGATTATTTTTGATAAAGTTTACAACCATACCTTTAACCATGTTTACAACTTTATTGATACCACATGTAACCTTAAATTTTAAAAATATTCGTTTCTGTGATAAACTCTCATTATCATCCATTCTTGTATCATCTATGGCGTTATGGAGTGTAATCATTTTTGAGATACCTTTGTGGGCCAATCAGCAAGTAGCATATATTTGTTTAGTGATAACCTAACTTGGTAATTCAACTTAACGTAACTTAATTTAATAAACGACAATTTGATAACAATAAATAATCAAAAAGTAATCTCAAAATTATTGTTTACTATAAACAAATACCATTTTTGCTGTTTGTTCTCTATGGCTGTATTTTCGGTATTCTAGTTTAGTTCTAAGTTGTTACAACCACTATTTAGTTATATTTAATTTTACTTTTTAATAGTGCTGTTAACTTATTGGTTGTGTGAAAGTAAGTATTTACCGAAATATTTTTAGTTTTTTACGATGTAGTCGAATTATTTACTTCAAAACAGTATCTAACTCAACCGCCAATGTACAATATTGTAATGTCAGGTAGAAAATTTTATAGTATTCTTGTTTGTAACAGTTAAAGTAGGTATCTACAAGTATATTGTTATGAACCTAACCTGTAGTTCATATTGAATAATAAAATACTCATTTACTTTTAATTAAGTGTTGAGATTAATTAATTGAATAGTTTAAATTTAACTGTAAATAGTTCAGAACAAATAATAATATAGTATTATAAATAAAGTAAATAAATATATAAGTAAATATATTGTTGGGTTGCGTTTTACATTTTGACAGATATACTTGATAAATTTTTAATTCGAAACCGGTTGTATACCTCTATAACTTGTCATAATACTCCAGGCAACACATTGATACATTTATTTATTTATTTTTATATATAAATGTTTTATTTATATATTTATTTACTTATTATTTTATTATGGTATAATTATATTTTCAGTGAAAATTAAAAAAAAAAACATTAACAACTCGGTTGTTTACAGTAATTAATGTTAATCCATTAGGTAGGTACTTTAAAATTAATAAAATCTAACTTAGGCATCCGTTCTCATTTGTCTAATTCATCATCAATTTATCATAGTTATGACCTGTTATTATTAAAAGGTACCTCTAGTTGTTGTAAGAGGTGATAAATGGAGTTGTTTACAAAGCAGGTGTAAAATTCTGTTAAATAGTTCTAAATAAATCTTAGGCAAATTGTCCCATCTAAGATTTATGCAGAAACAAAATGAATAGAATGAGTAACATAGAATCAAGTGTAGTTGATAAAGTAGAGTAAAGTATTAGGTGCTTTATATAACAAGAAAATTCCAATACAATTTTAAAGTAAGTTCTACAAGAGTGTTATTAAGCCAACTATGTTATATGGTTTGGAATGTTTAGCGATAGACAGAAAATATGTGTATCGGAGATGGAAATGCTAAGGTATGACGAGAAAAGATAGAATAAAGAACAAATTCACTAGAGGTAGCATAACTGTGGTTTTCATAATAGAAAAATAAGAAAAAATAGACTAAGATGGTTTGGGCATGTCACGGGGAGAGAGGAATCAGAAACAATAAAAGGTGTAATGAAAATAGATGTAGGTGAAAAGAGAGAAGACTGAAAAAGAAGTGATTGGATGTGGTTGAGAATGATATGAGGACACTGAAAAAGAGTTAGTGTATATAATAGGTGATCAGATCAAGTGGAAGTTTAGGATGAAGGTGATCAATAATTTACTAAAAATGTTGTTTCTTATATTATTTACCTACTTGAAATTGTTTCAGTGAATAAAATGTGACATTCAGTGATAATTTTAAAATTTGCTCTTTATCATAATAATTAATGACTATTTCTCAAATTTTTATCTACAAAAAGATTGTTTCATTATTTTACCTTTATATTTTTTTATAATTATAAATTATTATGTTTTAAGTATAATATATTACATATTGTAATTTTTTTTTATTTTAATCAAAACCTTACTATCAACCAATAAATTATTTGAAATAATAAATGCATAAATAATATAGTAAATAATAAGTTTATTAAATTTAAACTAAGGTGCCTACTTTAAGTGAGCAATTAACTCATTTCAATAATAATCTATTGATGATAATATCATAATGTTAGCATGAGGCATTTATTATACCTAATGATTTTCTGAGATAAATTGTATAAATATTAATTATTATACAATAATAGGTAGGTAATTGTCAAAGCATAATAAAAAATTTTATCCTAGTTTTTATTCCACCTGACTTTTGTATGACAATTAAAATGTATGCATTAATTTATTGATGTTTCACTGTCACATTATTCGATTGCAATCTCATAAATCCTCTGTTGAGAGCTGAAAATAAAACATTAATACAAAATAATTTTAATTACAACCAGTCTGTTCCATTCTTTCCACTTATTATCTTTTTAAAGCCTATTCGAGGACATTTAGACTTATTACCACTTGCACTTTATTTTGCCACTCATCTCTATTCAATTATATCCAATTTTACTATTATTATTTGATATTTATTTTAAATAAATTGATAATTGCTCATAATTTTTTAGTCCCACTACTCTTCAAATAAAAATTAACATTTAAAAAAAAAAATTGTTTGAGTAGTACAACATATCAGGAAATTGACTGTCAACTTAATATGGATCTTCTTAATGTATTTATTTTTTCAACTTCTATATAATATTATAAAAAAATAATCAAAGCTGACATAAATGATAGTATATACCTATCAATAATTGTTCAATGAATAATAACATATTGCTTTTAAATAAAAATAAATAATAATAATAGCTATAATAAGCTAATATATAATATAATAATTTATAAAATAATCTGTAATTCCTGTTTTAAAACTATATTTTGGATTATTTTAATATGTAGTTTTATAAAAATTATAATTTATTTTAATTTTATAATTAGTGACTCAATTGTTTTTTGAAAAGTATATATATTTTAGTTAAATTGTGTATTGGTGATTATATGATTTGATAAGTTTTAGATAAAAATATTCCCCGCGTATTTGTTTATTTTATATGTATCTAAATTGTTTTAATTAAGTTAGAAGGAAATAATAATAAAGGAGCTTATACTGGGAACGGGTGCAGCCACTATTGTAGGTGGGAAGTTGGAAGGTAGGATATATAAGGTTATTTCATTTATATCTGTAAGCAACGATAAACCATTGCTTGACAAAAGATGATTTCGAGCGCAGTTCAGTAATACATAATTTGAAATACTATCATTTTTTTTTTGCGATTTTTGATAATCGGAGCAAGTTTACTAAGAAAAAATTAGTTCACAGACTAAAAAATAAAATAATAATAATAAAAAATAAACAGAATTGTAAAACTATTACATATTTACTCTGGTTGATAATTTTTTTTTTTTTTCAGTTTCAATAATTAATTTCAAAATGAACGGAACAAACAATATAAAAAACTCAAACATACTAAAAGTTTTCAATGAGACCTATAATAATCAAAAATGGTCAAATTTTCTAGTTCGAGGGCCCCCCCATATGCTTACTTTTAAAATTTATTTGTATTTAAACGGTTTGAAATTTGAAGGAGAAGGTTCTTCGAAAAAAAAAGCTAAAATTAATGCGATAATGAAATTCAATAGTAGTGATGTTGCAAATACTTCTATACAAGTTCATTTGAAAAGTTCTCAAAAAAGAAGTTTAGAAGATTGTTTTACTGAAAGTCCCCCATGTAAAAAATATAAAAGTGATGCAAATCATATCATAGTACCTCAAACATCTGCTATATGCATCTTAAATGAAATATTTCCTGGACAAAATTTTGAATATGAACACGAGGTTTCTAATGGTTTATTAGAAACAATCAGTGTCAATATTTTAGGAAACAAGTATGTTGGTTATGGAAAAAATAAAAAAGAAGCAAAAGAAGTTGCATGCCGTAATGCATTAAAAGCTTTATATGACGTGCATCCAATAAATGCCAAATATAAAGATCGAATAGAAATTTATCGTACTGATTACGAAGAATCTAAAATAATAGATCATTTTGCTTCTATAACAAATGCTCAATACCAAAAATTAGAATTTGATAATAACAAATATAAAGAATATACTGTTATCGCAAGTATTATAAAAGTAAAATGTTTACTATTGATTAGTTATTTTAAATAAAAATGAGTTATTTTAATGTTTTTTTTTTTTTTATAAATTTAGGTAACAACAAATGATATTAAAACATCAGAAGTTATTTGTCTAGCAACAGGTACAAAATGTTTATCTGGTAACAATTTAAGCCTAAACGGTGAAACATTACATGATTGTCATGCAGAAATATTGACTCGCAGATGTCTGATAAAATATATTTATCAGCAACTTGTAGAATGTATAAATAAAAAACCATCTGTATTTGTTGTTACAAATGAGAATGACTACATGTTCAAATTATCGGACGATATTAAATTTCACTTGTATATAAATACTGCTCCATGTGGTGAAGCAAGAATTTTCAGCTTTTCTGATACAGAACACCAGTTTAATCGTTTAAATAGAGGGTTACTTCGATCAAAAATTGAAAATGGTGCTGGTACTGTAACAGTGTTTGGTCGAGAAGTACAAACGTATGATGGTGTAGCTCAAGGTGAACGCCTTGTAACTATGTCATGTTCCGACAAATTGACACGTTGGACTGTACTTGGAGTTCAAGGCAATTTGCTAGCCAATTTTATAAAGCCTATCTACTTAGAATCAATATCAGTTGGCAGTGTATTTAATTTAACACACATGAAAAGAACAATCTTTGGCCGTATTAAGAACAGTTTTCATTGTTTACCTCAAAATTATAAGTGAGTAATGATCTTAATGATTAAAATAATTGTATAACAAAATTTTTTAATCACAGAATACATGAACCGGAACTCCGTGGTTACAGTATTCTTCCTCGTAGGGTTTCTCATCAAGGACAGTATAGTATTGTTTGGATTGAAAATGGTGGAACAGAAGTTATTAACGGTAGAACTGGTAGAACAGTTTCCAACAAGTTATCAAGAATTTGTAAAAGGCAATTAGCTGAAGATTATGTAAATTTATGCCTTGCGACAAATACCCTTTCTACTCTTACTGACAATCAAACAAATATATTTTATGATTCATTAAAATGTAAAAATCAAAATTATATTTCAGCAAACCAGTCATTAATAACAGCATTCAAGATATCTAATTTTGGTACATGGGTACATAAACCTGAAGAACTTAAAACATTTGAAATAAATATTAAAAATATTTAATTATAAATGGTATTTAAACAACTAATAATTAAACATTTTTTTTTTTTCTATACTATTATTAATTAATTTTTGATAAAATTAACCAAGCTATTTATTATATGTACATTTATGTTGCTCATCCGCTCAAACACAGTACACTGGTCAGACAATAATGAACCATCACTTCATGCTATTTTTCCTATGTCTCGTAATGTAGATTACAAAAAAAAAAAATTTAATAAAACATTTTTTTATTCAGAGGCCCAGCAATACAAATAATAAAAGAATATTCTTCCAAATGTATAATAATTAAAATAAATACAATTTTCATTACTTAGATCATTTTGGAATTGTTGTGTTAATCGTACATTTTGATATTAATTAATGACAAGTTGCTGGGATCACAAATGCTTTTTTAAAATTTTTTAAACAATTACAAATTTTTATCTCTTGCCAGAGAGTAGTATTTACATTTTTGCTACAAAATTATTCTAAGTTTTAAAAATGTTACTTCTTTATATTATAATATCTTGGGAAGATTAATTTTTTATTTCTACTAATCTACAAGAGTATTTGTCACTTTCACTCTCTTATTATATATACCTACCTATTTTGTCCAAGTCTTTCTTGACCACATCCAACCACCCTTGAAGTATTAACTAGCTATGAACTATAAATAAATAAGTTATAATTTGAACTTTAGTTTAAGGATAGGTATTAGTATAATGTTCTTTTTTATGGAGGCATTAATTATGCACTCATTTACTGTCTTACTAACGTTTGACATGGTAAATTTGATTTCCGCATGGACTACTTTGTAAGTAAAATGACCTATTCTACATAATGATAAAAAAAAATCGGTAAATTATTCCTGTATTTTAATTTATAAGAGTTATGAATGAGTGAAATATCACAATTTAATAACATTACACAAATATTGTTCTTTTAGATTCAGAGCATAGCAAGTATTAGTTTTACAATGATATTTATTTATTTATTTATTTGTTTATTTATCTATTTATTTATTTATTTGTTTATTTATCTATTTATTTATTTATTTGTTTATTTATCTATTTATTTATTTATTTATTTGTTTATTTATTTATTTGTTTATTTGTTTATTTATTTATTTGTTTATTTATCTATTTATTTATTTGTTTATTTATCTATTTATTTTTTTATTTATTTTTTTATTTTTTATTTTTTTTTTTTTTTTTTTTTTTTTTTTTTTTTTTTTTTTTCATTTTTTCAATATACTGTGTACAAAATTTCTGCCAGTATTTTTGCTTAAATGTATCAAATATAGCACGAAAACTTTCATTTACTGCACTATAATTTTATTATTTTTAATTTTTTAGGTTTATGTTTTCTACCAGAAATATTGCTCAAATAAAAAATAAAAACGATGAGAGATCATCGTTACATTTTTAATCTAGATTTCATTTAAGTTTGGTAATAAGTAAAATCACTTAAATATTAAAACTAACAGCGCAAAGTTAACCCATGCTGAACGTATATTTTTTATGTTGTAAAACTATGTTGTAGTTATTAGAAACAGCAAATAGAGGTATAACTTTCTATTATGGTAACATGATAAATATATAAATCATCATATTTAATTTTCTATGTAGTATTATGTCTTTAGTATGTATATTTTTAAAATTAATAAAGAAAACAAAAGTTTCATTCTTATATAGATGTCTGTAGTAATAATTTATTAACTATATCTATAATATCACAAACTTATATCATTTGTTTGTACTTAAAATTTTATTTTGATTCACCTCTGATCTCTTTATAATACTTAATGACTACCAAGGTGTTAATTGTACCAATCTTATCATATGTAGGTAACTAAATTTTCCTATTTGATGTAATAATGTTTTTTAAATGCTAACAATACAACCTGAAATCTGGATATTTTTAGCTACACCCCATACATTTTACTAGGCACAACCGGTGCATGTATTCAAAAATAAAAATAAAATGCACAAATTTAATCTAATGTTATATATGCATTTGTCCTGGCCAACCATGAAGCCTTTCATGAATTACAGAATATTATTATAAAAAAGTACTTTACAATTTTGAAAACTTTCATTTAATAGTGAATATGTGCATAGTGCAATTCGTTTTCATAAATTGACTAGGTAACCCCTAATATAAATAAGAAGAAAAAAAATGTAATGTTCAATATATTATTGCAAACAAAGAATGTTTTTAATCAAACAAAAAGTCCCTAAAAAGAAAATAATATCAAAATAAAAAGAGACAGAATGTCCATTTGAGAGAATCCATATTGATTTTTTTTTATTTATGTTTTTTAGTAAATATAGATGTTTATATTAAATTTATATAAATAGTATAATAATGTATGTTCTGGCGCAAATGATATTTATCACAATTTTAAAATTAATTTTTATACTATTTATTCTGAATCTTTTAAATATCAAAACTAAAAAAAATTTAACAAAACTATTAAATAAATTATATAAAATAAAAATAAAAATTTAACCCATGATAACAATTAAAGAAAATTTATTTGATATTTCGACGTTGAAAACTAAATTTGATATTGAGATGTTGAAAAAATTGAATCGACGGTGTTGAAAACTTTGGTAAGCTTAAAACTCGAAAAAACATAATTAATAAAAGAAAAAACAAATTTATTTTGATATCGCAACCTTATACCTGAAAAATAGCTTTTCGAAAATAATGCATATTACCGAATAAGGACCACTCATAATTAGTTTTGAAAAAACTTTTTTAAATTAACGTACAAAAAAAATAGGTCACCAACTTTTATCAATAATATTACAATATTTTGTCTACCAGAAATAGATGCTGATATATTAAAAACCATTATAAATCATAGACATACCAAACGGAAATTTTATAAATCCTCAAAAAAAAAAATTTTCCATAATAAAGGGAGATATATAAAAAAAATTGAATTTTTTAAAAAGCGGATTGAGAAATTAATGCAAGAAAGAAAGATGTTCCTTGAAGCCCTTGAAGATAATATGAAAAAAGTTAGAGATCACGATTACTTAACAGGAAAATACCGAGGAGCTGCTCATTCTATATGTAATTTAAATTATAAGGTTCCTAGATTTATTCCAGTATTTTTCCACAATATATCTGGTTATGACACGCATTTATTCATACAAACATTTGATATTGATAAAGCTAATTTAAAAGCAATTGCAAATAGTGAAGAAAATCGCGTATCATTTTCAAAAATATTACGATTTGAGATATTAGATTCAGAAACTGAAGACCCTGTTTTAGATGATATAGGAAAACCTATTTTTAAAACAACTGAAATAAGATTTCTTGATTCTTTCAAGTTCTTATCTAGTTTTTTAGAAAAATTAGCTAAAACTTTAAAATTATACCAGTTTAAAGAACTATCTAAACATTATCCTGAAAAATTATATTTAGTGAAAGGAAAATTATGGTTTTCTTATAAATATATGGATTCTCTAGAAATATATGATGAAGAATCTTAACCTAATATAGATAAATTATATAGCTCTCTTACATGTGAACATGTAACACAAAATGCATATGAAAAAGCTAAACAAATATGGGAAACATTCGAAATAAAAATTATGAGAGACTTTACTATATTTTATAATAAAATATATGTATTATTGCCTACAGATTTAATGGAAAATTATAAAGCTGTTTCATTAAGAGATTTTAAGCTGGATCCTGTTCATTATTATAAAACAACAGGCTTTGCTTGGAATGTTATGCTTAGAAAAACAGGTGTAAAATTAGAACTGCTAAGAGATACTGATATGTATATAATGTTTGAATAGGGAATAAGAGGGATAACTATCTCAATGTAGTATTAGATATTCTAAAGCGAATAATAAATATATATCGGAGAAAAAAAAGAACAAACATTAATGAAATATCTCTTAGATTTGGATGCGAATAATCTCTATGGATGGGCAATGTGTAAATATTTACCATATAAAATATTTAAATGGTAAAATCCTGATTGGTTTAATACAGAAAAAATTTTAAGTATGAAAGATGACCAGGAAAAGGGTTATATTTTTGAAGTAGATTTGAAATATCCTGAAGAGCTTCACGATCTTCATTCAGATTATCCATTGGCTCCTGAAAATGTATTTGATAATAAAAAATTACGAAAATGAATAACAACTCTATATGATAAGAAAAAATATATTCTACATTATATTAATCTTAGGTTGTATTTAAGTTTAGATTTAAAATTAGAGTAAATATATAGGGTAATAAAATTTGATCAAAAATATTGGTTGAAACCATACATAGAATTTAACACAAATTTTCGTGCAAAAACAGATAATGAATTTGAAAAATATTATTATAAGTTAATGAACAACAGTGTATTTGGTAGAAATATGATGAACACAATAAACCATAAAGATATAAAATTAATTAATGATGGGAAAAAATTGGAAAAGTGGAATGCTAAACTAAATTTTAATCGAGCAACTATTTTTACAGAAAACTTAGTAGCTGTGCATATGAAAAAAACAGGTTAAATTAAAACAACCAATTTATTTAGGAATGTATATTTTAGATTTATCTAAAGCTCGAATGTATGATTTTTATTATAATGTATTGATAAAAATATATGGAAAAAATATTAGACTATTATACACACAGATTCTTTAATAGTATAAATTACAACTGATGATTTGTATACAGATGTAAAAAACAATAAACAACTTTTAAATTAATTTTATTTTTCTGATTATCCTGAGAATAATAAATATGGAATACCCCGAATAAATAAAAAAGTTCCAGGTAAATTTATATATGAGCTTAATGGTCAAATAATGACTGAATTTGTTGGTTTAAGATCTAAATTATATACATTTAAAGTATTTGAAAATAAAAATGAAATTAAAAAAGCAAAAGGTGTGAAAAAACCCATAGTTAAAAATGAATTATGTTTTATTGATTTTTATAATTGTTTAAAAAATAAAAATCCAAAATATGTAAAACAGACACTTTTAGAATAGATAAACATGAAATATATACTGTTGAACAAAACAAAAAAGCTCTTAGTGCACACGGTGATAAAATATATATTCTAGAAAATGGTATTGATACTGTATTTTGGGGACATTATTCAACAAAAATAGAAAGAGAAAAATTCAGAGAATACCTTGATAATTTAATAAAAACAAATAATAAAAAAGGATGAACTGCTTTTATTTTTAAAAGCTGAAAATGTCAAAGTATCGCAGCAATAAATAATCTAATTCATAAAATTATTTTTTTAAATCTATGGTCTAATAATTATTGTACAGATGCAACATTTTTTATATCAATTTTTTTAATAATATTATTTTGAAAATCTTGAAGTATACCTAAATACATATTACATTTTCCCCAAATAGTTATAGCATATTGAATATGAGATTGTACAAACGCACAATATACAGATTTTTTAAAACTACAATATATTGCAACATTAGGTGCGGACAATGATTTTTAATTTTAGAAATAATTTTTTTAATTTGAATACCCCAACCAAGTTCTTGATCAATTATACATCCTAGGTATTTATAATAATCTACCAGAAATATTGAAGAATAATCAAAATTTTTATTATTTTTACAAAGATTATTATGAATTATTAGCTTATTATTTTTTTCGGCTTTTGTGGATAAATCTATATACTGTATTTTGGAAATATTTTGAGATAATTTATTTTCTATTAACCAATTCCTAACTTTAAAAAGATCATTATTAGCTTTTTCATACAATTCTTCTGAACTATCTCCATCTACTATTAGAGCTGTATAATCTAAAAATAGCACCAAATTTCTACTTATTTTAATATTTGTTAAACTATTGATATAAATAATAAATAATAATGGATCGAGACATGTTCCTTGTGGAACACCACAATTAATTAATATTTTTTCAGATTTTGTTTTCCCGATTTTTGTACGGCATTTTCGGTTTTTTAAATATATTTTAAACAAATCTAGTGCAATTCCTTTTATACCTGTTTTCTAATTTGGTAATAAAATATCATGATCTACTGTATCAAAAGCTTTTTTTAAATCCAAGAAAACAACAAGTTTATATTTTTATCAGTTTTAATATGAGAGATTAATTTAGATATTGCGTCTTCTGTACTTGTCCTTTCTTGAAAACTAAATTGTGAATTAGAGAGTATATTATTTTTATTTAAAACATTTTAGCAATATTAAATTTTAAAGAAATCGGTCGATAATTATTCGGATCTAATTCACTTCCACTATTTTTATATATAGGTACAATATCAGCATGCTTAAATTCATTCAGAATATAATTTTTTGCAATAAACAAATTAAAAATATTAGACAATGGGACAGCATCTAACTTTTTAACAAATTTTAGAAATTCTACAGAGATTTTATCAGAACCAGGAGCAACAATATTTTTTAACGAATCAATTTTAAGAATTATTTCATCTGATATACCAGGTTCGAGATAAATAGATAAGTTAATATGAGAATTTTTATTTTCTCTTTCAAATTCTACATTAGGTATTTTAGACGCAAGATATTTTCCTATATTTACAAAATGTTCATTAAATAAATTACAATCAATTCCAGTAGGAATTTTTTTCTTATTAATTTTTAGATATTTCCGAAGCAATTCCCATTGATCTTTAGAATTATTTTTATTAATAATATTAATTTCATTTTTAAAATAATTTTTGCACAATATATTAATGTAATGAAATATTTTTGATTTGTAAAATAAAAAATCATTTAATAATTTTAAAGAATTATTTTTTTTCCTAAATAATTTATTACGGTTTTTGGTTAATGTGATTATTCCTTTGGTAATCCAAGGATTTAAAGATATTTTTAAACAAGTAGTTTTTGAGTGGTCATCGTAATTCAATAATAACAAATTTTAGAAAAACTTACTATGTTATATTTTTCCATCATCATCTTCATCAATCGTTTTTTGCCAAAAATTGTTGAGAGAAACCGCCCTGCATTACCTCAGGTAATTTTTTATGGTTTAGCAACAATTCGCTATTATATATTATACTATATGAAAAATTGCCGGGGAATGATTCCGATACGTCCAACTATTTATGTGTGAAAATTACGACTGATTTTTTTTGAGAATTTATAAAATTTTCGTTTGGTATGTCTATGATTTATAACGGTTTTTAATATATCAGCATCTGTTTCTGGTAGACAAAATATTGTAATATTATTGATAAAAGTTGATGACCTATATAATATCAAATTTAGTTTTCAACATATCAATTCCAAATCAATTTTCAACATCTCAATTACAAATCAATTTTTCAACGTCGAAATATCAAATCAATTTTCTTTAATTTTTATCATGGATTAAATTTTCATTTTTATTTTATATAATTTTTTTAATAGTTTTGTTGAATGTTTCTGGTACAGTTTGATATTTAAAAAATTGAGAAAAAATAGTGTAAAAATTATTGTTAAAATTATGATAAATATCAACTGCACCAGAACATACATTATTATACTACTTATATTTGTTAAAATACCACGTAGAATATAATATAGAGATGTAATAAAGGATTTTCAAAAATGTTTTACTTATTGGGTTGCATGGAAATAGTCCCCCATTCAATTCATGGGAATTTGAAGCATATGGGAAGGAAAATAATTATAGAGTTCACCCTATCATTGTCAGTTTAATGATTTAGCGGATAGAAGTTTTCCGATTTTTTCAAGAGTTTTCTAGCAAATATGAAAAACTGGGAAAAAACATAGGAAAACGCGAAATGGGTACAACATTAATCAAATTTTATTAAAGAAAATATAAAAAGCCTTTTAAATTATTTTACTATAAAATGACAAATATATTGTTGACAAAGCATCACTATCAACTGAACTTGCCTTGGAATAGTTTTTTCATAAGCATACTACGTTTTTACATAATTTGGAAATAATGACTTTTGGGCTTTGGCCATGGCAATAGTGCTTTTTGAAATAACACATAAATTTATAAATGATAAAGTTATAAAAAAAAGTACTAAAAGTCACAATGCAGATTCTTCTCAAGGCGGTAGGGTTATTACACTATTGTCAAAGACCACTATTAATTATATTATTGAAGCTATGTGTCAAAAAATCAAAGTTGTAATGTCTGAAGAAATTTTAAAGGCCGGTATGTATACCGATCAACTCGACACAACTCAAGCGAGCAAACGAGTCTAGCAACCTAGTGAAAACGCGCGAATTACAACGCGATGCGTATTCTAACGTTAAGCGAGCGAATCTGCGTAGACGATTTTGATTTAAAAAGTTTGTTAAAGCATAGCACATTTAAACGATGTAAACAAAACCGTACGTCAAATGATGACGGGTTGGACAAAATAGAATAGCTACTGTTCGCGACCAAGCGATCCGGTTACTGCTTGTTTGGTACCACTGCGTCCACCGTAGTGGTATCAGTTAAACGAGCATGCTACTGGTTATCGCGTACAATAACCTTGGCGGTTATTCTAACATTTCAAATGATAGAAAAGCGCGAATATAAAGATAACAATTTAAAATCAGATCAGTTACTAACAATTAAAGACTTTTACAGCAACTTTCATAGACCAGAAAAATAATTTTTTAAACTATATTAAAGATTCTGAGAGTACTGCAGACCCCTGAGCACCTCTGGCTACGCCATTATAAAATTATAACAAATTTCACCTACCTATGTGTCGTTTATTCGCCTCAGTAGACGCCGTTCCAAGTTCTTTTCCGTCGAAAGCATCGTACCATTTCACCTGGTAACGTTCGACGTCGGCCTGATCCTTCCTCGAATTATCAGTAAAAGTCCATGAAACGTTGTAATTGCCTCCGGATCGTTCTACCCGGATGTCAAACGAGTCGGTGACGGGACCGGTGGATTTATTTAATTCTTGCAAACTCAATTGATCAGATTCTGCCACTACAGATAAACAATAAGTAGGTAGTGAATACATAAGTAATAACATTGATTATACATAGTACATTATATTTGTAATCAATAATAATACAAATACCAATACTTTTAAAAGAATTTTTTTTTTAAGAATAGTACCTAGATTAGTTACGATAAAAACACCAGTATATGGCCTCTATGTCAGTTTAAGCCGTATAAAAAAAGTCAAAATTTCACTGAAATTCTAAAAAAGTAGCTGCCCCTACGAATATTTTCAACTGAATTAACTGCACAAAAAAACTAAATTTAAAATAATAAAACCATCATGTTCGTACATTTTTTCTGTTTTGTCCAATTATTAAAAAACTATAGAGGAAATCAAAAAACGATTTTCTTAGTCACCAACTCAATTAAAAATGCAATAAAAAAGATCCCTTGTTATTTACTATTGGACCAATATTTCTCGTAGAAAACATCGCACATAAAAATTGAAAATAATAAAATCGTTCGCCGTAAATTTGGTCGTCTATTTCTGGTTTTCCCAATTATTATGAAAACTATATGAAAAATTATAAAACGACTTATTTGTTGAGCAACTAAATCTAAAATGCAACAAACAATCACTTTTCATTTTTCGATTGAAATACATTTTCTATTCGAAAAGTTATTTATGGACAAACAAAACAGAAAAACAAACGTCATAGTAAAGCTGTAATATTTGATCTTAAATAAAAAGTCATTTTCTTCGCTATCTAACGTTAAGTTATGCATTGTAACTTTTATAATGAAATTATAATATTAGCAAGCATCTATTATAAAAAAATTAATCTCAAAAAGATCCTAATAATATGTTCAGAAGTGTGTTATACAAAAATGTTACCGTAATTTAAGATTTTGTATTTTTAAAGTAGCTGTCATATTTTTGTGCGACAATTTTGTAGAAAAAATTTACATATTGCCCTCAAAAGTATTGTCCTCTTTAAATTGTATTATTTGTAATTAAACTACGATTATAATTTAAACGCCAAGTAACGTAATTTTGCTATTTCGTCCATAAGTTAAACTGAATTAATAAACGAGGGTGTAGCGTTCTCTCAATTGGTTAAGTCTAGTCATAAAAAACAATTCAAGTATATGATTTATTGATTTCTTAAAAGTTTATTTTCATTGTCAATGTGTTATTCATTAGTATGGTGACATTCACTAAGGTCTTTTGTAAACTAAGTTATTTTTACCCTTTGGATGTATTAGAATCGATTTACTAAACAATGACTCGCCGCTTATCTCTTCCCGACACGACACCATAATCTCATATTCTTTGCTGGCATTTAAATTCCACAGGATCGCTTTCCCGTCGCTAGACGTTGCCGTCGCGTTCCAGTTCGACAACTTCAAACTAGTATCTCTACTCCTGAAACGACGTAACATTGAATAATGTTATGAATACCTATTAAGCTTAAGACTTAACTATTCCATTTTTATTCATTTAACAGTAAAAACAACAATGTTAGGTAATTAATATAACTACTGTAAATTTACGATTTTTTTACGGGAAAAACATTTGGTCTCTATAATATCAGCTAGATACCTACATACAAATGCAAATAGACATGAGATAATTATTATTATTATTTTTTTTTTTATTATCAATTAGGTCTTATTTATATACTCCAGATTTTTCACTCCACCCATCAACTTAAATTTCAGCTTATTTACCTAAAATAGTGTAGGTCTCTCAATGAATATTATTTATAGGTTAATACAATAATAATAATAATAATAAGTGTCACACTAACCATACGGTACAAAACGAATACGGCCGTTTCCAATACGCCACAATATTTTTTTTTGTCGAATTTATATGCAAACCGAAATTTTTCTGATGGAATAAACTCTCCTCCACGATCAATTCGGTTTCTGCCGATATAGTGGCAGCAATGTTGGATGCCACACATCGGTAAACTCCTCGGTCTTCACTTTTAACGCCCGTTAATGTGAGATTACCACCGGCGACTGTCACTCGAGGATCAAATAAACTCTTACCGTCTGCCTGAATATAATTATAAATAATAAGATAACAATATTATTAAAATATTTAGTACTCATAAATAAATATATAAATAATAAAATAAATTTGTTTTTAATATTTACAGGGAAACACACAAACTGATGCTATAAACCACATGACTCTAATCACCCTAATTCTCAAAAAATGTCATTTTTTTAATTCAATATTCTATAGACTTGAACTTATTTCACAATTTAAAACAAAACATCACACCAAAAATCATCCAATAATATACTTAATTAATGACTAATAGAGTAAAAAACATAACTTATTATATTATTATTATTATTAATAATAATTTCATATTGTATTCAAAATATATTTGAAACTATAACTTAAAAAACTAAGTACAAACGTTTTTGGACAAAAGATGCTAACTCATCATTAAATCATGAAGAAAGGAGGAATGTTCTCGTATACTCGTCCCAATAAGTAATAACAAACTAACTTTTTGCCAAACGATTGCTGGACTTTTATTATCCACATTTTCTGCTTCACATGGCATCGTAATGTTATCGCCTAGTTTACGAAAATACAACACTTTTGGTACGACTATTAATTTTGGCGGATGCTGGACGATCAGGTCCATTGGCGTCGAAGGACCTTCGGTTCCCAAATCATTGAATGGCGTGCACGTATATTTACCACTGTGTTCTTTTCCGACCTACATTTACCATACGTAAAATAAATTTAAAAATTAATCAAATCTCAGTATTCCCTATCCATCATTTTAAGTATACTAATATCACATTATCATAAGTAGATTTTTACTCACCCTGTTAAAGTACAGAGACCCGTTCAACTTGTGATAAACTCCAGGCACGTTATACGTGTCGAACAAGAACCCGTCTTTCTCCCATCTGATTTTCGTTAACGGCGGATTCGAATGGAAGTGACAGTCCAACGTTCCGGGTTTACCGAAAGCAAGAAAAACTTCGGCGGGTGAATAGACGATTTTTGCCTTGTCTGCAATAAATGCGAACAAATTAAATATATAGATGGTATAGAAATTAAAATTAAATGGCAAACTAGTTATAGGTTATTACAGGGATGATCAAAAGAGATGCGTGATAAAGGGGCGTATTAAGTAATTTTTCTTAAATATTTATTATAATATATAGAGTGACTTTTTAAACATGCTCAGTGCTCACCCCATTGTTATAGTTAAATTATACATAAATTATAATTATAATATCTGGAACTTTTAAGTGCAATTAATGCTGGGTGTTACCATTGGTTAACCTCCCTAATCTGAAGATTCCCGTTAATTAAGTTTCTTTTTGTCCTATATCAAACCTACTAATTATACAAAATTGTATAGATCGTAGATAACTTTAAAATAAATAAATTTAAAAAAAAGTGTAATAATTACATTGGTGTTAATGTAGATGTAAAATATTTTGGGAAGTGATACACGAGGCATAAGGAAAAAATGATAGTGCACTACACGAATAAATAGTACATAATAGTACTCTATAAATTTATACGTTATGTCGTTACGTCACATTGTCGGCCGTCGCTATCCGTTGCATACAAAACACATTAGCACAGAGAATCCCGGAATACCGATTGGCCATATTAATTTATGGTTGGGACGAGTTCAGGATGGCAGCTCCAAGGGGCCAAGCCACCGGGATCGACAGCTTCACGAACGAGGCACTCTCGGTGACTGCCTACAAGGACCCAGATAGGCCTGTCGACAACCCGTTCAGCTTCCAGCCCTTATGCGTACTGGATACAGCGGGAAAACCTGGCCAAATGGGTGACCATAGACCGTCGCGACAACAAAAGCTGTGCATGCTCATGGCTTTGATGTCCAAGAACGTGTTCAACACGTCTCCTTGGGGCCACGTCAACGCGTCTCTCCGGAATAGGGGTGTCCCCGGATACTTGATTAAGATTCTTCGCTCCTACATGAAAAATCGCACATTCCGCGATCCACAACTGACGATAAGAGGCTACGCCGTTCCGATTAAAAGTAATCTGCGCTATATGAGGCTCCCTTAGACTCGCATTTATCATTCAACAGCCACTTTCGCACCATCTCCGAAAAGGCCTCCCGGGCTACTCTCGCTATCGGTCGACTCATGCCGAACCTTGGAGGACCCTCTCAGGACCTAACTAATGTTCGTCGTCAACAGCAGGTTGCTCTACGCAGCCCCAATGTGGGCCGACAGAGTGACCAAGCACGCCATATGCCGCAACATTATGACACGGGCCCAACGAACTGCAGCAGCATTCAGTGTTACCCAGGTCTACCACACAGTCTCAGCCAATACGGCCTTATTTCTTCGGGAGACTTCGAATGTTGTTATCACCATAGGATGCTCGTTAAAATTATTCTACACATTAAATGTTGTGGAAAATCTAAGTATGCAAAAATATCTTAAAAATACCGTTCATTGCACTTAAAAATTCCAAAATTCAGAATTTAAATGTATGCACAATTCAACCATACCAAAGGGGTTAACATGCATACAAAATCACCCTGTATATTAAATTATACCTTCATAGTTATGAAAAAAAGATTATGTAAATAATAATAGTTCTTTAAAATTATCCTTATCCCTCCCCCCTATGATCAAATCATTTGACCACCACTGGTATGCTATCCAGTACCTATACATTCAATACAGTTGTCTAATATAAGTATTTTAATACCTACCATCAATTGCCCATACCTCTTGGCAATTTGTTAGTACTGAGCGTATTTTTAATAGATCTGCATATAACAACAGTGGCCGTATCATTGAATATTTTAATCATAATCGTTGTTATATAGTCATATCCATTATAATATAATATATGTTACTTTTTGGTTTCTGTGGTTTATTTTAATATGGTATTGGTTAATAAGTGAGTATTATATGTTCAAGTGTAACTAAAGAAATTAACGTTAACAAACATGTAATTTTGGTTTTTTTTTTCACCTCCTCCCTTCACTATTAAGAAATCTTAGCTACACCACTGCTAGAAAATCATGATTTTCTTCAAAAAAACTGTCGATCGTAGCAAATACTTTATACTTGATTTGCACACAAGTGCTTAAGCACAATTTACGATTGAATGTTAACATGGAAATAAATAAAGGTAAATTATGATATAGGTATAAAAGAATACAAGTGGATCTAATTTAAAACTACTCGAAAGATAGTAGCAGAAAAATAATGGCAATAAATCAATTCGATATATATTTGAAAGTTTTTTGACATAAAAATGCATTTTTATAAGACAATAAGTATATAGTAGATAGGTACTGGCGGTACAGCAAAAAGTAGAGATGTGAAATTTGTGAAACTTTTCATTTAAATCTTCTAGGCTTTTATAACCGTATTATACTGGTATCGCAGTACTAATCAATTTGCATTGTATTTAATATATAATTTTTATCAGTGAATAACATGATAGTATAGAGGTTAAGTGAAAGTTTAAAAATCATTCAACTTCATATCTCTGGGCCAAAAATATGTAAAAACAATTCTAGAATTACAGACTTCAATGAACATAAAAGTACCTATAAGGTTACGTTATTATTATTTTATATAATATAGAATATACTCGTAGATAGCATATGAGACAAGTGGTAAGTAATTTATTTTTTGATAATATTTTTGTTTTTATTTAAATTTCATACGACACGTGTGCGGCAATCAAATGATATATTATATTTATTAATTAGGAAATTACACTGAACGTTGAGAAAAGCTCCGGCTGAAAATGTGCCTTTCGCCGACATTATGCGACACAAATAGAAACCGTTGTCGTTTAATCCCGCGTCGTAAATGTCCAATGATCCTTCGAGCGACACGTTAAATCTACCATTCAAAATTGGCAGATCGTCCAACGGCACGCCGTCTTTGTACCATTGGACTGTTGACTCGAGATCTTCTTTCACGCAACTAAAATGGACAGACTCGTGTTCCAACCTGGTTTGATTGATTGGCGGTATGCTCATTATATCTCCACCTATCTCCCAAAACAAATTATGAATTATTTTATCATGTACAACTAGAACTCACTAAGAGTGTCATTTATTTTTTATTTTTAAACTCTGAGCGAAGGGATCTATTGGTTTTACTATGATGTGTTCACCGTATTACACCTGTATTCACTATTCACCGTGCAATAAGGAGGGATTTTCAAAAATGTTGCGTTTTAGTGGAGTAATTAACAATTATAATTATTCACCGCCAATACGTATTGTAAGGCGCGGCGGCCCGCGGGTCTCCAGCTACCTGCAACCTATCATTTTTGGTCGTCGTCGTGTAGATAAGAATAATGATTCCGAGAATAAAATTGTTCCGAGAAGTTTATCGATAAAAATAAATATATAGATATTAGGTTATTATGTATATTATCGATAATTAAGATATTTAAGACGGTAAATGGTAATACATGGCGTTATCTAATTTGTCACGAATTTGTTTCCGGGCAACGCCGGATAATTCAGCTAGTTATTTAAAAATTTAAAAAAAATATATTCATTTTATTTTTATAACAATAAATTCTTTAAACGTAAATGTTTTTTTAAGACGTAGACTACAGATAAAAATAACGTCGGTGTACGGATGCATTAATTAAGTTTCAGTGGAAAATTTATTGCGTTTGTTATTATTATTGTTATATTATTATATATTTATATATGTGCTTACACCGAATTTATAATTAATAAAAAATACCTATTGTAGTCAGTCAAATTTTCGTTAAAAATAATATAGTATACGTAATATAGGTATCATTGGTCCCATGGAGAAAGGACTTAAGTCAATTTTGTGTAGTTTTCAATACAAGTAAATTACATTTTGAGAATATTTCTAAATATTCAATAGTAATATGGCTAAATTATTATTTAACAAATGCCTTTTTACCAAACAAAAAAATTCAATATATAAATATATATATACTTATAGTAACCTAGAGTATTTTGGTTTTCATAAGACGAGTATTACATATCACATATTATATTAGAATAGGGTGACCATACGTCCTGTTTTAAACAGGATTGTCCTATTTTTCAGCTTGATGTCCTGTCTTTTTAATTGGAATTAAACAGGACGCACGTAGTCCTGTTTTCCGTTACTATCCTGTGTTAATCCTGTTTTTCACTATTTTTTCATCAAAAAGTGATTAATTGATAAAAATGTTGTTAATAAACTACTTTAGATATTTTTATCTATGAAATCAAGTCATGTTGAGACATGTATTTTTAGTGCAGGTATTTATTTTCCCCAAAATTACGAATATGTCGATCGCCGATAAGAATAATATATCATTATTGTAACATGATATAATAAATATTAATAGCATTCATAACACTAGAACGATATTTATTTTTATTAAGGGATTGAAATTATTTTTAGTTTTGATTTTATTTTTGAATATTTCTCCTCTATCTAAGTATAGACTATAGAATCTATTTCAACCTCTATTCTGTAAATATTATTTATTATACATGTATTTTCAACGTATAAACATAATGTGTTGGTATAAATATAAAATACGTACGAATATCTCAACTGGCGATTAGTCATTAGTACATGTCTTGGTCTTGTGCAACGTGCAGTGCGTGTTTATCCATTTTTTACAATGCCGAAAAGAAGGTGCGTTTTTACCCTGAAGAAATTGGAAAAGTGTTTTGTTCAGTATGTAAATCTGTATTTTCAATTGAAAATAGTGGCTGAGCAGACATAAAACAACATATCACCAAAGCGAAAAAACATTTACGTGCAGTATCTTCTACGTCAAGTAATGATATTACACCTTTTTTTTAAAAACAAAGCCCAGTTGGGTTATCTGATGAAAGTAAGCATCTTGCAGTAAAATAGGGGTTATTTTCATTTCATATGATCATACATAATCATTCTTTTAGATCAATATATAGAGAATTTATAACGAAAAATTCTCTTGTGCTCGTACTAAAACCGAATTAACTATTTTAAACGTTTTTGCTCCTTTTGCCATGAAACTAGTTTGTAATTAATTAAAATTTGCAAAGTTTACAACAATTTTGATAGATACCTCAAATCATAAAAACTTAAAAGTTGTACTAATACGCTATTTCAACCCAAAAAAGGACGTGCAAATAAAAATTTTGGAAATAATAAATTTAAAAGGCGAAACTGCTGATATTTTAACAAATTATATTATTGAGATTTTGAATAAACACAAATTATCAGATAAAATCATTGCATTTTCTGACGATAATTATAACACAAACATTGAAGAGTCCAATAGGAAAGAAAAAAAACAATTTTTTCATTTCTAAATAAAAGTTTAAAAAATAATATTTGTGGTACCAGCTGCGCCGCTCATGTTTTACACAACGCAATGCAATCAAGTGCTGATATTTTGTCGATCGATGTAGAATCTATAGTAAACAAGATTTTCCAGTACTTACATATATATACTGTACGTGTTGAACATTTGAAAAAATGTTGTGATTTTGCAAATATTGAATTCAAAAATATTCATGGTAGTGTTAAAACCCGTTGGCTATCTTTATCACCAGCAATTACAAGAATAATTGAAATTTGTCCAGCTTTAAAATTACATTTCGTGACACAAGATAAATGTCCTACGATTATAAAACTTTTTTTAATGATCCTTTTTCATTAATATGGCTTCATTTTTTGCAAAGACAATTGAAAGTTTAATATGATACTGTTGAAAAAATTGAAGGAGATAAAATATAAGCGTGTGAAGTAACAGATAAATTGGAGGATTTGTGTGGAAAAATTAGAAATAGGAAAAATCAGAATTTTTTGACTTCTAAAATTATATCACTTTAATAATTGAAATGATTTGAAAAAACAAAGCATGTATGATGAAAAGTAATTTAAATAAAATACTGATATGTTTTACGATACTTTTTTATTATACCTTGAAAATGGGGTTATCATTTTGACGATTTGAAAAAATTACGGTGGATTCAATTAATAAATTATCCTACTTGGGATGATGTTCAACAAAGTATACATTTTTTGAAAGAAAAAAACAAAAATAATATCGGTTAGAAATTAGATGAAGATGATTTATTCGATGAATTTAATCGTGTAGTGAACATTTTCAAAATACGAGTTCATGAATGGAAAAAAAATTGTACAAAAGTAGAAAAGAAATGGTGTGAAATTTTCAAGTATATGGTAAATCAAAATATTGGCCTACAAACATATCAGGGATTATTGAATATGATTTGGCGATACCCGGAACAAATACAGCAGTTGAAAGAACGCTTACTAACATAAATTTATTGTGGAGTGGTGAAAAAAATTGTTTTCTTATAGATACTATAAACGCTTTAATTATTATTAAAAATCATTTAAAAATTATTCTTGTAATTCTTGAATTTTATAATTTCCTTCTAAAACAAAATGAACTATTAGATTTAATAAGTTCATCACAAAAATATGACTTTCGAAATAAGAAAGAACTCCAATAAACATTAGAATAAAATATGTAATATGTAAAATTAACAAATGTACATTTATGAATGATTTTTTTTAAAATATAACAGGTAACAAGTTTAGTTGTTATAATATAAATATAAAAGGTATTATACAGTATATAATATATATATATATATATATTATTTATACAAGTTTCATATTTTGACAATCAATAATATTTTTTTTACTCATTGCAAAAAAGTGTCCTGTTTTTTTTTTTTACATATGGTCACCCTTTATGCATACATACACATTTATTTTATTAAAACTGAAAATTAATGAGGATTAAAATATTGCATAAGACAAAACTATACAAAAAAAAAATGTACTCGGGCTCTTCTTCCCTGGGACCAAAGTTGTTCGAGAAACCTGTACCTATACCTACCGAGTTGGAAAGGTTAACACGTATACAATAGTTCCAGAAAATAATCATGATAATATTATATAGATATAAAATGTATAAATTTACAAGGTCAAAAGAGAGCAATGTATCTAAGTGATTCATTTAAAAAACGGCGTGTGATAAATAATAATAAAATATTAGTACGGTAGGACTATTAGATACGTAGGTAAATAATACGACTATTATTATGGTGGTTTCGTTGACACACTTCTCTGTTGACTGTTTTTGATTAAGTATATAATATACCTATACATTTATATTATTATAAGCCCTTCTTATCGCTTCTTCCTGTCAACAGTATCATACCATCTAGTTAACCTACCAATATAAAAAGGACCATGAATAATATTTACTTACTCATAAACTGACCTCGCATCTCCGACAATAACGGACAGTTATATATTTATATTTTATATGCAAATTAATATCTTTAGGTCAATGCCATAACTATAAATATCGGTCAAAAAAATTAATTTAAAAATATTTTTTTCGTTAAAAATTCGAAAAGAAATATTATATAAAATATTATAGTTGAAAAAAACGCACGAGTAAGTGATGAAACACTTTTTCGAGGAATTTCAAAAAATTGCTCAAATAAAGTATATACGCGGACAAAAAATCGATATGAAAAAATGTTTTCTGAGAAAAAAACTACATCTAAACACAATATTTAATACCTATTTTTTGCTACACTTACAATCTGAAACATAAATCTTATGAGGGGTGTGAGGTTCCCTCTAACAATGTTTACGTAACAAATTATACATTCCTCAAATCCCCACTCCCAAAAAAAGTCATAATTACGCCACTGGACACGCATTAGGGTGGTCCTTATTTTTTATATTTTTTATAGATAAGGTTCTAAATGTTTTTTTGCTAAGTTCTATAGTTTTTTACATATATTTGAAAAACAACTAATCACCCTAACGTACATACATACATACATACATATGTACGTACAGACAGATAGAACTTCAATTTTATATACAAGATATACGATGGATACCTTGGACATCGAGTTTGATCCGTACACCGGCATCGACGATATCCGTTCCCACGGCGGACAATGTTGAGGCAGTGCTCGATTGATGTGATAAAGGCTGCGACGACGGTAAAGGCGGACGCTGCGATGAAGCAGTCAACTGCAGATCGCGGTTTTTGTGCGTCGCGAAGCACTCGTAATCGCCCGTATCCGATTCCCGAAGACTGGAAACGTTAATTGAAGTGGCGATGGCATCGCTGAACTCGGGGGGTTCTACGATGCTCGTCCGCCCTTCATACCGTTCGTCGGTCGTTAACGACCCGCCCGACAAAGTGAATACGGTATGCCCCTGTGAAAGTAAAACCGATTTGATACACCAAGATAAGTTGGTATATAACTCAGTGGGACATTTAAAAGGGGGAGGGGCAAACGGGAAAATGGCCCCGTGCGGTAAAATGTCAAGGGTGATAAAATTTAAATGATTTTAGGTATAAACATTTTTAGTGGAAAGAAGAAACAATGCTGGGCTAAGTAAATTGAAGGGGGGCATTTTTGCCTCTAGGATGTATAAATTCTAGATTTGCCACTGAGGTATTTTACCCATCAGGAGTAGATTTATTTATACGTGTAGCTATAATTGCATACGTCGAATACAAGTTAAAAATCTACTAAATTTTACAATTTAGTACAAATTTTAAAAAAAACTTCACTACATTCGCAACATTTCTTTTACCACTAAATACAACTTATAATGAATCTCGTGTTAAATTTTCGTACCTTTTTAGCTGAATTTAAATAATTCAAATAAAACTATACAAATCGAAAATTATAGACAGCTGAAAATAATTTTAAAAATCAACAGATTGTTTGGAAAATTGTGCCATGTCAAGAAAATACTAATATAAACAGTAAACAATGGAAATTTCAGTTCTCTAGTTAAATTGTAATGGAAAAAAAATCGAAATTAACGAAAATTACGTTATAGTTACGTAAATTATCACGTTTATAACGAAAACCCTAAAACCAACGAATGCTAAAAACGTTTCATAGTGATACCCGGTAAATAAACGTTAGATCATTTTCAAAATTTGAAAATGAAACTAATTCGGAATTTCTAAACAGTTCACCTTAACAGTAAAGATGTAGAGTTAACAGATCTAAATGATAAATAATAATCACGAATGATGACATCTACAACAGTGATAATAATAATACAATTTACCCTGTTGTCAGAAAAATTAACAAAACATTTCGAAATAGCTTATATTAAAAAAAAGTTATCATTAATAAGAAAGAAGCGTTTTAGAACGATAACATTTATTGAAAGAAAAAACCGTTATATTATAAAAAAAAAAGCAAAACTTTTTATCGCAAACAAAAGATAACAAAAGTTTTCAAGCCCCGATGAAAACTCCTGGGAAAATCGAAAAATGACCTCCCTAAAGTACCTTCCCAGTGAAATTTTCTTTCAGAAAAAAGAGACGAAATATTTTTTAACTAATAACTAACATTTCGTACATTTTCCGGTTTTTTCAGATTTTTGTCAGATTTCTTTTCAGAAAAGGTGATACACTTAAAAATCGGAACAAGATTTCTAGCAGAAAATTTGAGCACTGATAAAAAAAAAAACTAATCAACTTTGTAAAACCGTAAACTTCTTCGCTCCACTCGGAATCTAAAATACGAGGAAAATCAAAAGTTTATTTCCTAAACGCACTGACCATTGCTACACTTGATGATTGGAACTGGATTTCTGGTAGAAACGTTATTCGCAAACAGAATAAAAAATAATAATAACAACAATATGTATTCCTCGTTACGCCAGAATCGAACAAATTAATGACAGTTTCGATTGTGCGATTCGTTAATCAACCGAAGGAAGGGAATAGTGTGCTCAACTATAGAAATATTTAAAACGAAAATGTCTTCAAGAAGAAATCGGATGAAAAAAAAATATTATTTGCTAGTGCCTAGCATACAGATCGCGTAACTACCCAAATAATATATTTTGTTTTAAGCGGAACGCACGGGACGGTTAAATTTTCGAGCATTTTCGCAGAAACGAAACAGTTTTGTCCGCATAAACCCGGACGAACAAATTTAAAAAAAAACTCCGAAATTCGTCAAATCGCTATAAATAGCCCATAATTCGACACGTCACGTGATTGCCGTAGTTGAACGGCTAAACGCACTGCTACGGTTTTTTTTATTGCTTTTCAACACTCACGTTTTTCGTCCATCGTATTACGAGAGGACGACTACGGCGGGTGACGTATTCGAGCGGCACCGGACAATCGAACACCGCGTAACCGCCGACTTTGGACGTTAACGAACCCGAGACGACGCTCGTGACGGTAGTAGCGGTGATGGCGGCGGTGGCGTTTGTCGACTGACAGTGGCAACCGGGCAACACGCGCACCAAGGGCAACAGCGAAACGAGGACGGCGAGCATTTTCGCGGCGCAACACGCCCGGGTGTAGATATGGGTACGCGAAAAACAATAATAGGAATCTCTACCAGAAAACCTCTCTCCCGTCGTCTCGCGGCGACAGGAATGACGATTTCGGTCTCGGGACCGCGCTGCCGAAAACTGCGGTACACGATTGACGACGGCGAGAGCGTATTATTATTGTTATCATCTGTACATAACTCCTATTCCGTTTCGTAGCCGTCGGCCTACTACTGCTCGATTACTACTACTCGACGACACCGAATAATAATAATAGTTATAGGTACCTGCCTACCGACCTACACTGCAGAGTGCACAGTATTGCTCCGGCGAGAGAAAAAAAAAAAAAAATTGCCGTTGTAGAATTTCGTCCGAGTCGGCGTCCAAAAGTACGCAACTGGTTACAGAGGGAGGATCCATAATAACAACAATAATAATAATATACGTGCCTTTTTTTATTAGCCAACAATGAACGGGGACGTGCGCATGCAGCTTCCTGCTGTCGCTATACCGTCGCACGTATAATAATATTTTATGTGCCAGTGTCCGAACCGAGGGCACGCGATTGCCGCGAGGTCGCTAAAACAAAAGTCGAAAACGAACCTGTATTCCCTACAACGTCTCGATTTTGTATTTATTTTTTTTTTTCCATTCAATACAAGCATCAACGATTCCTGACGGATATCAGCACGTTTTTGTTTTTCAGTTCGTTCTGACCACCGTCGTATCTACGCACCGTGAAATGATAATATACCGAGTAATGTACCTATACATATATAATTAAGTACTTATTATGAATATCGCATAATAATGATATATTACATTATGCATTTTGCAATTATACTGCAGCTATACCTACTACAATTGTACATTCAATTATTCGTGACGCACATATTTTGCCGATAGAATTTAAAAAAAATATGTAAACCAAACTAATTGAGGTAGGTACCTGAAATATTTCAAACACAGAGTCGGTATACTAGGTGTAGATCGATACGCACACTCAGGGGCGGTCAAACTGAGGGGATGAGGGACGATATGCCCTGCAGGTGCTTTTTTTAATTCGTCCCAAGCAGAAAACGAGTTAACTAAACTAAAGAATAACGAATCGGTTGGTCCTGACGGGTGTTTTTCTATACGCTATTCGTTCTCCACATTGTGTTCCTCTATGGTTTCTGTTTCTCAAAAGCCATGACTCTGGTCTCTCTCTTGAGATATTCAAATTTACTTCTGTTTCTCCGACGACAGCAATGAATACGCACACGATGGCCACTGTACGTACGCGGCAGCGGCGGAAAACGATTTATGGCTACAACGTAACAAACGCTATGTAGGTACCGATTACCGACACGACAAATCGCGGGAAACGGACCAAGAGGACGTCGTCGGTAGACACACGCGGTTACCTACGCACAAGGGGCACGCACGCGACAGAAACGTAAGTATGTAAAAAAAGGATGGTTTGGCCATGGCCCGTTTTGTTGGAAAAATAAAATGTTTACGCTGGCCGTCAACCTGACTCAACCCCATTTATCGTCTCTTACAACAAGTAGAAATGGGAATATTCTAACACCCTCCCACAAGGAAAACTCGGGTAACAACATTTATATCAATAATAACATAAGAAAAGTCTTCGTCCATGTGAGTAATACAAAAAAATCAGACTTTTATTATCTATATTATCTCCGGAGATATTCAAGGAGTATATCTTCGTGGGACAGCTTGTATAAGGTAGCTTAAGCATGGCTTTGTAGACAAAATTAGAGAAAATAGACTAAGATGATTTGGGTATTGGACAGGATTGGATTTAAGACTAGGCTATGGCCGAGGCACCGTGGCCGGCAAAAATGTTGATTTTATTTCAAATATAATTCCTATCTGCGAATTTAATTTACCATCTACTAGGGAAAAAAAATTATATTTTGTTGCTGGAAATATTTTTGAACAAAATACTGATATTAAATAACGTTTACTTTTTTTTTTTGTAAATTGATAAAAATAGCCCTGGATTAGCCGAATATCATTCAAACTTTCGATAAACAAATGGGTGATATAACTCTACATTACTTATTTACCTATATTATAATGTATGATAATATTATTATTACATATTTATAATATTTTCAACGTGCTCTCAGTGGGAGAGGATTAGAATACCTACTTTGACGGTACCTCTACCAGCTTTATCTGTCATATGAGGCGAGTAATTCTGTCACACAGTATAGGGAATTCTAAACAAGAATTTGGCAGATGATATCAAAAAAGTATAAGTTTAGAGGAACAGGACAAGGCAGCTAAAGCAAATAGGCTGTTAAAGGCGAGGTGGAGAGTTTTAAGCACCTAGGATCTTTTGTACAAAAGAACGGTGACTTTCATGAGCATGTGAAATATAGGATTACGTTGGATAAAGTGGAGAGGAGTAAATTTATTGATTTGAGTAAAGTGGAGTATTTTTTTAGATTGACTTTAAAATACTTTTAAATTAATCCATTATACATTTTTATGTATTTCATACAAAATTAGTAAATAAATTGGGAGGTCTATGTTTTAGGAAATAGAGCCTTTTTTTTATTAGCTTTAGGGCATCTTTTAGTCAAATCCGGCCATGGGTTTGGACATATCACGGTTAAATAGTAATCTGAAGAAGTAAGAATTGTAATAAAAATAAACGTAGAAAGAAATATTTGGATGGAGAGGAAAATTTAAAAAGTGGTACTAAGTAGTTGAATGTGATTGAGAATGATATGATGATAGCTAGAGATGTTAGATAAATGCTGACATATAGGTAATGTCTAGCTGAATGTTAGATGGGAAATCAAATCAAGTGAAAGTCTATAATAAGGGTCCTACCCCAAATATAGTTGAGATAAAGGCGAAGGAGAAGATAAATAGTTGACTTCATACCTCAGGTAGGAAGGTACCTACCTACATACGTAGGTATTAGTTTTAATTATGATAATTTAAAATAATTTTAAAAAAAAATTATAACAGCGTCATAATACCTATTATAATATGTCTACAGCTGACTTGATAAATTTATTCCCCAATATTCTCGTAATATGATACTTCAGAGCCGTTTCCATAGTAAGGAATAACCATTATTTTCTTTTTGACATTATAATAAGAAATAATTATAAAAATAATACCTACCTTTTTTTTAAATGATCTTATATGCGGTTCGATAATTATATAGGTAGGTATATATATGCCTTACCCATAGGTATGCACGTAGGTACTTAACTCAATACGATGTGTTATTGAACCATCTCATAAGTTTCAGTCGTGTACAAAAGCACGTCGCCCTGGATACGCCGCCGGCGAAAGCTCTAAAAACACGCGAGCATCTATACCTCCTACTGTATGTTGGAATGTTCAATATTGGTTAATATTGTACAATTCGTTCGCATTTCGTAGTTTATTTTAATATAAACTGCTGTGTCACAATCATGTCGCGTAAATCGTTTAATATCTGTGTAGTTTTTGATATTTTAGATGTAAGTACCTATCTATAACATTAATCATTAGATACCTAACTACTTTTACTGTATTATATTGATAAATAGTTGAAAAACTTGCAACTATATTATAGGTTACGTGTCCCGGTGTTTGTATATGTCCAAAAGGAATGGTGTATCTCGAAATTTGTTTGTTCGGATATAATAGCAGCACTTCATTTGTGGAACCCAAATTTCCACTAGTTTTCAACGAAACATTTAGCTTTCACGAAGTAAAAACAAAATATAATACCTAACTATATTAGTAAAATATTCATTATTCGTAGGTACCTATTTACCTAATTCTCAATATTTTTGTTTAATTTATGACGTGTTACCAATAGAATTTCGCAAAAGCCTTTGACTTGAGGGGCGTTCAGAAATGTCTGGAAGACAAATATGTGCAAATTACTTTGACACAAGTCTACAAAAATAAACAAGTCACTTTAGCTATTTATAATTCTAATGTTGACGAAATGTTATACCCTGAACGTAATCATTCGAATAAGAACGGAAAAACAGCATTGTTCATGAAAAATGAACCTTTATTTCCAGTCAGTAACTACCTATATTATAATAATATTATTCACTTTAATAAATAGGTAGGTATATATTTATTACCTACCTACCTATTATATGAGTACCTAATTAAAATTATTGTAATTTTCTCATAACCCGCGTGATTTAAAAGTAGTACTGTCAGTGGCGGATCCAGGAGGAGGGTACAGAGGCACATACCCCCCCTGTCAATGGACTACAGTTTTTATTTTTATATTTTACATTAATTTAATATATAATTTATAATTTATTTATTGAAAATATAAATAATGTGCCCCTCCCCTTTTAAAACATTTCTGGATCTGCCACTGAGTACTGTTAAATTTATGAGAACTCAGAAAAAATTTATAAGTATTAAGATTATGTATGAGCTCATTATATAGTTATTAGTTATCCACCTACCTATATAGATAATTTCGCTAGGTTTACTCAGATTCTGAAACATAGCAGTAGGTAGGTATTTAAATGATTTTTTTTTTCAATAATTTATCAAGTCAAAATGAAACATAATTTTGAAAATATATAATTGCAGGGAGTACATTTTAGATAAAATATACATCTGGTACTAGACATTATTAAATTAATAAAGGTTTTTAATGTTATTTTATATAGTTGAAAATTTTACAAATATTATTATGGGTAGGTACCTATAATAATTATACTTATATTAGACATAGGTATAATATATTGCAAATATACTAGTACATTTCTTTAATCCTTTCTTAAAAAATATTACTCCTATTATAGTAGATTTTACCTTCTAAATTCTATTAGATACCTATTATACCTATTTAAATATTTAAATGATCATTATAGGTAGTAATAAAATGCCATTTATTTTGTTGTTTCCTGATTGTTTATTCCTGCGAAAATTTGGAAAATAATTAAAAATGTTTAAAAGTTGAAACTATTTTTTAAATTGGTAGTTTAGGTAGATAGGTATGAATAGTAGATATAATTAATGAATAACATAATTATATAATTGTTTATTGACTGTTTATAATAATACAATATGAGCAATGACGATCAATATAATTATAGGGAACTATTTCACCAAAAATTACTGTGATCACCAAGACTAGCGTCACTGAACAAATACATACCATTTTACAAAATAATCATTGTTCATCGCAGAGTCTAGAAACGCAATGTTGGCCAAACCGAATGAAAAGAGTTCATCACTCAAAACAAATGAACTCTGAATGTTTTAATAAAATAGATCATAGGTTGTATACAGAAAATTAATAGATAATAATAGAATTGAATAACATTTTTTTTTTTATTACTGAGGTACAGAAACTCTCCTAATGAAGATGAAATCACTAGTACAGATACAGATGTAGACAGTCAATTGTACTGTCACAAAGCAGTAAGATGTAATACCTATGTAAAAAGTCTTCCAAAATTCATTTTATAAACTTTTTTTGAATTATATTTTTTATAAAATATGCTATAAAATGAATTTTAGAAGACTTAAGAGTACATTAAAACATGTTTTAAAATATGCTATGGTAATTTTTTTAAAAGTTTTGTTTTGGACAGATTTTATAAAATAAATATCAATGCTTTTTGATGTTTAAATATACGCAACTGCTAAAATTTAGTGAGATAAAAATCAGTGTTATAATCTGTTTACAAATTCATATACTTAAAAGTACTTTTAGTACCTATGAATTAAATTACAATTCAATAATAGAATTAGTTTAGCACATTAATAATGAAATATCTAATGTATTTCAACACTGCACATATGTCATCAGTGTCAACATATATTAAATTAGTTATTCTTTGCTAGATTAACAATGTAATGAACAGTGAAAATTACTTTCAAAAATCTTGTACATTTTGTAAGTACAATAACAGATGATTGGTACTCGTATTAATTTTTGAACATATCTAATTAATAAATAAACATTTTGTTAAAAGGTGAAGATATGAATGAATTAAAAATAACAAGCCATAGGAAAGATTCCAGGTGACAATTTATTGGTTAATTATGAAGAATAATATTGATAACTTTTTTTTTTTTAACATAATATAATGTTATATGAAAATTAAAAACAGATTTATGTTTTTCCTTGATTAGAAAAACTTTCAATTAAGAATAAAATTATTAAATAAATATAAAGTTGTTTTACTATTCATTTAGCAATGACAAAAATATGATGTCAGCATTTAAATTAAAACGGCAATCTTCGGATAATAATAAATACAAGAGTATAGAAATTCCATCAAACAAATTTGGCAAAAACATAAAAGCTACATTTAATGTAGTACCACATCATCACTACAAGTGTTGTAAATCAAAGATAAATAATAGTGCGTATATTTAAACTATAATTTAACTCTATGATTTTAATCATTTTAGATATTTAAACAATTGTTTATTTAAAAGGCAGCAGTTCAAACAAATCATTAAAAATAAGGTAATGTTGCAGATGTATACACAAACATAAATATTTTGATAGCTTTATTTTCTAGTGATGAAGATTCCACATTCGAAGAAAAAAGTATTAGAAAATCCGAACATGAAAAATGCAAAGATTTTGGCGAAGAACCTAGAAAAATAAATCCAAAGATTAAAGCTAAATTACAATTGGATGTTTATCACTGCAAATGTGGCATGCCTAGTTGTTTCACAAGCCCAAGCTGGTAAAGTCATACAATTTTTTGGAGGAACTATAATATGCATTGTAATATTAATAATTTATGCCTAGGTACATACAAAAATAAAATCTATTTCAGTAGGTACCTACCTAATAAAAACCTTTTGAATTAATATATCTTAATGTTAATAAATGGCAAAAAATAAACTCATGACAATATTGACCATTTTAATTAAAATTATTACAGTACAATATAAAATGTTATAAAGTCTCGTTGAGATGTCTTCATTTGTTTTAGGTAGTTTGAACTGAAAGAAAGCAGCGTAATGTTTTTGTTAAATTCCGTGATTTCTAAAGAAAAACCTTTAAATGAAAATACAATATTAATTGACGATTAATGTATTTTTAATTTAATAATCAGTATGCTCTTAGTCAAGTACCCACCAATAATTATTAAATTTATCTACACTTAACTTACATTTTGCTTATTTATTAAAATAATAATTTGCTTACATTTTTTATGGCAAAAACAGGAAAAATATATGCCGTGAAGTGAACAGACAAGATACTGTAGGCGATGAAATTAAATACCAGGAGTCTCTAAGAAATTACTACAGGAGACTTTATGATGGGGTCACTTATCAACTCAGTAGAAATCTCAAACTACTCTGATTCCTTAATTTTTATTAGATTTAAGATAAAATATAGCATACAGTAATATTAATAAGTTCAATGCTTATTTTAAGTGCAATTGACATTTTAATAGAAACAAAAGGAAGTCAAATTAAAAGTACTTATTTGTTATGTAATTAACATACAATATTATAAATTAACCTACCTACTTATTTAATACATAGGAACAATGTACATATTCAGTAATAAGTTTAACAATTATTAAGATGTTTTAATTTAGTAATTTATGTATCAAATTTAGTATTAAATAATAACTAATAGAGAATTAATTTAATAGTGTTATAATATTGAATATATTAATTTCGATTATTTTAGATTCTGAGTATAGTGAGGAATGTATTGATTTTACTAAGTGTACTTTTAGTTTTTCATTTGTTTCCCTCGTGTACAACTTTTCTAACAAAAATCTCACTCCAAATTTAAAGACTAGTATTTTTTTTTTTAAAAAAAAATTTTATTTAGTTGGTATGTAAGCTTATTATGATGCATGTGTGTGTTTTGTCTGACTAATAATTATAGTTCAATAATATTATACTTGTTATACTATTATACATTTATTTTTATAATTCTACACTAAAATTCAGTAAAACTGTGAAAAATAAAGATATATTTTATTTTATTCAATTTAGAAAACGGGTTGGGTACCCAAAACATAGTAAGTACAAGCAGTGGTGTAGCCAGGATTTTGTTTAGGAGGGTGTTTTAATTTTGTGTTCAGATGTTACTTTGTAATTTTATTGTGCACGTGTACTAACATATACTTAATAACTATCTATACGTAACACAACACATCTTGTAGAAATCTGATGCATAACTGCATATGGTAAAAATTATAATTTTTGGCATATAGTCGAAGAGGGGTGTTTGAACACAAAATCACCTCCCTTCATTATGCCACTGAGTACAAATAGTAAAACAATGTTAGTTACAGGTGCAAATATTGAATATTATTTAAATAGTGCTAAGTAGTCAAAGTTAAGGTCCAAATGTATTAGACAGTGAAGAGGAGAATTAGATAAATAGTTAGTGGTAGAGAGAGGTCAGATCAAGTAACCAACGAATAGGCATATAGTCATGTCTGGGGAAATTTAAGTTTAAGAGAAAACTACAAAATGCAAGAACTTCCTTTGCACCCGTTTGATAGTTATACGGCCACAAGCAGTATGATATACTCGATCAAAAGCCTAAGAAAAATCAATGTATATGACATCAACTTGTAAATGACAGTGGAAAGCATTCATTGCAATTCATAAGTACCATATGACAGGTTGTAGTAGATCCACCCTGGGCAGAAATCAAGTTGCTCATCAACCAAGATGTTGTATATATTGGATTTGATCGACTGTAATACCGACGATTCAAATAATTTCAAGATATGAAAAGTGATTGTAATCGGTCTATAGTTTTTGACCAACGATGGGTTACGATTTAAGGATCAATGTGATGGAGCAAAGTTTTAAGATTGATGGATACCAATGATTTTCTGAATAGCAGAGAGCCCAGACAATAACGTTCCTTAGATTAAATAGGAAGTTGCTACGGGTGGAAAATTTAATACGTCACAGTAAAATAGCCATTACTGGGCAAGGCAAATAGTAAACATGAATTGTTTTCTCAATTGCGATATTATATAATGGAGTTGAGTAGAAAGACGAGAAATGATTAGAAGACATATTTGCAGCTTCAGTTAAATTATTGCTAGGCATGTTATTAAAAGTAAACGTACTAGGTACTGGTATGCCACTATCCGTACGATTATTTTAGATGAATTACCAAAAATACTTTGGTTTCACCTAAAATTATCCTCAACATGACGAATATGGTCATGGTAGCATATCTTTGATAGGTGTTTGTAATGAGCTTTGATACATATATTACTATTCATTTTTTCAACTATTTGTAATAAATTATACTTCATTTAATTAAAGTTAATTTTATTCAAATTCAATACTAAATCTTATATTCAAATACTATATAAACATAATAATTCATGTAAGTACCCTTAATAAATACTGGATAGTGTAAACATATAATTTAATTTTCAACTAAATATTCAATATACTTAGTATGGGTTAACCAATATGATGTAATAGAATAGTTCATTCGGCACCACCACTCTGAAAAAAAAAATGTATTGTAAATTAAAACTATTAATATATTTATATTAGTATAATATTTGTAATTTAATGTATATACATTAATAGCATTTATTTCGGCTTCATCCAATGTTAATCTTTTAAATTTCATTGGAAGTTGAGAGTTTCTTTCAAATATATACACGGGCGACGTTGCAGAAGTTGAAACAACTGAAGCAGACGATGATGTAGCATCATCTAAAATAGAATTAGATATTATTACTATTAAATGTATATTTTAAATATTAATTTTTAAATTTGCACATATTACTGGGCTATATTTTGTATTGAATGTGTGTATTTAACAACGTTTATAATTTTTAGTTTATTTTATAACATTTAACATTCTTAATGAATATATCTAAGTTTCAATCATTATTTTTGTAAATATTTTGATATAAGGTAAAATTGTAATATTTAAATACTCATTAATTTTGGTGTTTAATATTTCAATAAAGCAAAACCACAAATACTGTTGAATTATAAGTTTCTAGAGCGAACAGAGGGTCCAAGGTTTGAACTCCCCTTTAGAATCTTGTTATATATATAACAACCTACACACAAATATTGTTCATTATTAATTTGGAATTTTATATAGCGATGCAATTATCATTTTTATAATAATATAAGTTTTTACAGTGTTAATTGAAAAATTCAGGTTGCTCCACTAATTTAGGTCAAAGGTCAAACACATACTTACATTGAAAGGTTGCCAAATTTTATACTCAAAATTTTGTTCCCATTATAAAATTATAAGTTACATCCTATTATAATTGTTATTTATAAAAAATAAAAAATAGACGAGTAAATTACATTTAGATCTCTACATATTTACAATATTATTGTGTAAAAATATACAGGTAGTACATACTAATAATTGGAATTCCATATCGAAATCTAATTGATGGCTGATGAGGTTTTACAGTCTAAAAAAAAAATAATTTTAGGTAGGTGCGACCAATATTATAATTTAATTTATTTTTACCTGATAAAATCGTACAATTGTCTTGGTATTCATGATGAAAAATAATAAAATATAAAATAATTAATTACGGAGTCATTAAAAATATACAATTATTAATAAAAATGTTCAAATAAATTAGACATAAGAGTTTAATATATTTGAGTTATCTTTTCACTTGAGGCCGTAATTACCATTATTTATAATTGTGGTCATAGATCTATGGTTTTGATAAATAATACATTTATTATCAATTTTCATAATATGATATGTGATAAAAAAAAAATCACGATCTAAGTAAAAACTAAAAAATATTCTGTTTTTGAACTTTGAAGTATAAATTTTACAGCTCATCTGTAGCATCTAATATTAATTTTATCATTATTGCATCTAAAATACAGATTTCAAAATTTATAATAACGGTATTAAACAAGATAAACCATTATAGAGCCATGGACGATTTATACCGATATCACTTATCAAAGATTCATGAATTTCAATAAACGGATGCACATTATTTCAAATGGATTTAAAATTCAATTTCAAATATATTTTACCTTAAATTGTATGTTTTGAAGTTTTTAAGAGAACAATAATCAAAGTAATATTAGGTCTTATCCTAAAAAATCACAATGTACAAAGAGCCAACAGTCATAAAAGCTGAAGTGATGTACGCATTACAAGAATGCCGTGACAGATGTTTGCACCACGGTACAAAATTGTATGTATTTAAAGTTTAATATTACCTCCATGTACTTAGTATAAATAATTTGTATTCTTCATATTATCATGTATACTTTTATATAGCTTAAATTTAATTATTACATTTTTTGGCAGTTTATCAGAAATTTTGGTTACACTTAAAGATATTCCTCCATTTTTTGATTGTGAAAATGAAGATAGCGATTCTATACGGTTTGAGTTTGAACCAGCATTCACTAATTTAGAAGATTATCTTGTGTATTCCAAAGCACGTTCATATTTTGATTTAGAAGATTACCCGGGGTAATTTTATACATCTACCTGTTAGGTCCGCTTTCATAAAAGTAAAAAATACATTTATCTGATTATTAAACTGAGTTTATGACCTGCTAACTGATCGCAGTAGGTTGGTTTTCTTGTAAACTGTTTAAAAATCAATTTTTGCGTTTATGAAAACGGATCTGATAATATCATGTATACTTGGTATATTCAAATTTATTTAATGTAAATTTAATACAATTTTCAGTTGTGCACACATAGCAAAATATACAAATAATAGTAAATCTATGTTTTTGCACTATATGGCCAGATACCTAAGTATGCATAATGAATCTATTTATGAGCGTACTAATATATTTGATTCGTATAAACCTTTGAATATGCGCAAATTTATGGAACTATTAGACGAACTTTTAATACTTAATGTGTATGGAAGTGAAGATGACTCAGAAGAAGAATCTGAAGATGAACCACAGTCCCAAGCCCCTCAACCCCAAGCTTCTCAGTCTCAAGTCTCTCAGCCTCCAACCTTACTTTTATCCGAACAAACATTAAAATACCTTATAAAATGTACAAGTACTGAATCTGTACAACAGCAGGAAGACTATACTACCCCTAAAGGTAGACGATGCAGTAGACGATCCCGTAGTCAAAGAATTGAAAAAGCTACTCTAACAATTGGGAAAAAAAATAGTAAAGTTACAAAACGAAACAATACAACTAAAAAAGTAAAAGTTAGTTCAATGTCGACCACTCAGTCAGAAATAAATACACTTTCTGTTGATTACAAAGAATCTCGAAATAAACGAGAAGATCCATATTTACTATGGCTTACAGCTGTTATGTTAAAAAAAGTAGATAGATGTGATGAAGCTGTTGATTTACTAGTTAGAGCAATTCGTTTACAGCCTTGTTATTGGGGAGCTTGGATTGAACTCTCAACAATGATTAAAGACATGAAAATGGTAATAGAGAAAAAACAATATTTATTGCACTTAAATTTATTTGTATTATTGTTTTAAATTTGTTTATTAAATTGTTAACTTTTCAGTTTGATGTATTGAACAGGCGACTCACTCTAAACAATGAATATCATTGGATGCATCTACTTTTCATTGCACATGTGTTAATTGAATTTCAAATAATCGACCGAGCAGTAAAAATATACAATGAGATTTTGAACAGTGGTCATGATGCTTTCCAAAGTTGGCCATATTTACATTCTCAATTAGCTATTGCTCATCATAACAAGCGAGGTAAAAATGGTAAAGAAATTTATATTCAAAACATTTTCATTATTATCATACTTTACTTAAAAATATTAATTTTTACACAGAAATATCATACTCGATTTTATCATTCAGTAATATTATAAAATTGGATCCATATAGGATAGACAATTTTGATCTACTTTCAAATCTCATGTATGTTTGTGATAATCGTGAAGAAATTGTAGTTTTATCTAAACATGTTGCGTCTATTGATCGTTACCGCCAAGAAACATTATGTGTCCTTGGTAAGATATTAATAATTGATAAATGCTTAAAAACTGAGTTTAGAATTGAAAGCTGGTTTTTTATCCTAGTTGGTAAATGGTTGTTATTTTATTTATTATTATAGTATAAGATTACATTTTTTTTGTTTGATTTTACATTTTCCGTTATATTGATTATATTGATGTTATTATTTCTAAATTTGTACAACTCTTTATATTAAATTTAAAAATAATATTTGTATTCCGTTACATTAAAATATTTGCCTTCTATTTAATATTTACTAAAATCCTAAATCTAATAATTTGATATATTTGTAATAAATCTAAATCTCAATTTTATACAATATATTTATCTAAATACTTTGGTATATTATTTCAATACAATTTGATCATGTTTAATTTGTGTTTAGGAAATATGTATAGCTTAAAATGTGATCATAACAAATCAGTTTTGTATTTTAAAAAAGCTGTAAGAATGAATCCATTCAATGTAACTGCTTGGACTTTACTTGGACATGAATACATTGAAATGAAAAACTCTTATGCTGCTATTGTATCATATCGACAAGCTTTAAGTAAGTAAAATTTTAAGACCATAAAATATTTAAAAAGTTGAATTCTTTATTAATGATATGTTTTATTAATTTTGAAATTAATTACTTTAGTAAGTAAAAATATAAGTAATAAATGAAATGTTTACCACATAGAATTAATTTGTTCTGATTTTCTAAAATATGATTGTGATTAATCAATTCAAATTTTCACTTACACTAATTAAATTAAAGATATGTTACAAATCTAAAAAGAATAAGAAGTTGATGTATTTCCACCACAAGTAGGTTACTATTGTAGGAGCAACATTTGAACGGTAATGGATGTAGGTCAATTTAATTTTGTATACTGACAGTAATGATAATTCAATACATACAATAAATTCCTGAGTGAAGTATTTCGTTTTTTATTCCTTGTAGGTAAGGTGACCTAGAAATCAATAAAAATAAAACTTATCTATTGGCATATGTTGTTAGTATTTTATTTGTAAAACTTATTAGAAATCTAAATATCATTTCAAATAATTAATAATTATTTAAAAAATTCCACATCATTGTGTAATATATTTAAGGTATAATATAAAGTAAATAATAAACTATTTTTACTTATCGAAAAAAAACAGTTATTAGTTTAATTAATAGCTTCTTTGCTATACCCAGAATATTAAAATATAATAAATTAATACAATTTAAATTAAATTTTTGCTGCTAATAGCTTGTTAGTTATTATTAATGATATTTAATAGTAAATTTTTATATTTACAGAAATAAACATAAGAGACTACAGAGCTTGGTATGGGCTTGGGCAAATATACGAATTAATAAAATTACCGAATTATGCATTATTTTATTTTGCACATGCCCGTGAACTGAGGCCCAGAGATTTCCGTATGCTACTTGCATTAGGAGAAATGTTTGAACGTACTGATCGTATCTATGAAGCATTGGCTTGTTACTATAAAGCCTTGCACTATGATATTGACGGAACAATATTATTTAAACTTGCGAAGTATGTTAAATATTATTTATTTATTATAAACACAAGAAATAAGATAATTTTGTAAATAATAATTTATATGTAAAAATAAATAAATGCCTGGAGTATTAAGATATGTGTATTGTATGACTGGTTTAGAATTAAAAAATCATCTTCAAGTAAAATCACAAAGCCAAAACGTAAAATGTGCCTGAAATAATATGAAAAAATAAATTAAGAAATACATAGAAAAAATTATTCAAATTGATCATTTTACATAGAAATAATTTATTTTAATAGGAGAGATTATTTAAAATGAGTTATTATTAAACATAGACATGTTAAAAAATATAAATTATTATCTAAAATGTATTGATATAAGATATTATTTATTTGTGATTTACTCAATGATGGTTACTATGGTAACCATAGTGTTACATTTTTCGCATTGTAATAAGTGTCACAAATTATTAACTTACCCCAAAGCAAAATATCATATCTATTGATAGTTATAGAAGACATACATTTATTTTTGGAGATTTTAAGCTTTCTTACATCAATTATTTATTAAATTATAATTTAAATATTTTTAAAGCATTTTATATTAAAATAAGATGTTCTAGAAAATTCACTATAAAATAAAACACCATCCAACCTGTCAAATCATTGCTTTGCTGCTAAATATTTATTATCTATTCACATTTTGTCCTTTCTTTTTTCATGAATCTATGGATTATTATTTATAATTTTAATTAAAATCTATTTCTTGTTTATTTTTTAAATGATAATTAATGATTATACTAACAAATATTAACTGAAAATCCTTTGCAGAAACATTTTTTAACAACTAAACACTTAAAAATATGATTTTTATGTCAATGTTCTATTTGTACTACAAGTGATTTACCTAGATATTGTATATATAATATATTATTAGCGTTTAATTTATATGTATTGTGTACCTTTTATAGACATTATGACAAATTTGGTGATAACAGTAACCAAACAACTCGTGAATATTTTAATGCATTGAATAAAAAAGCTATGAAAACGGCAATGAAAAATAAATCTGATATAGAATTGAATTTGATATTAAGCAAAATATATTTATATTTGGGTCATCATAATATGGATACACAACATTACGATAAAGCTATTAGTTTAGCAGAAAAATGTCGTAATTTATGCATTGAAATGGAAGAGTCAACTAGTCATTGTTTAGAGGTATAAAACTAAACAACTATATAATTTATTTAAATTATATTTATTTTCTATCCCTAGGTATTGGAACATGTTAGTGCTCTAATAAATGAAGTTGAAGCCAGAACGGGATCTGATAATAATCCAGGTTCAACACCAGGTGCCAAAGCTCGCCGATTTTTATTTGCCCTATAAGACTAGACTAGGTATTAACTTAATTGTTGTATATGAGTTCCAAGCACCAAGTATAAGAATAAATTTAACTTAATTTAAAGTTAAGTATTATATCATTTGTATTGTTTTATATATTTGACAAATTGTTAAATTTATTTAGTTTTAATTAAATACATATGTCCATCTTAATGAAAATAGATTTGCCTTTATATTGTGATAATAATTAATAATTATAGTTAATTCTATTTGAATTCGGCCAATGCAATTATATTTTTTTGAAATATTGCTCTTTTTGTATATAAATTACATTTGTTTTTTATTTCTATATATTTGATTTCTTAGTATTGTATCTAAATATTTGTTCTATATTTTTTTATACTTAGTTTTAAACTATCATATGTATTCCATAATATCACAATATCTTCTAATCCTAGAATGGCCACAATATGGGTAAATATATTGTATTTACAGTTGCGTGGAAATAATATTTTCCATAGTTTGGATTAAAATATTTAAATTTTTGTAGATTTTTCCCCAAAATAGAAATTATATCGCACTGCACCGTATTGTATCTGTATAATATAGAATGATCATATGTCCTATATTAAACATGATGTCCCTTTTTTGTTGTCCCATTGTCTTGACAAGTTTTGAATAGGATGCTTTTTCTCCCATTTTTTGTTATATACTTATAATTCAACTCATCTTCGATACACTATAGATGATAAATATAATAACTTTAATTAAAAAGGGATGGAGTAATTTTTTCAACTCTTTAACTAACAAGTGATTTTTTTTTTTTATTATAAACTAGCAATTTTCTTGTGAAATTTTAAGTGCATTTGTTGTTTTTTTTATGTACATATATATTATTGAATCTTTTAAGTTTTATTTGACTATAATTGGGAAAAAATATAGAAAGAAACGGGAGAATTTACGTACATGTTTAAAAGAAATTTAGCTCCAAATGGTTTTTTGTTAGAAATGGTATATTGTTGCTTACAGATGTAAAATAAATTCAAAATTTTATTTTTATTTTTTTACCACAAAGTACAATACTTATACATACTTATAACTTTCTATTAAATTTTCAAACATTTCTGCTTAGTTTAATAATTATATTGCATAATCGAACTTCTTTCAGAATGGTATTTCGTCAGCAACGGTTTATTGTTATGTACAAATATAAATTAAATTACTTTACCTACTTTTCCAAGTTTTTACCTACAATAGTGGTACGCAGTACACCCGTCAGCAGGATCAGTTCTTTTTAGATTTGGAGTGGAAGGACCTGTTGGTTTTACTATGATCTGTGTTTTTTTTTCTGTCTGTGAATAATCTTTCAAAAAGAAAACGTGCTCTGATGTCATCAAGTGTAGCATCTTTTCTGAAAGAAAATTTGGTGCATTAAATAGGTCAATTTTTTGATTTTCCAAAAAGATTTTCAAAATAATTGAGAAAATCTAGAAACAATATAATAGGAAAAACTGCCAAAATATATGGTTATAAATTTATGGTATCAGTTAATGTTATCAATTTTATTGGTTTTATTTTGTGAACTATATTTTCTACTAGAAATATCACTTTATCCAAATAATGAAAACGTTTTTTATATTACGTTTTTATTATTTTCAATTTCGTTTTTTTTTTTTTGTAAATCAGTTAAAAACATTTGCAGAGATCTGACATTTTGATAGAATATTTATGTTCGCTTTTTTTGATGCAATTAAATTTTCAAAAATTTTTGGCAATTTTGGAGCTATTTATAGATATTTTAATTTTGTGAGTTTTACTTAATTTTTATTTGGTAAATACTCCGTGGATTAAATTGTTTGAACAAACAGAAATATTTGAAAATCTAACAGGAGATTTATTATGAATAAATTGTACTTACTGGTCAAAAAAAATTGACTATAATGTATCTTTTTTTATAAGAGTTAATATCAAATTTTGACAAAAATCGTAATTATTACAGCCTTTGAAAACATGTATAACTGAAGTTCGCTCCGAATCGTTATTCACTAGAATTTGTTTATCGTTGCTTAAAAATATAAATTAAATAACTTTAGTTATTACTTATACTTATAACTTTTCAAACTTCCCACCTACAACAGTGGCACACATATCTCCAGTATCAGTTCTTTTTTAAAATTATTATATTAACCATCGATACCTATCTACAAAGTATTACAATAATATTATCCTTGTTAAACGAATAAGGATAATATAAAAAATAGATAGCAGTAAAAATTACTTTTTTCTTTTCTAATTTCTATGCACTAAAATACTAGGTAATATATTGTCTTTGTGTTTTATTTGTTATCGACACATAATAATATTATAATCGCAAATGACAAAATGCAATCTAATAAATTGCAATTAAATTCTTAATGTTCGTGCGTCGGTAAATGCAACGAGTAAATAAAAACGCCCTGAATTTATATTATTATTGCGTATTCTTTAAATTTATGAAGCATGTGATAAAACATAATAATTTGGATCGTGTTTGTAGATATTTTTCTTTCTAAGGTCATATACACGTATGTTGGATAGATAGTATGTTGTATTTAGACACACATATATATGCCTACCATGAAACGTGTTCAAAAAATCGTGACTTATGGCCACCGTATTTACGAGCAAAGGGATATCGTGATTCGTGTTTATACCGTCTAGGTAGATTACATATCTATTTCTCTTCGCTACATAAGTAAAGTAACCACTAGGTAGTGCTCGTTAGGTATATCAAGGCTAGCCTTTATTTTAATTCAAATTGTATATTGGATACATAGTTCTAAATGGCAATAGGTATCTACAATAGAGGTACTATATACTTGTACGAGTTTTAACTATTCAACCTACCTGTCTATAATTCTACTATTTTTAATTTTCTACTAAAGAAATGTTGTCGAGGTGTGTTATTTACTGCATAATTTATTAAACTATGATTGTTTATATTTTGAGACGTACCTAAGCGTAGAAATAATTAATAAACCTAATAACGAATGTTGTATTTGTCCAATTCAGACTAAGTATGTATATAGATTTAAGTTGGTATAGGTACCTAGCATACCATATTATACCTACCTATAAACTATAATGGTGAATCGGTAAAAAACTAATAATAAGTCTATAGTAGATAATTAACGAGATATTACAAATAATCCAATTCAATTTCCTTTTATAGGCGTATATAAAAAAAAAATTGTTTCAAATAAATATTTGAACAAGTAATGTTCGAGATGTAAATGACACATTAATGCCACAATGCAATGCACGAGATTCTTAAGTGTTCGTGGAGTCCTTATTTGTCATTTTATACAGTATGTACTATGTACAACAACAAATGTCAATAAAGAGTACACACTCAAAAGCTTCGCAACTTTTCAAACACGATTTTATATAGATACCTATTTATTACCTCATATTAAGACCGTGCATGCACCTACATTGTATAAGTACTTACCTAAATAATTACTATGCGACGTCTGAAACTGAAAAAAATATTCGCACAATAGGTACAATAAGATACAATATATTAATAGTGTACCTATATATGGTAATATATTTAACATACGGCACGGGTTTTATGAACCAATCTACGTATTATTATACCCGTGTAGGTAGGTGTCTAATGTACAATTGGAGGTTCGACAAATAATAATACAACAATTGAGCGGTATCGCGGTCTCGGGTGTACATATTATTGGGCGAGATACATTTTTTAACAGGAATAAAATAGAAAATATTATAGGCAAGCAAAACACATAATAATAACCAAAAACCACTCTATGGTTTGACTCTATTCACCTTGAGGGCCCTAATATATAATCGCCCCGTTTAACGGTATAATTTATTATCTGGCACGCATAAACTGTCATATGTATTAAAATAATATTAGCTATTCGGTAATGTTTGTGTTTTGATGCTTATGCGCGGTTTTCCGAGCATTTTTTATATTTCAACAACGAAACCGACAGTTATAATAATGTAAAGCTCACGGGAAACTGACAGTTTTTGAATAAGAGTAGCTGGGTATCTAAGTATATCTATACTGGTTGCTTTTCGTGTTTTTATCAGCCAATCAGTAGGATTATATCAGTAGGCTGATATATTAATACACGCTATTTTATTTTAATTAAATTTTCTGCAGAATATCCACTTTAATAGACACTATATTTTAACCACTTATTATAAATAAGGTATTTAATAGTGTTTACAATCTATATCTACACGTATACTTTTTGACATCTTTAGACGGCTGAGGTACTCTAATAAATCAACGACAAACAAAACGAACAAAACGTGGAAACCTAACTGAAGAAAGTTAGAATTCGTGAAGAAATCGTAGATTTATATTTGTCAACAGATTTGCATCCATATAGCTTGCATAATAAAACAAATTTAAACGGCATCACTGACGTGCCCGGAAATTTTCTGTGTGAGAGAATGTATTTTGAAGTAAATAATAGTGACGAATAGATCGTTGAAATAAATATGTCGAATCTTAAACTATACACAGGGTCGGAGTAGCCGGTCCAAAAGAGGGAATTTTTAGATGGCCTGGTGTCAGGGCTGCACTCAGATCGGTTTTTTCGGGTCATTTAATTTTTTATTGAACAGACCTAACCCTAAACAATGTAAAGGGGTCTGCGTTTGCGGAAACTGTGGGGGTTAGTTGTAGGTGAGAAATTGGGAAGATAGGATACAGAAGAGAATTTAATGTATATCTGTAAGCAACGATAAACAGAACGAAAAAACGATTCTGAGTGGAGTTCAATTGATAGTGATGTTTTGTCAACAATATATATGTTATATTATAGTAAAATAAATAGGCATCATATATTATTTTCTTTAATAATATTTTTTAATATTGTACCGATTTTCCCGTTTTCCATGGTTTTCCCGGTTGTCACATTTTTTGATAAAACTCCTGAGAAAATCGAAAAATGAAGTGAAATGAAATAGAAAAAGAAAAAGAAGAATAGATAGAACAGAACGAATAGAAAAAGAAAAAAAAATGAAATCCCTAAAGTACCTTACCACACCGATTTCCTTTCAGAAAGGGTGCTACACTTAAAATGCTGAGCAAATCAATAATTTGAAGGGGACTGATTCTTCTGTTTAAACGTTATGAGCGGGCTTAGACCCCTCAAACCCTCCTACAATTTCCACCAATGGGTGCCTGGAATATTTAGTTTGCCTGGAGCCCGGCAAAGCTCAGTACGGCCCTGCCTGTTGTCCTGATATTCGTGTATAATATTCCACTTATTTATATTATTTAAAAACTTCACGAAAAGTTATGCCAGAACGCATATTCTTATTTCAGTGCCTATTAAGTTTTCTATTTTGTATACAGTTTCATTTAAATTATCAAATTAAAATATATATTGATGAAATCTTTGGAGTGTCATCCACCATCCTCCTTGTATCTTCGTTCATGTCTCGAGTAAAAACGTATTTGGCTCCCCTCAATTCAAAATCATGGATTCGTCATTGATTCAAATTAAAACGCGAGAAAAATTTAGTTTGAACGGTACGTGCCTACCTGTTTTATCGGGTGGTCTGGATAAATTCTAATCTCCCGGCCTGAATTCGGTTTCCACTCCACCCCCAGCAGACGGCAATAGTTAGAGTACTCGTGTAATAGTGGAAAAATGTCCGATTTTTTTCACGGCCATATTTTCCTCCGGCCATTCCGGTACAGGTACCGGGACTTTTTATTTTTTCCCATCACGGCCATTATTGCCCGGACTCGCATATATTATACGCGACGTCAGGCGTACGCGGCCCGTCGAAAATTCTTTTTCGCGGCCGTTCGTCAGCAACAATAATAATAATAATAATAACGACGACGGTGATAATAATATTATTCAAACCGATTTTCGCGCTACCATCACGCGCGACAAAAACGCAGAACCACGGCTAAAATCCCGAGTGCGCGGCCGGTGTCCGTGCGCGCGGTAATGTATACGGCGCACGAGTAGCCGCGAGTACACGTACAATACAATAATAATGCCGCGAACGCGTACGGCCGATTCCGCCGTCGCGGGCGGCCGCGGCGCCTAATGACATTATAAACGCTCGCGTTCCCGATGTTGTACATGACACGCGCGATGTGCCGTTTATTTGCATAAGAGATAATAACAGCGCCGGCATTATTGTAATGCGCTGCAAGAGCGTGCCGGCCGTACGGCATTGCGTATTGTGTCGTATTACGGCGGTAATTATTGTGGAACAAACGCAATTCGTTTGGCGCGCCGGCTGTGTAATTGAATGGGACCGGCGTCGCGGCGGCCGCGACATTCGGGGAGACGGTGCCGCGGCGCGCGCGTTCGGAAATCGCTACCGCCGCGCGCCGGCACACGCACGCGCCCGTGACACGCGACACGTATTATTATTACGCGCCGCCGCCATGAAGACCGCCGAAAGACTTCTTAGTCTCCATGACCGTCACGATCGCTCCGTGACCGGGAAAACCGCGTCGTCCGGCGCCCGAGGGTTTTCTTACCGCGTTTTTCCTCATCCGCGGCGCACCGTCCATCCGTCTACGACGGCCGTCGCGAAACTCCGAACAGCCGTGCACACGGTAATAACACCCGGCCGACTGTACTGGCGGCGATACTGCTGGGCGACCGAGTGGCGACGGGCCATTGACAACAAATACCGAAATAATTGAACATGAACGAACACCCGCCGTCGTCGGCGGCCGCCGTCCGCGGTGCGGGTCTCCGGACACTGGCCGTTGCCGTGTTGATGTGCGCGGCGCTATGCGTTCGAACCGTCCAACCGTAAGTTCTGCCACGATAATTTCATAGACGGATGTAAAGGCCGACCGTGTAAGGCCCGCGCGGGTACGCCGCGTCCATAATGTTGTCTGCGGCGTAGGTACGACGCGTACGCACGCCGAGTCGTGTGCCGGACTCGGCGTGCGCGGTCGTTTCGCGACTGTAAATATCGTAGTGCCGGGTTCGCGGGAGCGAGCCGACGAGTTGTATACAAAGCGTAGCAGTGTAAACATTTAGTGCGCGAGACGTACTTGTTCTCGTCGTTTTTCGTTCGACGGAACAACAAATCGCGACTTTTCCTACCGAATTACCGCCGAAATCATTCGAAAGAAACACTTTGCGAACTCTCCCCCCCCCATCCCGTCCACTCTCCAATATACTCGTAAGCCGCATTACGCTCGCAACACGATTCATCACTGAGCCTCGTCATAAATGCGTGCTTTATATGCACATTCAAAATCGCGCCCCCCCCCTCCCGTTATCTTGTTCAAAATCCGTCCCTGGCGTTCGCTTATATTTTCGACGTCTCGCAGTGACCCGCGTTGGCCCCGGTCTAAAAATACTCAACATTTGTACGGATCGCGCGATGCCTACGTATAATGCCTTCTTTCAAATAGAGGACGTATTCTACGAACAAATTAAATACAATTTGTTACGATGCATAAGCTGAACTTGAGCATAAAACAGTCAAAACTGCCATTTGATATTAGTCAAATCAAAATACATACGAATAAATCGTTTTCGTTATTGTTATTCCAACTTCCGTTTGATACGCGAAAGTTCATTATAGTTTTAGTGCCATGAAATTGAATTCGTAATTCGCATAATTATTGTACTTGTGTATTTTTTTACGATCGACCTATTTAGTGGGTTTTCTTTCGCGTCGGCGATTTTAAACAGCTTTCGACGTTAAAACCGCAACTGTTTAAATATACGATGTCGATGTTTGCATTATTTAAACTGTTATTTTCGCATGAGAAACGGCAAATTAAAATAATCCGCAAATAAAGCAGAAATTAAACATTTTACGTGTTTTATTAATACAATAATATACCTCAACTATAGCGTTACAAATAAAATCGGCGGTACCCAATACGCGCGTGTTATCAGTGGTGCCGCCAACATCCCGCGATAAGAAATTGTTTGAGGCGATTTATTGCTTAATAACCAAAATGGATTTGCGTGTGGTCACATTGTAAATTATTGGCAAAACCTTCAATTTTACCGTGACGAAATATTACACAGAAACCGGGGGGGGGAGCGTGGTATTAAAAAAAATATAATACCGGTACACGAAGACTGAATGAAAAAAAAGTTTTGTGTCCCGCGGCGTATACTAGTGTGACGGTCTCGTCGAATATTTCTGTATAATACCTGTAATACAAGGTGTATAAATAAACGGAATTATATAAATAAAATACGTACGGGGGAGCGAGACGTACAGGACCTAATTCAATAAGAAAACGGTCATGCGTGATTATGAAAAATAACGTAGGGTAGATATTATGTACAGGGTGTCCCGTGAAGATAAGTGTACGTCATCGAATAAATTGATAATGTACGTTTGCGGTAAAAACCTACGGGTGTTTTGTGTGTTCGTAGGGCTTGCAACGAAGATAACGCCGCGGACAGCGGTAACCGCGTAGAAATGCTTATGTGGCTAACAGACCCGTGTCGTTACGACCGTTGGACGAGACCGACGCCAACAGACGAAAATGGTAAAACCGGAGGACCGACGCGTGTGTCCGCCCGAGTGTATGTATACTTCTTAGGATCAGTAGAGGCTCAACAATTGGTTAGTATCGTGCAAACGCAGCATCACTATTATAACACGGTCGTTTATATGATTTAACACTGCAGGGGCGTGACAATGGGATCGCAATTCGGTGCACGTACCTCAACTCGATGGGTGTTGGGTGGGTGGTCCTCTTAAAAGTACATATTATCAATTATTATTACGGGTAACATTTGCCGTTTACAGTGCACTATAAGCGAATCGCTGGTTTTACACATTACAAGTGTTGCAAGTATTAAAAGTGCTTACAGAAAAATACGTTAAATAATCTGACCAAACGTGATGTTTACTGACGATATTTCGTTGTACACGGGTACGAAATATATTCAGGATTTTAGGTCCCATCATATTCTTCTGGAGATCACGAAAATTTCGGTTATTAATAATTCGCACTTTTGACACTGACAACAACATTGTAATGGGAAAAAGAGACGAACTTGTATTTGTTTTGCTTTATAAACGTAGGGATGAACAATGGACAACATAGAACACGGAAATCTTAAATTTGTATGATAGACGGACGAATGAGGATAAACCGCCTTAAAACCAAATATTTTTAAATTTAAATTTTGTATGAAGAGTTAATCACACATGAATTTCGGCTTTGTTCCGTGTTCCGTGGGTCACTCTTACACTGTAGGAGCAAGGAAGCGCACAGAAAAATATGTCGGATGAGGTTCATAAGTAAACAAACTAAACATTTTTAACTATAGAACTGTAGTATATGATGCGTTTTCGGAATTCCGAAGAGTGTTTGAACCCCTAAAACCCCCTTTACAATAATATTAGCTAAACCTGTTAAAAGCGACCTGCAGTTAAACGGGCTTCACTCATTTTGCTTGCAATGATATTGAACTAAATTCTAAAAAAACGGTCATACTTCTCACGTACCTAGGTGGGCCACTGTTTTAGGTGAGAAGTTAGGAAGGTAGAGGGAAAATTGAATGTGTATCCGTACGCATTGATTAACCATTGCTAGCGAAAAACGATTCTGATCGAAGTTTGTTTAATAGTGTTGTGTTTGTCAACAATATATATATATATATATATTACATTTTGGTAAAATAATTACATATGCATTATACATTTTCTTTAAAATATTGTATCTATTTTCCCATTTTTCCCGGTTTTTACCATTTTTCCCGTTTATTTGGAAAACTCCTGGGAAAATCAAAACATGACCTCTTTAAAGTATATAAAAAATAAACATCTTTACAAAACCATAAAATTAATACATTTTTCGCTACACTCAGATTCTAAAACGATATCCGACCAACTTCTTTCCCAATTACCAGGGTAATCAACATAACGTAAGAAACTAATTAACTAAGAAAGTATTAACTTTTTTCGGAATCGGTTTTTAGAACATTTAAGAAACAAGTAGCTCTACAATTTTATATTTACTATTATTTGCTGTCACTCTTATTTTAGGGGGTAAAACCATTACCAACCTTTTAGTATTCCTTTAGCACCCTAAATTACATATTCAATAAATAGATGAAGTATTAATTTAATTATATTTTACTGTTTTCATTTTTAATTTTCGTCAATTTTTCGACGAAATACTCTCTGCTTATCCAGATTTAAAATTAGAATATCTCGTGAACGGATTAACAGAAATTAAAAATTTCAACACCAACATTTATTTAAACTATACTTTAATCTATTTGTGGCATTTTTAATATAGATTGTTATTTTAAAATCAAAAGTAAGTAGTGGTTTTAACTCCTAAAATAAGAGTGTTCAAAAATAACAGTAATGTAACATTTTATCGCTAATTATTTTTTAATTGTTCTAAAAAAACAAATTCCGAAAAAAACTTAATACTTTCCTAATCAATGAGTGTCTTAAGTTATGTTGATCATCCTGTACAACAGTGATCTATGACTCACCCGATGGCCACTGAGCGAAATATGTTCGGTTCTTTTTTTAATTTTATCTTTTTATCAATATATACATATGATTTTTAAATTAACAGCATTTTACGGCACACATATTGATACGCTATCGGTGGCAAGACGACAGACTTGTACATTCTTCTTCGAAAAGCTCTATAAGTGGTGAAAACAAACTTAAGGAACGAGTGTGGATGCCGCACGTGTATATCGTTAACGAACATGATTCGAATATCATGGGATCCGGACGTCAAGACATACTAGTGACGGTTCAGCCGGACGGAACAGTTTTGTACTCGGCTAGGTCATAAAAAATAAACCCCAATAATAATTATTATATTTTACTATACATCAAGGCTGGACATAAATACGTTAAAAGTTAAAATGTAAGTTATTATTAATTTAGATAATAAACAAGTTACGTTTTGCACAATTAACTTTTAACTTAATAAATTACTATTTTTGTGTACTTAACGTGTTAAATTTAAGTTAATTTTGTAAATTTAAAATTAAGTTAAATTTGGGTCAAAGGGAAATTTACATAATTTTATTTCTAATCTTCAATTTTTAGTAGAACTCCGAGTAATATTTTCTGTCTTTAGATATTCATAAAGTTATCAGTGCGACAAGATAATGCGGCTTAGGGTACAATAGCCATCGTGGATTTATTTATCTGTTTAAATCGGATCTTTAATTAGACTTTTATTGAAATTTAACATTTCATTTAATTTTGTGACTAGCTACATAGTGTTTATATATTTATTATTCATAGTGTTGAGCTTAAAAAAAACCATCTGTAGAATGTATTCATCTAACTATTGGAGACCCTATATCAAGGTAATTCTATTAAAATATTTTGATCGTCTACAAAAATATAAAATTTAATTTTTAACTAAATTAATAACAACTTCATTAATCTGTTGAAGAATTAACTTTAGGCTTAACGAGTTCAAAAAGTTTTTAACTTGTCCAGCCTTGTTATAATATGTACACAACACTATCATAACAATATTATGTATTTGAAATCAAAATACGAACCCAAATAATTTTTTTTTGTATATAATTATAGATTAAAAGTGTCGCTATTGTGCATGATGAATTTACAAAAATTCCCGTTTGACGAACAAACTTGTCCTCTGATACTGGAAAGCTGTTTGTAGAATATTATTATTATTTTTTTTTTTTATGTCTATAGATTTCTTAAGTACTTACGGTAGATATATAATTTATTTTTATTATATTTTTAGGGACTTATAACAATACACATTTAGAATTGGTGTGGGAACACGATTCCCCTGCAGTGCTCAATAGCAATTTGCGAATGACCGAATATAACTTGGTGTCAATTTGGACCAACGAAACAGTTAGTGAATACGCATTGATACCGGCGTCAACGAATGATAACGATAACAAAAATGGCGACATACCCGAATCTGAAAATGTGCACTATTATGGAAAATTCGGTAAAACTATAATTTACTGACAAATAATATTTCCATTGTTTCATACATACCTACATAATTTAAATAAGTAATGCAATTTGTATAAAAATAATATTTTATTATCATGGTTGGTCATGTGTAATGTATGTTTATCCACAAGGGGTGTAAATAAATAAATTAATATCATCAACTTATATCAATTTCGTAAATTGGTTTACCCAAGAATCCATATGTACCAGTACCAGTGAAACTTTTAACGGGAGTAACTAACCATATTTGATTAAATACATTTTGAACTTAGTTTATTGCCACATTGGTTATGCAGGTATTGAAATTATTATGATTACCGGCAGTTTTCACCAAAATGTACCTTTTTCTATTCTACCAACATTACGACACCTCACAGTTTTTTTTCTCTATTCACATTATGGCAACTAATTTATACTTATGTTATATATTTTGCATAAAGGTATTATGTACTTTCAGAACCGATACATTATGATTTCCCAATTCATCCATCCCCCCCCCCATTCGATAAAAAAATTGTTAGCCCAAACCTGATACTTCTGGAAAAAAGTTAATGTCCAAAATATAAACCTACAACCCAATTAAAAACGACAGGGGGCATGGTTTATGAAAAAGGGAAAGGTTAGTTTTGGTGGAAACTGATCCCACCGCTGTGAGCAAATTTTCGACCAGAAATCTTGTTCCAATCATCAACATCAGCCCCGGATTTACCATAGACGTATAAAAAAAAATTTTTGTATAGGTCTATGGGGCTTTCCAGAATACCAGAAGCTTTTGATTTGTGGTTGTTTGAAGTTATTGGCCATATTGGTAATTGACCGCGGGCGTAATTCGTCATTTTATTCATTTCTCAACATACGCTACTGGAAGCATTTAATTATAAAATATGAGAACCATAATAATACTCAGGTACTCAGGAGTTCTTATGTATCAATTTAATATTTCTTCTTTTGTCCATAGCCGGAAACTATAGCCAGTTGGTTGTAAATTTTGAATTAGAACGCGAAGTCGGTCACTACATTATGGACTATTACGTGCCGAGCATCATGCTGGTAGTCGTGTCGTGGGTATCGTTTTGGTTGGATCCGAACGCAGTACCGGGTCGCACGACATTAGGTAAATTTAATATTACAACCTATTTTGTGGACACTTTTTTTTTTTTATCAACACGATAGATACCTACGTCATAATAACTAATAATACATATCAATCATATCATACGTGATTTATATAGGTACCAGTACAATGTTGACGTTTATTACATTGTCGAGAAACACTGGCAGTTCGTTACCGAAAGTTTCTTACATTAAAGCTACCGAGATATGGTTCATTGTGTGCACGGCGTTTATATTCGGTTCATTGGTCGAGTTTGCGTTCGTTAATACCATATGGAGACGGAAGTAAAGTATCAATAATATACGCTATAAAATATAAGTCTGAAAAACGACAACATTATATTACCTATTTGAACAATATTATAGGAAAAACGTGGAACTCAAAAAAGTCAATAGTAAACATATTTTTAAATCGACACTGACGCCTCAGATGCAACGTAAATCATTTTCCGTGGACAGTGGCATTGACAAAGATGATATCGGTCAACCAATGACTAGTGGGAAATTGAGCAAAAGAGATAAAGCAACTATTAATGTGAGTAAATCATGCAAGTACCTATATACTTACATTCATAATAATAATATGGACTATAATAATTGCATACCTATAGTACTAAAATTACCTATAAAATACGATTTTATATTATACGATTATAAATCAATTGAGCAATGTCCGCAAAACTTGGTCGACTAACACACGTCATTATCAATTTCATACTTGATTAGATATTTATTTGTGAACATCGGCAAATTGATAATTTTCACATGCAAAAATAAAAGAGTCAGCTGATTTCATTTCAAATAAAAAACTGAAAAAAATATTTTTGTTCACACTATTATTTACGGTAGGTAGGTATAGGAGTTATTTTATCATCCTCCCTCTAGTCAAATCTACTTTTTAACATTATTTTCAAATCATTTGTTTCCTTTTCATTACTTTCACTATATAGAAACTCATGTACCATTTTTAAATTTCAACTAGTCCAGGGGTCGGGAACCTGTGACACTTTAACATGGAATCTATGGCTTTTTGGAAAATTTATTATAATTTAAGACGTATTATTATACTTTTAATGCCTACCAATTCCCAATGAAATTGCTTAGTAAAATATATTATTTCTTTTTTGTACTATGGTATATTTTTTATCTTAACTATTGTGGGTCTTTGAAAATCATGGTTTTGCAATTTTTTTTAAAATATGATTCATCTACACGAAAAGGTTCCCGATCCGTAAAATAGTCATCCAAAGTAGATCATAGACGTGCGCACTAATTGAATGACCTCAAATTTTTCGTCGAAAATATCAAATGTTTCGTGATAAAATATAAGGATTAATATTGACAACATTTAAAAAATGAGTGCGCGTAAACCGTCTTATTAACGCGTCATATTAAGCATTAATTTTAATATTCATCAGTTATCCAATAACTTTATTGTCATGAAAATCACTAAAATATAGCAAATGATTTGTATAAAAGAACTTCCTATTTCTTATCGCGTAACTATTTTTTTTTTTTTTTATAGAGATCGAGGAATTTACTGACAGTTGGTAATCAAGACCCAGTCGTTTGTCCCGATCCAGAGCCACTGGAAAATTTTAGTATCCGTGTACCGACGTTGAACGAGACCAAACCCAGCAGTGGCGGTGGTTTGTTCACATTGACTCCACAAGAAATCGCCCAGTGGATCGACCGTCGTAGTCGTGTTGCATTTCCAGCAGCATTTCTCGTGTTTAATTGTTTCTATTGGCTTTACGTGTACATTTGATCAATAACGTTTGAAATTGAAATTTATTGTTAAAACTGTGATCATTAATGTTTGTTATTGTTTTTAAAAATATAATATTGGTGATTTTAAATTGGATTTATAATCGTTTATGTATGTACCTATAATAGGGCCTGTATAGTATAGGTACCTACTTGCAAATAATAATAAAACCAACCTATTAATTATTAGGTAGGTGGATACAGTGGCGTAATCACGGGGAGAGAAACTGTATGTCAAATTTTCCCCTTGCAATTTTTTCAAAATTTAAGTATTATATACATAAGGTATTTAGGTACTCATATCGACTACTACGCTTGAACGAATGTCCTCTACTTTATCGAGTACTTGCAAAAAACGATGTCTGAGATACAATATAATATAACATTGAAAATTAGAATACTATATAACCTTATGGTACCTAATAACCAATTATTTTTTTCATTATAATCGATTTAATTTAACTATAATCGATTGGCTATTATGGCAGTCCATAATAACATATCGATATATCCAGAGTAGGAATCGGATGTTTCAGCACGATCGTTTTGGCGCGATAATTTTATTTCATTCATACATGTATTTATAATGAATTTAGTAATAACTCTCGGATATTTTCTTATCCATTATTAAAGTAATATCAAATACCCTAGGTAAGCAATTTCAAATACATTGTAGGTATACTGTCTATGGTTTATATTTTACTTCCGGATAAAGAACCAAAATCTTATGATTATATGTTTTCAATGCTTAGAGACTCAAGACTTGATTCAAAACTGATATTAGTTTCATGTGATTTTGAATTGTAAATAGGAGACTAAGTATAGATATGAGGATTTGCAATCCAACAATATGGACTTTCATTAAATGTGTGAGAAAAGTTAATGCTTTTTTAGTCTAACTTATGGCTGAAGGGATTCCCCCAAAAAATTTAAAAAATACACAGAACTTATATAACCGTAGATTATAATAAAATCACGAATGAATATCACAATCACAATTTAATTGATTGGTTATTTAAATGGGATCGTAATATAATATAATATTATACACACAGACAATATAATAATCACATGCACATAATAATTCATTAAAATAAAACCACAGTATCTAGTTTGTTGTATTTGTTTTTAAACTAATTCACTTATTTTACATATACCATTATATTATATAATTACATTTTTAATTAATTTGTTTTGTAATGGTACAGAACATTAAACTATTACATATTATTATTATCACATTTAGTATTATTTCTGTTTAATAACCCTAACCTAGTACCGAAATTAGGTACTTGCACCAGTTGTGACGAGTATTTTCGCGTCAAAATGGCTCTAAAGCCAAGAAGAGTAGATTTTTTATTATAAAATTAATATTATATAATACAATTTGTTTGTTACTAATGTTTATAATTTTACCTACCCATCATAACTATTAAAAGTGCTGTTAAAATGTAAGATAATATTACACTTATGGTAACTTTTTCGAAACTCCCCTCTCCTGAAAGTTTGTAGTCCCCCTTTCTATAAATTGTCCACCCCCCCCCAAGACATAATTACGTTACTGGGTAAGTAGCTCACTTATTAACTCAACCTATTTATCTAGGTGGAGGTTATATCTAGGTAAAGAGTAAAAGAGTATAATATGATAGTGTAAATGTAATTATTAAGTACCTATACAATTTAAATGTATACTTACTACCTATTTTATTTGTGTTTTAGTTGTATTATCTTTATGTTTTTCTGCGGGACATCTTCAAAAAAAATGCAAACAATATTTGAAAATAACCTTAACATTTTTAAGTCATATCCAGTAGTTTGAGAAAGTCATTTATTGACTGTTGAATTTTAAAATCACCACTGTAATACTTATGCATATTTTGGCGGAGTTTTAGGAAGTTCTCAGTACTAAACAATTTGTCGCAACCTATTGTAAAATGCTGATCTATTTCTAGCTATTGTTCCTGGGAATGTCTAAAAAGATTCACAACTGGATTTTCACTTGATCCAAACACTTCTTTAAAAAAACACCACAGAGTAACTTCAAAAACATGAATTTGGCAAGCAATTCTAATATTTTACCTGGAGCTAGAGCATTTCAAATGAAAGGGCATGCATCCAAATTCTACCCCCATGTTAGATGTTAATTCAAAACAAGGTCTATGTACGTTGTCCTTTAATTCCCATACAAAATAAAAATATAGTTTTTATTTTACTTACAAATCTTAATATTAACATGATTAACATTTCCTATTTATTTATGTTTATGATCTATTCAAAAACTAAATTTGTTTTTCAAATTCTAATTACATGGACTTTGCAAAGTAGATATGAATATATATATATATATATTAATAATAGGTAGTGTAATATATTATGGTGAATATTTAAATGTGGTTGACATTAGTATCATACACATGTAGTTGTTTTTAAATTATTATGAATGTAGTAATATTTGTAAATAAAATGATTTAACTTTGAATTTGTTATAACACAAGTATTTTTTGTTAAATTGGTAACTAATTTTTTCTTTATTATCAGTATAATTCCATTTTATCACAATAGAAAGGTAAAAAACAAAAAATAATTTAAACAAATGATGACAAATTTACAGAAATGTACACAAGTCAAAAAAATAATCTACATATTACAAACATTTAATGAGCAGTAAAAATATATTATTTTTTTTTAACTTGGCCATATTCTTTTAGAATATTTTTTTCAAAAATCTCTATAAGCTCTGCATTAGTTTTATTAGTTTTCATTAGTTTTTGTTTTTCTAAAAAGATCAAACGATCATCAGATTCATCCATAAGCATACTACGTACAGATACTGACTTTCTAAAAAAAAAATTAAAAATCATATTACAATATTTATTGTAAATGATTATAGTATTATTATAAACATGCTTACTTTACACCTATATATCGAATGACTGATCCAATAATTAGTATTGAAAAGCAAACAGCTGCAATGGTAATATTTGATGATAGCCAATAATTTTCCGAATCATCTCTCCAACTTTTCCTAAGTTATAAATATTTAGAAATATGTTCTCAAATGTAACCAAATATTTAAAATTTTTAATTAATATTATGTGTTTACAACAAACTAAAATAATTTTACTGTAATTTTATTATTTAGTTAAGTATTTTAAGAGAGATAATGGAGATTCATTTATTGTAAATTGATTATCTTCAAAATTAAAATATCATCTATTACAATAATATTTTGCTTGCCTATTTTGACATGGAGGGTAATACACTATATTAGAATAATTATTATAAGTGTTCGTTGAGGTGCGCATCAATGATTGATCATATATTTTTTTCTTGTTTTCATCAATAAGTACATTGTATGCTGCATTAATACTTATAAATCTATCATTTGAAGAAGAACCACAGACATCTGGATGAGTCTGAAACATAATTTTTTTTTATATATATTCACAAACACTTCACACTAAACATATAATATTAATTGAGGATAAATACTAATTTAGAAAGTTTTATGAATGAGTTCCGTATTTCTTTTTTCGTACATCCTGGTTTTAAGTTTAAAACGTCATAGTGTGTGGACAATTTTTGTTTTGTTGATCTAATCAATAAAAAATATAATTAATTATTTAAAAATATAAAAACGTTTTGAAAATAGAAATCACAACATTTACTGAACAAGACTACTATAATGTTTAAAAATGATTTAAATGTTAGAGAAATAATAATTTTAATAATTCTAATTAGTCTTTTAAAATAAATGTTAACATTTTAATTAAACTTTCATTTTTCATTAAATTTGTATGCGTATCTATGATAAATTAAAACTAAATAATGTATATACTAACCGCTAATTTAGATGATAGGTACTTGAAGTTCAGTATTAAGTTGTTATTTAAGTTAATGAGTGCAATTTTAATTTTAAAATATTAAAAACAGAATACGACACAATTACGTTTTAACTTACTGGCAACGTTTTGATGTATCCTTGAAACCAAGTCTAACTATTCTAAAAGTAATGCGCAAAATACAAATATTGTTCATAGTTTGAATAACGAAATTAATAATTAATCAGCAATCACTAATGATTCAGTAACTATAATACTGTAACAGTGTCAATTAATTATTTTACAAATGCCTAAAAAAAAACAAAAACTTTGTACAAAAATATGACTATAACTAGGTAAATTTATTTATGAAAGTATTATCAATTTACACATTTGTTGATAAAAATCACATATGATAAACAAAATTCGTAACTACGAAAGGTAACAAAGAAATGGCGGGGAAATAATTTTAGTTTTCAGTAACATATTTTATTCATGACAAGCCTGTATATTATATTCACATACAATTTTAGTTATGCCTAAGCTACCTATCAATTACTTATAACGGTACTTTCATAAATGTAGTTATTTAATCGAAACTGTAAATACATTTTTTTTTTCTTTGTACTTTTTAGGTATTATTGAGCTTTTAAACAAAAATCATGGTTTAATTTATATCATACATCTTAGAAATCACATCAAAAAAATATATAATTAGGTAGCTATTCGTATACCTAAGTACCAGCTATTATGTGTGTGTACTGAGTATAGGTATACTGTACAGTTTATCAGTGGCGTGCGTAGAGCGGGGTTGTTGGCTTAAAAATACAACAACAATGAGTATGTATTTAGTAATTTTATCTGGAAATTATATTTATTAACAAAGTTAAAAGGAAAATAAGTTTGATTTATTGAATACAAATCGGCTTTTTTCATATCTGGCTTTTCATTTATCATTGCCATTTTAGTTAGGCATAACGGAAGAAGATTTTACGATTTACCTACTCATGAATCATGATAATTATGTAGTACATCCCATCCCGTTGGAAATTTCTGAGCACGTAACTGTCATGGATATTAGTAATCTAACTCTGCATTGGATTTATATTTCAAGCCCAAGTCCCGATGCTCGCTCGAAATAAAAAATTACTGGTCAGGCTCGGTTATTTTATTATTACGGGCCCACCCCATCTAACTAAGCATGTTATTACCAAATCATTTAAAAAACACATTATTTTATGATAGAACGACCATAGAATCAGTGGCGGATTTCGGGAGGGAGGGGGGCCCCTAGACTATATAGACTTAACAAAAGTTTATACTTCCGCAAATAATTAACTGTTTAACGCATATCTATCTATATATTATATAAATGTGGAAATGGAAATCTTTGTCACGCATGTTCTCTAAAACTACTAGACCAATTTTTACGCGATTTTTCGCAAAATGATCCGCATTGTCCGGAGAAGGTTTTTAACTATTTGAATCCTCGATCTAACCAATAGAAGTATAGAAGACCTAATTTGCAATAGATCGTTTGTTTATGAGGTGGGCGGTGGTTTTGAATTTAAAATTCTGCTACACCATAAAAATATAGTTGCCTCAGCATAGGTATATTGTCCGGTGAAAATTCTATTTTTAATTCTAAAATTCTAAAATGCACCGCAATGAAATTTTTCAAATTTTTCAATATCAAAATTATATACATAAATATTGTCAAATAGTTGAATTTCTGTTGGGTTGGTATGCTGATCCCGCCTATGATCATACTCGAAATGGTAATCTCGTCCTGGACGGAGATGATCATCATATCACGATGGATAGTGTTGTTCCTAACAATTGTTAAGACATTAGGCGTCTCAGACGCCGAAGACCATACTACTTAGTAAAAGATTCTTAGACTAAGGCCGGAGACCATTCCATTGGAAATGGTACTCCACACATGTTTTTTTTTATCTTTTTATACATCAATACATCAGTATTCTTGTACACATTTGTAATGTATTTCCAAAGATCTTTGATCTTTGTAATAAAAACTTTCGGGTGGTTTAAACAAAAAAAAATATATATATATATATATATATATATATAAATATGTAGGTATATTTTAATTTGTATACTATTTAGGAATCATGCGATTATGTGACAAAATGTTTAAAATAAATATTAGATGGAGATACAGGTAGGTACCAAATTCTTATACTATAAATATTTGTATAAAATGGCAAAGAAATATTAGACGATTTTGTAAAGAAATTAAAATTATCTATTGCTAATGTTTAATATTTGTTCGTGAAACAATAATAATGAAATCGAAAAGATGTCGTACATTCATATCTACGTTTTGATACGTTTTTTCTTACACACGAATATGTGTGATTGATAGAATGTTAAATCGCGAACCCCACTAAATTACATACGACCGTATTACCTATACGTGAATCATAAATAACTGCAACGTCATTCGTTATACAGACGGGATACGTGAGTTGTCAAAAAGTGTCTGTACAATCGTAAATTGTACGAGTTAGTTAATAGTGATTAATAATCATGAAAAAAAATATATTGAATTTAAAATGTTTATGAAAACAATATACAGAATCATGCTCAACTTTGTTTTCACCACTAAGCACGTACAACTTATGATGAAACTCGTGTACAATTTTCAAGCGTATTTGCTTAGCCAATACAATTTTATCTACATAAAACTAAATAAAAACTAAAAAAATAACTCTAAAATTTCAAATGTTCATAAATAACTAAAAATTCGATAGAATTTTTTAAAAATTTTACCACGTCTAGAATCGAAAATCAAAAATCCGTATTGCTGTACACTTTTCCGTTGTGACCTCCTCACACAAAAATTTGATTCCACATAAAAGATGTTACACTATAAAATCGTAGCAAATTTTCTGGTAGAAAAGTTGTTTTAAAAAAAGCACACATTATAATAAAACCAACGCATTCCTTGATTCGCTCAGAGTCTAAGAATGCTCGTGAGATTAACTCATTGATGTTGTATTGTGTCTCGTGTTTATAATATATTATATAAGGTGTAGGCAGAAATTTTGGCACAATTTCCTACAAATGAGTTCATAAAAAATGTTGTTTTGGTAAAATATTATGTCATAAAACTGTATTAAAAGTTCCTAAAGTTCAGTAAATGCAAAATATTTATAACAGTCATATCGGATAGATACCTATTATATATATTTTAGTGGTAAGATAATAATAATTACAGGTTAGGAATGGGTAAAATCCGTACTATATATTTTGAAACTTTATAATTTTTGATTTTATGAGATTTTAAAATCACTGTTTTACCTATTAAACAATTGGATTTTTTTAAACAAATCAAATATATTTGTACAATTAAAAAAGACGGACATTCTTCGCACGTGGGTGTAGCTACTGTCGTAGGTGAGAAATTAGAAATGTAGGATACAGAAAGGAATCTAACGCATGTCTGTAAGCAACAATAAACTATTGCTAATGAAAAAACGATTCTGAGCGAAGTTCAATTGATAGTGATGCTTTGTCAACAATATGTATGTCATATTATGGTAAAATAATTAAATAGGGATTATATATTTTCTTTAATAATATTTGTTTAATATTGTACCAATTTTCCCATTTTTTTTCCCCAATTTTTTATGTTTGCTGGGAAAAATCTTGGGAAAATCGAAAAATGACCTCCCTAAAACACCACCCCAAGAAATTTTATTTTAGAAAAGGGTCTATATTGTATATATCAGTGTTAACTTTCTGGTAGAAAAAGTGTTCACATAAAAAAAAATAAAAAAATGCAGTGAGCCATCGTGGGACGCCTGGCAGATGTGAACAAATACAATTATTTTGTTGAGAAAATATGCACGAAAAGATGGTTAATTAAAGAAAATAAATATGGCATAATCTGTTTTAACAATTGAGTGAAACTGAAAAAACTTAGGGAAAAATCGCAATTATTTGCTTTTTCTATTCGTGGTAAAATTTTCAAAACATTTAAGCCATTTTTAAGCTGTTTATAGACATTTTAATTTTGTTAGTTTTTTGTAATTTGTATTTGGTAAGGTACTCTGTGGATAAAATATTGTTAGATTAAACATAAATTCTTGATAACTAGACAAGAGATTCTTTATAAGTTGTACTTAGTGATCAAAACAAAAAATTAAGTGTAATGCAGTAATTTTTATTTAAAAGCGTTTTAAAATCAAATTTTAACGTAAATCGTGAATATTAAGGCCTTTTAAAACAAGTGTAACCAAACCTCGCTCCGAATCGTTTTTCGTTAGCAATGGTTCATCGTTGCTTACAGGTATAAATTAAACAACTTTATGTATCTTATTTTCCTTACTTCCCATCTACAACATTGGCGCATCCGTCCCCGGTATCTGCAGTTTTTGTTTTTTTACATTTCTGTTATTGTTTTACAAATAACCAAAGTCTTTGAATCGAGTATCTGCGTTTGGTAAGAAAGTAGATTTCACATTTATCGACTATACACACTGTGCACACATAAATGCACACCTTTATATTGTAATAGTACCCCTAGAGTGTAAAAATAATCGTCGAGTTGCGAACGCGTGGCGACCCACCCACCGCATTAGATAAATGAAAACAGAAACTCGAATAATTGTGAAATCCGGATTTCCATATTTTCGTTAGTTTCGAATTTACCAATGAAAATTTCACGCCATCAGTGCTCACGTTAATCTGAACTTGACGTAAATCGAAATCTCAGAAGACCGAATGAATGTTAGTATATTATGTTCCATATTAAAACTTAGCCCACGGTTTTACGTGCCGTGGCACACCTGTGCGCACGCATACGCGTGTTTATCATACATATGAACGCATACACTATATATGGCGTGTAAGTACGCGTTTTTAAGTTTCAACGTTGTACAATATTATTTACGAGTGTAATATTGAGTTTCTCGGGACAAAAATCGGTACAGTACGTATAGCCGTACAGGTTACATAAGTACGTTACCTCTAATCGTGACTGTCGCGGACATGAAATACACGTAAAAACGGGCGTGGCGGATATATAAGGTACCCAACCTAACCTATCACATTATTGCTACGATGGCGTAAACACGTTTGCACTCGTGATTTTACAATTTTACCCGAGATCTTGAAAGCCCGCGAAACCGCCATTCCCTAACCTTCTCAAAGTCTGCAGCGCGAAACTTTACTATTATATTATTATTGATAACAATATTATATAATAACCGTTCGTTTAAACGGTTTACGATAAGTTTCGTTACGTATAGGTTTATCGTTCTGCAGCACATAGTTAGCGTTAGGTATAAATGTATAAGTTCGTCGACGCCATGCAAAAAGTTACCGAGTGATGCAATCGCATGGCCAAATTTAAAAAAAAAATTAACCCTTATGTAATATTACACACAGTGACACGAATTGAAGGGAAGCTAGGGGACTTGGACCCTCCCTGGATCGTATTAAGCCCCCTCAATTATTTTTTATTAAGCAACTCCGAGGTTTATGTGCTAATCGCGCCACTGATGACACGCTTAAGATTTCAAATACAATGTTTGTTTCTGTTTCTCTGTTCAATCGCCGTGTATAACATAAACAGAAGTTGTTTAACATTTGATAAATTGGTCGTCAGATCGGTTTGAATTTGTCCAAGGCTTGAGAATTGGCAATCGATAAAATTGATAACCATGATGGTTTCAAGTAGTATAATATTTTCTGCGATATGAACACGCATTTTGAAATTTGTATTAAACCGATTTTAAAAGAGGGGGACAATGTGGAATCAAAATATGTTTAGCTGTGCCGCTTTTAGCACACACGTTATGTGTAGGGGTTACCGAATCGTGCGGAATATTGCTAAGAACGAAACACGTCCCCGACAAAAACATTGGTTTTTTTAATACCGTTCAGTGTTGTGTACGTAGATTATTGTTTGGTATTATATTATTATCAGATAGGATAATATTTATCAAGTCGAGTGTACGATGACACGTGATCAACAGGTGGTGACGGCACAAGTGCCATGTATCGACGGGATTCAAATCGCGTACGCCGTGCGTGTGTTTACCTGTACACGGTATACGCACCACCAGCCGCACGGCGCACGCCATCGGGAATAGCGACGATTCACTTCGGGGCGGCTCCTGGGAAGTTTAAATCGCGCACAACGCGCATACGTACACCGTATTTTATTTCGCGCACATTTACTTGTTGGGCCGTACAGTGACGGCGAGGGGCCACGGGTTGTGTCCGCTAATCACTTGAGATTCATTATCGACATTACGCAGTACTATGAAAAACCGTGCCGTACAACAGGGCGGAGTGTACCCGTTTCCGGGACGTCGGGTCGCCGGCGGCCAAGACAGCAGGCACTACGGCGTGACGGCCGCCGTCGCGGGACAACGCGCGATATATTATCGATGACGGAGCGGCGGTTCGCGCGTACGGCGGAGCAGAGAGTACGGCCGGCCGCCAGTCGCGTCCCGCGTGAACGTAGTAAACGTCGCCGAGGGACGGCGCGAGTTTCGCGGGGTTTCGTGGAGGGGCGGGTTACCGGCGTACGTTTCAGCCGCTCGCGTGCACGTGATTGATTGCACGCGTACATTACGGCCGGGTCGCACCCTCCCGTCGTCACGCCAGCCCGCAAACGGCGTGCGATACCGATCGAAATGCTACGCACTACAACGGTACGCGTATACCTACACACGCGCGCACGTCCGCGCGCGCTGACGCGGACGTAACGTACGCTAGGAGCGGCGTGAAAAAAAAAGTCCGGGTCCGGGGGCGGCGGCGGCGGCGGCGGCGGCGGCGTCGTAAGGGATTATTCAGACGGCGGCGGCGGCGGCGGGCGTACCGCGTACCGCGTACGCCCGCGAACCCGGTGGAGCGTCAAGAAGAGTACGCCGCAATCAATTCCAGCCAAGGTCGTATCGGACCCGATGATATATACCTACCGTAGTACCGGCACAGACGCCCCGACGTAGTCGTCATGGCGACCCGTTCACGACCGCGGACACCAGCGTCCGGGGACGTCCTGCGGGAGCGTAGTACTACGACGCCGCTTATCATCGTAACACGACCACCACTACCGCCGCCGCCGTTACCGCTTCTGACGCCACCGCCGCCGCCGCCACTACACACCACACTGTAATATACACGCATACGCAATATAATATTATCATCATCATCATTATTATTATTATTATTATTATTATTATTATATTTCTTTCTCGCTTCCGTCGCCCGTCTCCCGTCCTTGCATGCGTACCCCGTCGCCGCGTCACCGTTGTTACGCGCGGAGCGGCAGCCCTTTTCCGGGTACCAGTGTCGTAACAATTCGAATTTAACGCCCATCGTAACGTTCTGTGCGCCGCAAAAGCCCACGGCCGGCGACGAAATATCCGAGCTACTACTGTGCGCGTTACAGAAAACCAATTCTGAACAATACGTTGCACCGGATAGCCTTAATTTTATCGATACGGGCGCGTGGGTTGTTCAGACAATAACGTAGTCAAACCGCCGGCGTAACAAAATCCGTAAAAACTCATAATCGGGATTATAAACGCTTACTATGCGTGCATCGTGGCCCACTGCGAACGCACAACATTAGTTTCAATTTAGGCGGAACAGAACGGCGGGCATATGCGGGCTATAAAAATCCCTTTTCAAACGACTGCTACGTTGTTGTTAGGTTATTTTTTTTCTTTTTTCTTTTTTTTTCTTCGACAATGCCGCGCGACCACGACGGATACGTATAAGGGAACGGCCGCTGCGACCTAGGCCGTTTCAGTCGATTTTCGAACTAGATATCGTGAGCGTCGCATTCGCGCGAGAGAGATTTTATGATCGTTTTACGTTTTACGAAATTATTATTCCCAACATCATCTCTGCGTGTAACACGCGACCGAATTCGTATTATATGCACGCGTTCTAAAGTAACGAGACGGACCGTTAACCGATTCGATTAAATATTATAATACCCGTTTATCGCCCCGTCCAACGGTCGCCCGCGACGACGACGTCGTCATCGCCCGACCGTGGCACCCTCGCGATCGCAACCTTTCACTCTCGCGCACTCGTCCCGCTCGTCCTGTACCGTTCTGCAATCGCGCCGCGGTGTGCTTTGCCGTCATCGCGCAGATCAACAGATTAAAAAACCCATCGCGCGTTTTTCGAGGTAATATCCGTCACGAATAACATTATATTATAATGAATATATTATTATTGCATTGTGATTAATTAATACTCCGTATACACCTATAGGTACGCAATTTGTTTGTTTGTTTTTTTTTTTTTTCGATATAATTTTTATGTTACGATGATAACACGTAATATGTTCATGTAATAATATTATTATTATCTCATTGCTTGTTTGATTGTTTGTTTGTTTTATAATTATTATTATTATTTTCGTTGTTTGCGTTATACATATTATTATACATTTGTTTTTTTTTTTTTTTTTTTTTTTTTTTTTCAGTTGCACTGGCATGTTATTCGGTGACAACACCTATATACATATAAGTCTTATACGATTGTATTATTTTCCATCCTGTATAACGTTATAATTTCCTATTGAAATAATAGATTATTTTGTTAAAAATAAAAAAAATTATAAGCATGTGCAGACACCACTTTTTACCGATATCAGATATTTGAAATCGAAAACCCCGAGCTGATACTGAAATAAACCAATTTTTTTTATTTTTTTTTTATTATTATTATTATTTTAACGCTTTTTTCATATTCCAGGAGTATAGTAGATATTTATCTCAGAAATATCGGTTTTAAAAACATAAAGCCGATATCGAGTATCGCGGTTTATGTATCGCGACCTGCCCCGAAACAAATTGAATTTATTTCGTTTTGAACTCGGACGGTATTAAAATAAATATTTGCTCGCCGCAAAACAATGTACACGCATATTTGTTTTACTATAAATTATTTTATTTTTACTGCATATCGAACGTTATGTCAATATCAAACAGATTTCCTCATTTAATAGTATGTATATCGTTTATATGCATACACAATATTACCGAACAATAGTTAATACCCGCCGAATGGTTTTTTCGTTTTACCCAACCTAACATTAACTCAATAATTGTTTAGTGTATTAGATGACCGCCGGTTATTTGAAAAATTCAACGAATAAAAAAAAAAAAAAAATTAAACACCGGTACGTTTCAAGTAGGCACAGACATTTGCGAGACTAATCATATATTTACACACATCACGTTCGCCTAAATATTTTCGCACGTTATCGTGATGTTGTTTGAAACGATATTACAGTTTTCAGAGTACACAGTCCATTTTCGAATATTCACTTCGGCAAACGAAAAACGTAATAATCTTATTTGGTTTGCACATAATAATGTAAAAGTATTACACGTACACTCAAAACGGAATGTTAAATTGAAAATATTAAATCTATATTGTACGTCGGTCGTATACTACGCAGCTACAACCGATACAGTATTCGTGTATTCGTAATAAGTATTAACCCCTCCCATTAAATCGATAACGATAACTGTTGACAAATAAGAAAAACTTCAAGAAACTTTGAAAACAATTATGCAATTCGATATAATATATCAATATACCTGCAACTACAATATAGGTCGGTATTGTGGCCAATAAACGCGGCCGTGGTATAGGCGGTAATCAAAGCTTTCAATTATTGCATGTGCACCCGACGAATGATACACTGTTGTGCGTTGTACCTCGGTACGATTTGACTTGGCAAATTAGTATTTTGTTTTTATGTTTTGACAACGGAAAAATATTATTACGAATTATTGAAGCATATTATATTGTTTGCACGGTGTTTAGAATGTTTAATAACTTAATGAAACGGTATGAATTAATTATATTATTATTATTGTTATTATTGTATGGATACCTGGAGAACAATAGATTTCCATAGTTTAAGCGTTACGATATAATAACGACGTCTCTTATTTAAATGCGTAGTTATTACGTTAATGTAAACAGTGGCGTGCGCAGGGTGGGAACGATGAGTGTTTGTTCAATAATTTTAAATTTTAACTAAATTACGTGGAAAATAAGTTTGATTTATTGCGTACGAATTGACTTTTTTTGGATCCGGTTTTTAAACTTTCATTGTTGAATTAGGTATAAGCAGAAGACGAATCTACGGTTTATTCATTAATCGTGATAATTATTTATTTCATTTCTTTCTATTGAAAATTCCGGCGTACACGCACTAATAGTACTTGCATATATATACTATATTATAGTGTAGTAGATATTTAAATACAGAATAATTTTCATCAATAACAGGCATTTATATTATATAATAATTAAACATTTTAATTAATTTAAAGCAGTAAATAGCATTGTCGTTTTAATTAAATTCGCGTTTTGAATTTATTTCATTCGCCTAAGTAAAATACCGTGCTCTTCTCAAAGGGGTTTTAACTTAATTTTAAAGTACTTATTCGGCGTTTTCACTAATTTCGAAAAGTATAATATTTAGTATTTTAATTTATAATAGGACACGGTCGTGATTTATACATAAGTTTCAGGAAGTACGTGTTTTGGCTGTAACTAGGCCAACCGACACTTTTACGCGGTATACTATTAAATTTTAGTATAGTAAAAGAAAGCCAAATGTATAAAAGATTTTAAAAAAAAGTTGTTACTGGGGACGGGTGCGGTCACTGTTGTAAATGGGTAGTTGGGAAGGTGGGACGGTTATTTAAATTTTTACCTGTAAGCAACGATAAACCATTGCTAACGAAAAACGATTCTGAACGAAGAATAAATCTAAAATAAAACAAAAAATGTGCTTTTTTACGACAAAAACGATTGTTTGAAAAGGATTAAAATAATACAAATTTAATAAGACTAAAAAAATAAATCTCGAATATTAATAAGAATTTCAAAAAATATTCTTTCTAAAGTACCAACTAGAGTCAAAATTAAAAATGTCTAGAATAAAAGTTATTTACAGAGAGGAAAAAAAATATACATCACAGTAAAACTAATAGATTCCTCACTTCACTCAGAATTTAAAATATTTTTCTTTTTTCTTTTATAACACTTCTAAGTACGAGTTTATTTTTAGAAAAAATGGGAAACTCGTCATATACCTAAACTAAATAAAAAAAACAACCAAATGTTTCCAACAAAACATAGATAAGAAATCAAAAAATTCAAATACGTTTTCAAAATTAAAATTGAGCCACTTGTAGTGGGTGAATTTTATTCCAGGTTAGTGTTCTAAATAGTCTTAAAAACGGCCGTGTCCCTTTCTCTTAAATGGGGAAATGGGACTTATCGGCAATAGAGGCGAAAATACATGCTACCGTGAAAATTATTTTTGTGTAAAAAAAATTTGAATTTATAGGTTGTGTAAAAAAATATAATCACGTATATTGGTAGATAAAATTCAAATTGACAAAAGTTTCATCTCTAAAAATAAGGCTGACAAAAAATAACAGTAATTTTTATATTGGTCGGAAATGTCATAGTGAAGGTCAAAGATCTGCGCGATTTTTTCTGGCAATGTGAAATTTATACGAGTATGGGACGAATAAATTATGCTGAAATGATGAATAAGCGAATAAATCGGTTGATGATAAACAAACCTAAAATTTGGGCTTTTGTAAATTCTTTACGAAAAATACAAGTAAGAACAAATACACAGTATGAAAATTTGGTAACGGGTTATAGTCCGCAAAAAAAGTTTGAAAATGTAAGGCCACACGGATATTTTATGTGACTATAAATTACCCAAAATTTTATTTTGAAAATAGTTTTAACCTTAGCATGTATTTTTGCCATTGTCGTCGCTATGGCATGCAGTGCCGAAACAGCAGCACCGAAAAGTCCTATGCCCCTTAAATGGATATCGGTCTACTGGTTAGTGAAAAAAGTATTATTATTAATGTAGCTATATTAAAAGGTAAAAACAATTTTCAAATTTTAAAAATTATCATATGTGCCTACCTAAGAATAATAATCATTTTTATTACAAACGAAGCATAAATGTTTCGTAGTTACTATTTAATATTTTAATCGTATATTTGGTGTATTTCATTATTATAATATTATTTAGACAGGTGAATATAATAATATATTATGAGAATAGCGGTAAATAGGTTAATATTTGTGTTCTGAATTCCCTACAACGCAAATTATTTGAATAGCGTAAAGAACTAATACTGCTGATGGGTGTACTACGACAGTTGTTCGATAGGAAGTTGGGAAAGTAGGTTATTATATAAATTAGTTTAATTTATATTTGTAAAATTCATGATAGTAAACCTCGTGATAGAATTCAAGTATTTTTGCCGGACGAAAACAATCTTATCTACATAAAACCAAATAAAAACTATAAAAATTCATCAGAGTTTGACCACGTCGAACCAATCGAAAATAAAAATAAATCGTTTTATTGCGTAGATTTTCCCATTAGTTTTTTTCCTAACTCTTTAAAATAAGACAAGCGGAATAAAAAATTATTAGCACCAACTAGAAAACATTTTCTTTCAGAAAAGATGTTACAATTTAAAATCGGATCAGGAATTCTGGTAGAAAAGTTGTTTTCGTAGAAAAACTAATACATTTCCTCATTGCGCTCATAATCTATAAGGAGAAATATACGTTATGAATAATCAATGAAGGAAAGTGGTTTTAATAAAATATATCGTTTACGTCTTTTACTAATGATTGTAATAAATCGACCATGGTTTCTTACTTAAATTTCTTAATGTAGGTAAGTTCGTATTTTCAATATTAAAATTTATGTACATCTATTAGTTTAAACCTTAATGTTTTAAGTAATTGGCATTTTAGTTTGATTAAAATCATATTTTACATAAAACATATTATACAGAATTAATATTATAAAATATAGAGTTGATTAATATTATGATTATTGTAACGTACTTATAAAATATAAAGCAGCAGTTCACAACAATTAAATAAATTCCTTCGTATAACTAAAGGAACAAATTTAATTGAATCAATTATAGCTTGCAGGCAATGTTAGAGAAGCTCACTTATCTTCATTGGCCATTTCTTTGTAAAATATAACGCGTATGCAGAAACATAATAAATTAAATTTTGCTACACAAATTATTATATAAGTATAATTATTCCTCCATTGTGATATTCGATCAAATTTGTATTTGGACTTTGATGACAGAAGGTGTTACACGTTAAATGTAAACAAAGTGTAGTTTTTACCCTGTCACTGAACTAAAAATTTGGTTGGTGGTAAAAAATCTCATGGCTGGTGGCGGGTGTTCCTGTTCCCTAATGTCATATTAAATGTTGAAATTGTTTAGAAAAATGTACTAAGCTTTTGTACAAAGCTGGCAGTTAGACTCTATTAACATAACATTTTTATGAACAAATATGTGTAGGAGAGAGAAATTTAAAAGCCTTATCTCCATGAAAGTTTTCCTGGAAGTTTGGTTGGGTTTAGTTCTCGGGAACGCCCCTTCATTTTATGTGAGTATAATTTCCTTTAACCATTAAGCATAATAATAATCATAATATTATGGAATAACAGTAGAAACATATAATGTACTTTTGACAGGAAATATTATAACTGCGTCACACTAACGATATTTGTTTTACGCTGTAATTATTATCGTTGTATATGTAGCATTATGCAAATTGAGAAATGATTAATTCGTTTTGTAATTTCACACAAAATTTATATGAAACAGCTATTTTATCTAGAAGGTTTCTCAGCGAAAATGTACGGATTTAAAGACAGATGTCTTTCGTTGTCCTAGTTCACCCAACTTTAGTCCTGCCAAAATATCTTGATTCTTTACATATAACCGAAACAATTTTAATTTAATATATTGTCATATATTGCCTGAAAATAGGCAATTTATTTTCAACGAAAATCTACGTACAGCTCTCGAAAATATTCTCCTCTTAAAATTTTGTATCATGTGTTCAAGTTTCAATTTCAACGAAAATACCATAAATGTATAATCCATGTAACGTAATTATTATATGTTGCCCATTATTAGTTGGACTGAAATGGTAAATGAGTATCACTACGTTCCTTAAAGGAAATTAACGTTAATAGACAAATACAATTTTGGAATTGTTTTTTGCCTCTCCCCTTTCATTTAAAAATCCTAATTTCACCACTGATTAGTAATAACGTTTGCCGGAAATGTTATATTTATAGATCGTTTTTAGATTTTGATCAATTTTTGTGAAGTCGAATTACGCGCGTTGACTGTAACAGTATTATAGAATAATTCAAAAACACAGGCACTCTGTATATTATATTAAGATTCTTAAAAACATCGACCCATCGTAGTAGTATTGCATAAAATAATATTTTTTTATTTACTAAAATCCACAAATATAATCGATCCTAGAGACCTAGACTGTATATACTAAGCATATCAGAGCAGACGTGATGTAATTAATGACTTTATAAAAAATGTGTGTTATGTGTCCCACAACACCGTGTAAATATTTAACGGACAATACTTCATCATAGCTTTTAGTTATCCCTACCTATTTTTTTTTTTGGCCGAAATTCAGTGGTGGGAGGGTCTTAAAAAAAAAACCGCATACAAAACGCATATGTTATAAACGGCGACTATTGAAAGCTCCAAAGACTAATTCACATATTTTGTCGAATATTAATAGTTCTACTCATCGATTTTAATTATACATACAGTTTTTAATTTATCTTCAATATTGTCTATACGTATCTATTTATTTCGTCAATCTTAAGTCTATACCGAAAAGATTAAACTGGACAAGTTGACGAAATTGCAAACATATTATCCGGATCGCGTTTCACAAACCCGGGTTTTAACCTAGGTGCCTAGAGACAACAATTTTCTTACCTAGGTATGTAAATCGACGTTTTTCCTCGTAAACATAGTTATTCCATGTTTTATCCGTGAGTATTTGGGTTAGGGTAATAGGAGCTTATTATGATATATAGCTCTAAAAATGTTAATTCCATTTTTGGATTTTTTTTTTTTTTTAAATTAGAAATAAAATTACATTTTTTAAATAGTTATACATGTATTCATATTTTAATTTTTAAAAAATGTTGTTAATTAAACTTCTACATATTAATATCATCACATCTTAATATAAAAAAGATAATTACAATAAAATAAATGTTAATATATATATGAAGAAAAACTTAGACTGGAATATTATACAGATTGTGAACAGTATTTAAGAACGGTTTTAATTTTTGAAAAGCCAGTACATTACAAGTGTATGTAGGTTGGAAGTAGAAAAAGTAAGATATTATAGAGGAATTCTATTTATATCTGTTTGCTACGATATATCGTTGCTAACGAAAAAACGATTCTGAGAGAAATTTAATTAAAAAGTGTATTCAATTTTAACTATAAAATTAATTATCATTGTCCGTGTTCACTGTTTATGTTTCAATGTTTGAGCATTTGTATTGATTCTATTGAGCTAAAAAAATCGTATCCACCTAAACTTAAGTACCACATATAATGAACATTCTGTCAAATTTTCAAGCATTTCTGTTTAGTCTAACCAATTAATCCATAGAATACCTATTAACTAAAAATTACGTGAAAAACTTGCAAAATTTAAATAGCTCAAAAATGACCCAAATGTTTTGAACATTTTACCACATCTAGACAGACAAATATATGTTTTCTGTAAAAATGTCAAATAGTACCTACCAATAAAAACACTACGGACAAATTCTTAAACATAAACCTATAAATAGCTCAAAAATCGAAATATAATTTGTTGTGTCAATATTTAAATAATAAAATTAAGAATTAATTAAAAATTTATGGTAATATTAAAACGCTTATCAGAATGATGAAATGATAGTAAGTTTTTCAGAAAATTGAAAAAAATAAAAACTAGTTTTTCTCAAAAACATGTAGTTCTTCTGCAATGATTTACGACGTATTTGCTTATATGAGCAATATAAAAATATCTACTTAAACAAATATTATAAATTGTTTATTTTGAAAAATATTTATTTAGTTATTACGTCTAATAGAATTGTTATGATCTATAATAATTTTACCATTGTCAAAGCAGTATTCGTTAAACGAGGTTTTTAAATTAATCTCAATTAGGGTGATATTCCGTCTACAATGAACTCGAAGGCTATTTTATTTATTTTGAATGATGGTTTTTTTATGAAACTATTCGGGGCATGTCACCAGTGTACCTACGGCCGATGTAACACGAAACACTGCGGGAGTTTGATAAGTCTGGTAACTTATAACCAAGAAATGGTTATAATATTCTGATAATCTGTTTAAAATATATAATATAAAATATTATGATAAAGGTTGAAAATTATTATTTAAAATGGCGTATTAAAGTAAACGAATGAATTTCGTTTGTGACATTGTATTTAAACTACAAAATACAATTTCAAAATGTACAAAATGTATTTCAAAAAAATTGTATATTTGAAATGCATAGGTAATAATTATAGGTACCCATTTTGTCCAAACCTGCTGGTAAAACACGGCTACCGCACCCGCTACATAGAAATATATCAACTATAATAATATTCAATTTATCATGTTATAATTTCGACTCGAGTATATTATTGTAATATTATAATATTTAGATTTATGATGCGTATTATAAGCAAAACGGCGCTTATCGGTAATCCATCTAAATTCTAAATAACATAATATAATATTATTATACAATGTATACATAGTTTCCAAACACTTATATTATTTTTGTTTACTTTATCAATCAATCTGTGTGTAAATGTGTGATAACACCCGTGTTATTATAATGTATTTTACATAATATAAACATTTAAACATTTCAATCGCAAACTGTTGTACAAAATTATTAAATGTATACATCACTTTCTCATTTTCGGGATATTAAATAATAGGTATAATTACTAACAGAAATCATAATTCGAAAACACTATTATTTGACTATGATCGATCGAGCTGTAGTTTTTTTTTTTTATGCCGTGGTGATATTATTAAAGATATCGTCTTTCACCAACCTTGTGTGCAAATTTCTCTACTTTCTACAGGTTTCTGAGTTATGTTTCTAAGTTGATTTTAGACGGCGACGTACAAGTATTGGACTTATTTCGAAATCACTTTTTCGTCTGATATTTTATTTCAGTCGAGATACAGCAAATTATTCAGCTATGATGTATAATAGTAATAAATCGCCTTTTAGCTTTTAACATAAGTCGACTATCGAAGTATAAACGAACTTTACGCTAAATCAGCTGTATTGATCCGATTGCATTACATTCGTTCTCGTGTAAATATATTTTACATTGCGTTTTTCTTGTATTTTATAGTCTTTTATTACATCGCAACAAACGTTTGTTTATTACATCTTAAAAGTTTTTTGTATATTTCATATTGACTTTGAAAACGTATGTATAAATAGATAACCAGCTAAGTGAAGTTATATTTGTATGACTGTGTTTATGAAACGTGCCTAGTTAAATAACGTGTCCATTTTGTTATTACCTATATTATTACCTTATATTATTATGACTTTCCATTATTGATCCTACCCTTTCAACAAAAGTTCAAAGTTATGTTTTCGTTTAGTACGTCCATAGTTACGTAAACATAATATAGTCACATTATATGTGTTTTTCCATGTTCCTTTTTGTGATAACTTCATATACAAAACTTAAACTAACAACGTTTTAAAAATGCTAAAGACTGATAATAATTATATACCAATGCATTTATTTTGATTTATATAAGAATTTAACTTTAAAAAGAAAATCCCTGCATTTAATTAATACGGTGATCTCATATAAAATAAAATGCAATTACCCACCTAATAAAAACGCAGGTATACTTTTTAAAGTACCTAGTTAAAAAATATCTAAACGCCGAGTGTATTATATTAACATGACAGCCAGGATTTTTTGAAGAAGGGTGTCATGTGTCTACATTAAAAAAAAAGTCTTTTAACACATTTATATTACTTAAACATGAATATAAGGGGGTATCCATACACCCAAAACACCCCTCTGCGCAACGCCATTGATGATAGAAAACGAACAGCGTTAATAGTTATAAACACCTGTGAGCAGCAGAGTTTCGTCACTAAAGTTGAATTACTCCTAACTTATTTCGTAATATAGAAATATTATTTACAAATCAATATCCGAATACAATAGTACCACAATATATACTATACTGTACTACTTTCAAAAATATAGTGAAATTTGATAATCAAAAAATGGAGGACAGGTTTAAAGTTGAAAACCACAAAAGGCACATCCTTGAAACTAATACTATGGTTATTTAAAATATCATCCCCCTGACTTCATTTTAGGCTATAACTAGGACTGTTCAAAGCTAAAAAATCATCCTCCTCCCACAACAAAATGATAAAATCCATATTATGTCTGAATATGAATTTTAAATTCATCTATAAAACAGTTCTACTTCCCGAGTTTGAGCACATTTGGTCCAGAGGGAACCACTAAAAATCTCAGCAATTATTTATCGTTGCGTGCTGATAAATATAAATTAAATAACTTTATGTATCTTACCAATCTAAAATAGTGACACACCCATCAGTAGTACCAGCCATTTTTTTTTTTTAGATTTTCGTGCGTTTTTTTAAATTTTTAGTGCTAGGGAGTATTTATATTTGTACGCCATACATACGCGAATATTTATATATTTTCCTATGATATAGATATAAGTAACGAACCCTGGTTATATTAGACATCTTAATTCCTCTTCCTCAGCAAATTTCAAGGCGTTTCATATGTGTATATCCTCGGTGACGTTTTTTATAGAACCATATAATATACCATTTAAACCTATATTCTTCTGAAAGTTATCAAGGTTTAACAACAGAATATGTTTTGTATCGTATCCGGTTTTGTATTATCATATAGTAATATATGATAATAACAATAGAAAATATTTTTTTTTTAACTTTAAAGGGAGAGCTCTCAACCAAGGACTATTATGAAAGGTTGTTGCTTGCTACATACAGAAATTTACGATAATACTATCATTATTATTATTTATGAACCATTTGTCAATAATGAAGGGGAAGTGACAAATATTTTAATGTCATTAATTAATACCTTTAATATAGTATATGGATTTTGTAAACTACATAGCCAGTAGTTATATTTTTTTTGAAAAAATTATAAATTATTTTAAAACAATAAACTTTTTGAGAGTATCTATAGATTATAATGTTTTACAATCACACTCATTCACGATTAGTATTTATGATTTCCAGTAACAGGACATGTTTTACATGTTATTTTTTATGTTATACGTGTGTTATACTAGTTCCGGGATCAACGTTTGATCATCAAACTATATTGTCTTGGCAAATCAAAATTAAATTAAAATTGAATTTAAATGTACTAAATTCAGTTAATAAACTTTCAGAAATTAACATTTAAAAAAAATACAATTAAATTTTTTTTAACTATCTTAATTTTAAAAGAGTGTAAAAGAATAAAAATAAAAATGTGCACCTCTTATACGGCATTTTATATATCATGTAATCATATAACTTTTAATCTCATTTTCGAAATCATTAGGTGCTGTAATATTTAATTATTAATTTCTATACATAGGATATAATAAATTATCAAAATATTGGCTCACAGTGTATTACTAAAAAAAAATGATTGTTTTAAAATTGTAAATGAAAATGTAAATCATTTAATTCAATATTGAATGTCATTAAATTCAAAAAGAACTAAAACCGAGATTCGATAGAATTCTATTATTTAGTATTTTGTAAATTTTTAGACTTTAAAATTTGAAAAATGATTTGTATTTAAAGTATATACATTAAAACTATTATTACTTTTAAAATTATGCACCAATATAGTTTCGAAATTATACAATAGTATAATCTGAATACACTTGTAATAACCAAATAGGTAGGTAGCCGGTGAATAGACTACAAATGAACAATGACTATGAATAAACTATATACAATAGTATATAATCTGAATATAATAGGTTACTGATGAATAGTATACTTACTCGTAAATTTTACATGGTCATAAAAGTTCCATTAATTTTTAAATATTAATTGCATTATACTTGACTAGTTAGATTATTTTATATTTCTTACCTAAGCAATAATTAATCAAATGAAAATAAATTATAAATAATAAATGATCGTGTAAATGATTAATTAATAACTTATATTATTTTATAGAGATATATAGAGATAATTTATTAATGATCTTACATGTTCACTTACAACGAAGTTGTATAGGTATTAGGTTAATTATTATTATCGTATTACAAAAACAAAATTAAAAATATGAAAATCGATTAAATGTTTGTCGTTAAAAATAATGTGAGAAAATGAGAAATTATACCATTTCAAATCATGTAAGCTAAACAATTGTAGACAGGCAATCTATTAACCTACTATAAGAAATAAGCTTTAAAACAAAATACTCGTACAATTGGAAAACCGAGAACATCTATAAATATGTTAAAATTATAATAATATGTAAAATATTTATTAAAAAAAAATTTAAAAAATGATAATTTTACGGTTAAATATAGAGATTCAAAATTGTATTCGTAAAATCATTACAATGAATAAATAATAATGTATGCGTGTTGTTAAAAACATACAATTTTATATAATTTCAACAGCTTATTTCGTTTCAAAAAATCACAACAATTAGATACTTAAATTTGTTTGTTGACAGTGACAATAAATGCAATATAATGACCAGTGATAGATTGAGTGCTTAATGAATAGACCCAGGTGGCTGAGGTACAAGAAGTCCAATCAGTTACCGATTAAGCCTAGTCGGCTAAATTAAGTACTATTAGGTATATGACGTATTCTACAACTTAGATTAATACAAACAAATTAGTGATAAGAGATGTGTAACTTAAGATTATCAGTAAAATTAATGGTACCTACTCTATCATTTACATTATTATTTTTTGAATTATACTTACATACATAATTATATAAACATAAGACATAATTTTTTTTTTCTAGAGTACAATAAAATTATATAGGATTTTCAGGAAGCCCTCCAAACAAATCCTAGGTGTGCCTCTGAAGGTTTTTAGTGATTTTTTCTGCGGAAAAATTGTATTGTCCGCGTCAGCAATTAGAAAAAGATCGTTATAGACAGATGTCAAACAAAAAAAAATGTCCAACTACGCAGTTATATTTTTGACGGGATCATAATATTTTATTCGTAAAGAGAAGTGTCTGTCAGTCTGTCAGTAGCGGATACATGGATGGGAAACAATAGGGACCATAACTCTCCTTTTTCACTCTCTAATTTACTATTAGTTTGATTTATCAGTGAGCTTACCATAAATGTATGCCTTACAGGCTTTTTTAAAATTGCTGCCCCCTGTGATCTTATCTTAAATTCACCACTAGTGTCCGCCATATATAAGTACTTGTCAAGACATAATTCATTGTATTGTCACTTAAATCCAAATTCCCTACAATTATTTAGATTCTATGCGAAACGAAGAATTTATTATTTTTACTATGTGTTGTTTTTGTTTATATAAACTACCTTTCGATAAAAACTTTTTAGAAAATTTTTTGTACTATTTTAAAGGTCATTTCTTGTGCTTTTTTTATAATTGGGGAAAACCTAGAAAAAACGTCGGAGAATGGTAATGTAGTTACGTAATAACGATTAATGTTAATTTTTGAAAAACATTTTTTTAGGGCAATTCAATGAAAAATTGATAATCACAGAACCTTCAAATTATCACCGATTACTTATTTATTAGTACTTAATACCTTCTAGAAATAGTACAATTTTCAATATATTCTGGTGTTCTTTGAATTATTTATAGTTTATTGAAATTCATTCTTTTTCTATTTAATATAGTTACAAAATTTTGCTATTTCTATTTACAGCATTAAAATTTGTTAAAACAAGAACAGTTTCAATTTTCATTTATCAAAAATATGTATAAAACGAATTAAGCCTAGAATCGTTTTTCGTTGGCAATTATTTAGCGTTGCATACAGTATACATACTAAATTACATATTATAATATATATTCCTCTTTCCAACTTCCCACCTATTACAGTGGTCTTCTCACTAACATTATCTTGTACAAGGCGCACAATATATACCACAATTTAGTATTTTTATTCAGCGGCTTCAGAACGCGGCCCCCGGATGGACCACTTTGTATGATTACAAAAAAATTCTGTTTTACATTACATATCATATTTTTAAATATATAGAAATACAAAGAAATATAGAGATCATATTTATATTTTAGATTCTGATTGTTTTATAAGGATGTTTATTTTTTTATTATTTGAACACTTTTTCTACAAGAAAGTTCACTTCAATGAGTCCGATGTATACGATGTAGGCCTATTTCTAAAAGGCGATTTTCTTGGAGTGGTACTTAAGGGAGGTAATTTTTCGATTTTCTTAAGAGTTTTCCCAGCAAATGTGAAAATCAGGGAAAAACAGGAAAATCGGTACAATGTTAAACAATTGTTATTAAAGAAAATATATAATACCTATTCAATTAAGTAACATTATAATCTCCATGGCTTAATACGCCACTGTTTTTATTGTATGTACTAATCTAAAATGCCATATTTTCATCAATATATATTTCAGATATTGTTCTAAATGGTCTTTACGATTTTTTTTTATTATTTGACTATTTTAAAAATTTGTTTGGACTTACGTGTTTGTTTTATGGACGTATGGGCTCTTATAGAGAAATTTCTAGACGTTTATTATTATTATTATTATTGCGTGGAGCAAGAAATTAAAATTAATTGATTTTTTGTAAATTTACAAGGAATTACTATTTTATATTTTAGAGTGCTCCAAAATATTATCATTCTATGATTTCAATTAATTTGTGTCAGTAAAAATTACAGGTATAATATAAGTAACGTTTTTATTAAAAATATTACCAATTAATGCCATCATATTTGTTATAACCGGGAATAACAATGTTTATATGTTTACACATTACTTTGTGTATAGTATTAGGTAAAATGATCTATTTAAAAAGGCTATATTTTGAGCATGCATTAATTAGGTACTTATTTAAATGCTTAATATATCATTGATGTCATATTATATATTAAAAACAGTTTGTTAACTGATATACGATATCATGTAGGCCATAATAATTGATTAAAAAATTCGAATGCATTTTATGTCAATCGATAATATATTATGTACAAATGATTAAGATTAATAATGTCTGCCTACAGTAATTCGCATGTAATTTCTGATGAAATTCCCAGTGAGTGCGATTGAAAAAAAAAACAGCCAATTACGATGCTCCAATGGATAAACATATATTGTCAATACAATGTATTTTCGAATATTATCACTAAAAAATACGTTGCTCTTTAGAACATGTTTTATCATTTCGATGATAATACTCGTATCAACGGCGTTGAATTACCGAATACCCGATTATATTTAATTAATAATTATTATATAATATTTCAGTCGTGTTAAATATTTCGGTAGACCTAATCCTACAATGGCATACATCAGGTACTTACTGCAGTATATTTATGGGATTATACGGTATGGTTTTTATTGTTAAAATCATAAAAAAATTTTTTTTAAAGTCTGTGAAAATTAACAATAATTTATGAAGGCTTATTTATAAAAAAAAAAAAAAATTAAAATATGGTAGGTATTAAATTGTCGGTTAGTTTTTCAACGATATTAATATTATTATATTTGTGTTTTATATCGGTAAACAAATCGTTTGTTTAAGTTTAATTTCTATAAAATTCTTTAATGTGGAAACACATAATATTGATTATTATGAATATCTATTATTTTATAATAAAATATAAAGTAGAATAAAAATAGAATAAATATTTATTTGAATAAAATTTAGTTTCTAAATATAATAACGTTCAAACACAAATTGTACTTTCTTGACAACATAAAAAAAAAGCAGTTAAAATGTGTATATAAATAGGTAATACATTTAAAACTAATACTATAATAATGCGTTACCCGCTCTTCGATTGTAGCTTTAATCACTACAATGTGCAGAGAACTTATACTATTGGGCGTGTTCTGTATTTTGTGATCTGTCTGAGTATATAAAGAAAAGCGAATGTAAATTCAGGCACATTAAGTCTCTGGAAGAGTTCTTGTTATTTTAAACAATTAATCGTATAGTGTAAAATAGTTAAACAAATTTTCTATGAAAATGGAAACTTTAATCAAAATTAAAAATGGCTTCGCATCTCTGGAATTGCAGTCGTATTATAAAATGGTATTTAGTTACATTTAAAAATATCAGAACAATGATTAATAAACACTTATGTATTCAGTATGTTAAGGTTTTAGTTTAAACTATCTGAACTAACTATTTAACTATACGATGCCTTAACGTTTATGTTTTAAAAATTTATTTTTTAGTTAGCTCTCAATTTCTTTTACTTTTTCATAGTTTTAATTTATTTTGTTTAATATAGAATGTATCTAACCAATTATTTAATCCTAACTTGATTTCAGGACAAATTTGGCTTCGGTAAAATGGACGATACTAATAAGCCATTATGCTCGTACAGTATAGTACCTATCACTTCCGACGACAAAGAGACAGTGGCTGCATTTCTAAGACAATTCTTTTTCCGCGATGAACCCTTAAATGTAGCCATACAGCTACTAGAAGAAACTGATTCGGCGACAAAACTCAAGAATTATTGTATTGGTTACTTACAATATGGTTAGTTTTATATTGTAGTATAACTGATTAGTTTCATACAAAACATTGACATCACGTCATAATATTTAAAAACAATACATTGTTGTAGTCGAATACTAGCAAGAAAATTTGTAAAAAAATCTAAATACTTTATATTAGTTCAAAAATATAATAAAATCTCTATACTGAAAAGTACAATATGCTTAAAATAATAAATTGAATTGATTTTTCCATTAAATATAATAATATAAAAATCAGTATTATATTTTTATTTATAAATATTAATAAACATTTAAATGATTAAGTATAAAATTTGCATTTTTTTTTTATTGCATTCAAGGAATGACATTCATGGCATTGTCTAAAACTGGAGACATTATGGGTGTGATTTTGAACAACATAATGCACAGAGACGACGTAGAAGAAGACGATGACGATGTCGGAACTTGTAACGAAAATTCTAAGTTTAAGGAAATCGCAATGCTTTTGGACAAAATCAAACGGGAAGCAGACGTTTTTACACACTATCCAACTGTAGATCGTATATTGGAAATAAAAATTGTGACCGTAAACGAGGCATACAGAGGCCAAGGAGTATGCAAGGCACTTGTCGATAAAACCAAGTACAGTACAACAAAATTTACTAACAAGCATGACAATTATTATGATTATTACTATAATAATGTTCTTAGTGTAACAAAAACCGCGGTAGTATCGGATTATTTTTATTGACGCAGGCGAAGTCTTACGAGTATTTTTCAATAACTTTCCAATTATATTTTATTGTATTTAACTTTGTTACATTACAATAATGAACCATTAAAATTACAATAAAAAATAAATAGAATTAAAAACTCGTAATCGAATTTGAACGTATAGGTATTTAAACTTAAAATACATGCTAAAATCTTTTGCGATATATGAAAAACTCAAAATGTCTAATATTTCATATGAAATGTATACAATATGAATTATTTATTAAATTTATAACACTATTAAATTATAGCCATCTACGTTAAAAATTTGATTAAAATAACGATACTAATATTGCAGCTTTTTCAATCTAAAATAATCGCACTTTCGACATAATCAACATAATCAATACAATAGTATAACAAATATTAACTTTTATTAACTGCTTTGGATAACTCGCGTCAACAACGAATAAAAACAAACTAACAGTGACACATGCCCAACAAAACTCGTTACTTCACCCGACCTATCGGCTTTTCAGATATCGAAATTGTATAAATACTTTGATAAAACGCCACGCTATTCCCATGTCTTCCCTGATTGAATATTCACTAACAATTACAATAGAATATTAACATAAACGTTGTCTAAATATGTGATAAACGGCGATTTTTGGTAAATATATAAAATCAAAAATATAGCTCGCTTAATTGAAAATCACGTGAAACTAATCCATCATTTGCCTAAATTAATTTATTAAGTCATAGAAAAACAAAATTATTAACGTTGAAATCCGAGTCCAAATAACGTTATAAAAAAAAAAGATCCATTTTAATATGAATGAATACATGGGGACAATAAAGTATCTGTTTTTTTTTTTTATTATTTTTGTAAATATTATTCATATCTGTAGCACCGCCGATACAAAAACCATTGCAAAAACTACAACTTATATGCCATTTCGATTTTCAGAGAACTAGCATTGGAAAAGGGATGTAAAATGATTTATGTGGAATGTACCAGTCATTTTTCTGCCAAAGCCGTCGAGAGACTTGGATTTAAATGCATATATTCGCTGGACTATGCCGACTATGCGAACGAACAAGGTGAAATTGTGTTCAAAACACAATCTCCACACAAACACGCCAAAGTTTTTGTATTACTATTGTAATAATGAAAATACTATTCGATTTGAACCCATATATATACCCGCCCATTTACCTTAAAATGAACAATATTAAAGTATTTCAAAATACACCTACTGTTATTATTGTAAATAATATTGTTCAACGACTTTATATTATATTGTACGAATCTATTCAAAAGTCAAAATTATTTATCCACATAAATAAATATATATATATATTACTTTATTTACATATTATACAAATTGTTGGTAATATTATATAAAAAAAAAAAAAAAATGTACTGACTTTGCTTTGTATACGTATATTATTGTTATATTATTTATATCTCATTCAAAATATTATACAATATATATTATATATTATATACTTATCTTTACATTTTTTATATATATGTGTTTTGTTAAATTTTAAAATAACGGAAAACTCGTGGTTTTTATAATACAAATAATATTATGTACTATGTAATATAAAAAAAAAAAAAAAAAACTAAACAAATTGTGTAAGACGCGAGTACAATATTATTATAATAAACTATAATTAAGAATATCTATTTACCTATATATTACAATATTGTGATTAAAATTATTTAAAACCAATCATAATATTAAATACGATGCAATTGTATAATTCATATTTATTGTAGATACTATATTTTTAATTCGTGCCCCGAAACGCATTAAAAGTAAATAAATTATAAAATAAATACGCTTACCTAGTAAAAATGAAAAGCCAACACTATAAATGAAAACGTATTGTAAATTAGGAGTTGATTTCGGTAAATGACAATAAGATAAATCTAACAACGTTAAATTTTGTATCATTGGACAGTTTCATGTTTCATAATTCATTTTTCCCTTTTTATATAACTACACAGTGTACGGTTATATGAATGTAATCTATTATACATCTATTATACGTTTCATATTTTTTTTTTGTTTTATATCCAAAAGAAATGTTGACAAAAAATTGCGAGCAATAGTTAACATATTATAAGTAATATATACAGCCAGGGACGGTCAAACGGAGAAGGGGGAGATATTCCCCCCTTTATCTCATTTTTCTTAAACATTTATAATAATATATATTGTATTATATCTATAGTTACCAAAAAAATAAATAATAATAGTTTTTAAAAATTATCCTTACCTCCCCCCACCCATAACAAAATCATTTGACCGACACTGTCTATAGTGTAGATATACACTATAGCATATAATCTTTCGGGCTCATTAATTAAAATCCGTTAAACATTATTGAATACATTGATAATTTAAAATTATTTTTACACCAACTCAGTGTTCAGCTATTTACGTGGTACAATATGTATATTTTTCGAAAATTGTCACCAATTTATTGTTATTTATTATTGGTTCTCATCGGTGTTGGATTTTCATTAAACATTAACATTACATAAAACACTCGGGATAAATATTTTAAAAATTTAGAAAATTATAATAATTTTAAAATACTACTACTAGATAATACGTTTTCATTTTTAAACCGTAAACAAACATTGTAATATTTCGCTAAACGAATATTATTAATGTTAATGTTCCAACACGTTCTAAAAGGGAAAGTCGTTGCTAATACAGAAACTTTCCCAAGTTCTACGCGAAATTATTTTTTTAATAAAATCTGACCATAATATGCATTATGTATCTTATAATAAATATATTAGTACCTAATTATGAATACTGCACTATGTGCATGACAATACGTTTAAATTAAAAAATTATGTATTAATATTATAATTAATTCTATGAGAAATTATCTAATTAAAGTTATCGTGCATTTGAAATAAATTAGGTTTAAAGATATTATTGTAAACATAATGTAACTTACATTTAACATAAATCATAAATAATTAAACGTATACAAAAATTATATTAAACAATGTAATGTTACTCACTGGTTTAAAAATATTTATCGTAAAGTCTAAAACAATCAATATATCCACTATTGTTAATTTTTTGCTATTATTTATATACGTACCACAATAGTATTTATTTATAAACTCGTTATATATATACATATATCAGTACTTTGTATTTATTATCAATTATCTTTAATAACAACATGCCACTATCAAATTCATTTTAAAAGTTAATATTGTAACGTTAATTTTTTTTTTTTTTTTTTGTAAACCTGATTGCAATCTTATTATCGAGTATTGAGAAAAAAGTTATAAAATATAATAATGATAAAATTATTTATTATATATTATGCTTATTATTTATTTATATTTGTTATAGTATTTATTTAATTTATTTTCATATAATTAATGAGTATTGTTAATAATATGACAATTACTGGTGTTAAATTATTATTTTAATAAATTAATAAATACATAATTTGTTTTGTGGTATTTTTGGTCTGTTAAATTCTTTCTGGATCAACAGAGCTTACACTCGTGAATTAGAGTTTTTTTTATAGACGGATTGAATTTCAATATAAATTTCACATTAGAGTGAGGTGTTTTTATTTTTTAGCCTTAAACAGCTTTACACGTGTAGTACCGATTTGCCGATAACTCGATTTACTGATACCAATTCACCGACACCCGATAAATTGACTTAGTTAAAATTGAATTATACGTATTTATAAATAAAAATTTAATTTTTTATTGATTTAAATTATTTATACAAATCTGCACGAACATTGTTCAAGTCAACTATAATCTAAACAGGGTGATTCACTAAGCGAGCTCACACCATTTTTTTGGTTAAATTTTGCATATATTCAAATTCTAATTCATGAAATTGTTAAGTGTATTTAAAGCCAATATTTTTTAATGGTGAGATATTTTACAACATTTAAGGAATATTCTGTAGTGAAACCAACTTAGGTTTTTTAAACGAGAATTAATATTATAAAATCCATAAATAGACGGAGTAATACTTTAAATACATTTTGGTTGTATACATACAATTTTGATTTCCGTTTACCCTTTGACGAGATATTGCATGGGATTTTCTCCCAGGTAGGGGGGGGGGGAGTAGTGGAGCATTAATAAAATTTATTTAAAGTAATACTCCGTCTGTTTATGACATTTTTAATAAAAGTTCTCATTTGAAAAACCAAAGTTGATATCGCCACAGGGTACTCCTTAAATGTTGTGAAAAATCAAATTACTCGAAAATATCGCTGATTATATAAAAGTTGAAATATTTATCTTTTTTTAAAAATTATAAATGTATTTTCATTTTTTNAATAGGGTGAGCATACCTAGTGAATCATTCTGTATATAAAATACCTAACCATACAAGCTTCTGTTTTTTAAATAAAAATTAAACATTGCGACGGATTCCCGTGCATTTTTGACATCATAACATTATTTGAATCTTCTCTGCATATTGCTCAACCCCCACAATTAACAATACATTTATAGTAGTGGTTAGCAGTGGCGTATCCATAATTTTTGTTTTTTTAGGGGGTGGGGTTAATAAAATGTAAAAAATGAAATTATTTTGAATTTTGTGTGTATTATAATCATACATTAAATATTTTGTTACTATTTTAAAGCGCTGATTATATAAAAGTTGAAATATTTATCTTTTTTTAAAAATTATAAATGTATTTTCATTTTTTGTTTTGATGTTTTAGCAAGTTTATCTATAACATCATTGATATCCACGTTGATATCGCGATGAATATATTTTAGTAAAGCTAAACTATTTAAACGTATTTGTCAAGAAGAATTTTTCAAATATGTTTTCAAACGACGGAGTGTTTAAAACGATCGTTCTCCCGTAGTAGTAGACGCTGGAAGTGTTATGAATATTTGAAGAAGTTTTTTATTTCTATCTTAGATAAAATACAATCAAAGTTATTCAAAACAATCCTGTGCGATATAAATATTTCGTTCAATTAGTTTAAACGATTACCTATAAAAGGTATGAATACTTAAAAAAATATTCTGGATTATCTGATTTAGATTGACGTGGCAAACTAACAGTAATATCAAATTTTTCCCAGACAGTTATTACAGATAAAAACAATTGTTAAAACTTCACATAATAATTTTCTCTAATATCCTGAATATTATTTTGAACATTAGCAGCTTCTAATACAGTTTTTAAATCAAGATTTACTGTTTGAAGATATCGGCTAAGTGAAATATTTATGAAAAGTATTTTTACTAAAATAGATAAAGCTGTTTGAAATTTTAACTGTTTTATCGCAGTAAGAAGATGATTTGTAGAACTAGATGTGTTAGAATCTGTTCAAAGTGTAATTTTATCTAGTGCATTTAAAATGGCTTGCTGAAGTTCTGCAAATAATATAACTATATTAATATATATAAGCATCATGGTGATCGACCCATCGAGTTGCACATAGATTGTTTAGTTTAAAACGATTAGTCTGTGGATATACTTCTTCCATTAATAATTACAAAATACTTTATCTTTTTTGATAACCAAAATCGATAACCGATGACCATAGAGCTACCTATTATTATAATATACACGCTACACTGAACTGGACTTGTATATTATTAATTTTTATTATTTGTGTAAACTGTTAAGTGTAATAACACTTTATTCTTTTTTCAAACTATTAGTATTTTTTTTTTATTTCGAAGACATTTCGGGGGGGGGGGGGGGGTATAACTCCCCTGGATATGCCACTAGTGGTTAGAACCTCTAACTCTATTGATTCAGTGTATACAATTATCCAATACTAATAGTTGGCCATCACGCTCAGAATTAATAATAAACCACAACATTTTAAATTTAATATTATGAAATAACTAACGATGCAATGATTATTGTCAACTGACAATATCATAGTGTAATTTTATCAGCACTATTTTGATTGTAGATTGTAAAATTATAGACAAACACAAATTATTTTTGTATGTCGTGAAACAACGACTTATCGGCGAATTGGTACTTGTTACTTTTTTCATTTTTACCGGAAACTGGTTTCCACGTCGGCGAATCGGATGTCGGCGAGTTGTACCAAAACCTTCCCTACATACCCCGCAAATTAAGCAAGGGAGCAATATAATTTTGTGTATACATGGTATCAGTATGTGGGATATGCATTTTGGGAGTTTTAACCTTTTACCCCTACCATACCATTTTTTTTGTTCAAAGTTCATTCAACATTTGAAAACAGTATAGTTTTAATGGCAGTGTAGTGTTGTATTATTATTTATTACAGTATTCGATTATTTATTGTTTTATTTATCGTTACTTTGTTTAACTTCAATAGAAATATACTTTAGTAGTTATGTACATCGTTTATCGTAAAAATAATTACCTGCCTATGACATTATTTTCTATAGTTATTTAATTAGTTGTTCTTCGAATTTTTAAAAGAATGTAAAACCTTGTAGTTAGGTAAAATCGTTTACATGTGTGTATAAGATATTGCATCGTATTAATTCCTAGTCTCAATCCAAGTAAAAATATAATTTATATATTTTATATATAAATAGGAAATCGTGTATTTACAAATACTTGTATATAGCTTTATTTAATCAGCGAAAACAACGTATAATATACAATTTATAAGAAAAGAATATACAATAGAACACATTAATAGAAATACTGTATATTTACTACAGTAAGTTAAGTTAACACAACTTACAGTTATAAAAATATTAAAATTTGATAAAGTCTTATTAAAAACACACATATTTTGTTTTTATTGCAAAAATACAAATTGTTTATTTCATGCGTTGTTATTTATTAGTTTACAATGATTTTTAGTATTTAACTGACAGATATTTAACTTTATACCTATATAATGTATAGTTGTGTTTAACTATACAATTATATAACTAATGTAATTTCTATGTTGTATAATTTATTCATGCCCTTTATTAATACAAATTGAAAAAAACTGTGTGGATATAATTTTAGGATACTTATTATTATTCCAAATTATAATCTCCTATTTTCTCCTGATTTTTTTTTTTTTTTTTGTCTTTTTTATCCACTAATCCCCTAATCCACTCCTCTTAACTTTTCTCTTCTTTAGGAACAGAATAAATAATCATTATTCATTATGTGTTATGTAGTTTGTTATACAAATATCACTCTGCTATCTTCATTATTTACATACAGAATAATTGCTTACTCAGTGACCTTGAACTATATTTATTATGTGAATTTAATATAAACGTTTACTTTACGTAGCAGTTATATGTATAGATAACATTTCATATGTTCCGTGTACCGTACAGAGTATAGACGATATCTATTCTATGACGCAGTAATCTTTTTTTATTTATCTAAATCGTTTTTGTTTCAGTTATAATAATATTGTACCTACTTGTTTTTAAAGTATGTGCAATTTGTGTTTACGAATATAACAAAATTAATTTTTTATTAATATGCATTAATTTTTAATTTATTTTAAATCGTAAAAGATTAAATTGCACGTTTTAAGTTATACAAATTATAAACAATACAATATAAAACAATAAAAATAATAATTGTAATAATATTATAAAAACAATAACTTTATAAAACAACAATAATATGTTTTTTTAGAAGTTAATTTAACAATATACCTGTTTACAATTATTAATCGTACAGTGAATAAATGTTTATTCCTATATTTGGTGTTAACTTATGAATATTTTCGTAACTGACAACCGAAAATGAATAATATTTGAGAAGAAATAGCGTGGAGAATTAATAAGGTCATTTGGATATTGGTGTTCATAAATCAAAGAAAAAAAAACCTGCATGTAAGACATAAAGCATTGAAGGCATTATTTATTTTTATTTTTTTTTTTTTTTTTGGGATAGCATACGAATACTTTTCAAGAAGGAGACAAGGTTTTATATTATTATTATATTATTCCTGTGAAGTGTTCGGTAGAATATTAATGACAATAGTAACAGTTAGCTACATTTTCAGTTACTAATATAACCTTTCAGTAGTCATATGTACAAGATACAACGATAGCTGAACATTATACTTCAACAAGTATAAATTACTTCAATAGATCCAATAATTGTTTTAAAACACATTGAGTAAGTCAAATTTTAAAAAAAATAAATACGTTTAAGTGGATCTTAAGGCTATTTGATTACCATTTATTAAAATACCTATAAAGTACCTGTAGTTTACCTTTTATAATATAATTTGTTAAATAATTAATATGCTACTCGTATAAGAATATCGTGTAACATTTATACTTTATTATTTAGCAATATGTGCCTATAATATAATATTTTTTATGAAAAGAGGTGTAGTTAAAAGTTATATTTTTCAATAGGTAATATTTGAAATTCAATTATTTTTACCGAATAAATTACAAACACTATTTGCACAAATCACGAACATCAAAATAATATAATTTTGCTCACGACTTCGTATCAAATTATATTTGTGTACATCAAAATGTATTGTCTAAACAAAAATATTCTTTGGAATATCGATTATTTTTGGTTCACCACTTTAAAAAACGGTAAAACGTAACCATTTTATGTGTATTATTCAATCGAATTGAACGTTAAATAGATATCTACACGTTTTATAAATATTTGTTATGTTTAATACAGAAATGCACCTTGGTATGTGTAATTATATAGCAATGTTTGATGTGAGGTAGCGTAATGCTTTATCGTAGGTAGGTACCTACCGAATATAAAAATGTGATAAACATTACTTATTAGGCATTTGTTTTATTTTTTGATAGAGTCATGCTGATTATTTATTTTAAATACATATTTTATTATAAGCTGCAGTTTGTACATTATCTCCATAAAACTAAATTATGTTGATTACATGTAGAGATATTTTACAAACGTAATAGTTCACTATTATTTAACACGTTGTTATGGACAGGAAAACAAATTAATTATTAGAAATCACTCGTAGGTTGACGACGGAGTAATATGATTCTATATGATTTATGCTTAAGGCCAAAGAACGATAATAGGTAGGTAGTGTTGTTAGCTGCCGTTCATAAAATCACGAAAAACAACATGAATCGAATAGGTAGGTACCCACTTTTTTTTTTTTTATAATAGCTGTCGTACATTTGTACACCGTGATTGATATAATAATATGTATCTTTCCTCGATCATGTTCCTCAATTCTATTATCATTTGAACAAATTGTGTAGAACGTAATAATTATAGCCTTTTTATTCCCGACTATGATTTTCGGCAATTTATTTACGTTAAATGTATGTATCTATAAATTTTTCAATGACTTTTGTGTGCTTGAAATTCGTCAGAATTAAATCTGTATTTAATTACAAAAATCGATGTGTTTTATAAAAACTGTAATTACCTATTATATTAAAACTTCAATAATATTGGTAAATTATAATTTAAATAAATATAAAATATATTTTCAGGTTCATAAAATATATTATTATACCTACATATACATAATATTCGATACATTTAAAAAACTAAAATGTTACAGTATTATAGAACCTTTATTTATTTAAGTTATTTATTTAAAATTACCTATACCTACAAACTAACGAGTTATAATTTGTTTAAAGATATTTTATAACAATATCACTATAAAATAAGATGTAAAAGTATACCTATATCTAAAACAGTGTATCTACATACAAATATTTGAGTTCACTAAATTAATCATTTTTCAAGAACTAATATTTTGATAAGTAATGTTTCAATAAGTGCATATTAATGGAAGTAAACATACTATTCAAGTATATAAATTAGGTAGGTATTTAAACCAATACAACTTATTTACTTATATTAATTACATATTATGCAATATGACTTTTATAATATTAAAAAAAAAAAACGAAAACCGGGAGATAAAACAAATTATCTTTTTCTTTAATATCGAATTTCTATTATGTAAATCAAAACTAAATGGTGTATTGTCTTTATTCGTTTAAGAGAAAATATACATTTTAATTACGATACCACATTAATATTCATGACCAAAATAATAATATTTAATAATTAGATAGATATGAAAAAAAATACATTTCAAACCAATTTCATTTTTATATTTTGTAAAAATTAAAAACTAAAATTCACAATGCATTAAAGAACGAAATAAATAAAAATAACTGAAAATCGTAAAACTAAATGAAAATATAAAAGAAATCCAAGTACGATATAATCAATAATAATATCAAAATTTAATAAATAAAAAAAGAACAATGTGGAATCTTGGGATTAATAAATTTAAAATTTAATATCGGCAATTAATTACCGCAGTACATTGCATTTGAAGACTAATGAAAAAGAGACAGTTACTTGAAGTGAAAATTAAAAATAAAAATCCTTTTTGTGTTATTTTCGTTTAAACCTCATTAAATCGTCATTGGTGGAAATACATTTCCGAAAGAGTGAGCAAAAGTAAAAAAAAAACATCTAGGGTGGCAGTATATTATTAGCTTTCCTCGTTCACTACATGATGGATAGCGTTAGTAGTGGACGAGACTCGAGATAACAAACACATAGGTATTTTTATAGTTGTCTAAAATCTCATGTTTTATTTATACCGAATTTTATTTTATTAAATATTACAATATTGCCATTATATTTATATTTATATATTTATTTTAGAAAAACAAATAAACATACCACCACAAAATGAGTGTAACAACGAAAACTGAAAATACTCGTAGTTTTACTATCGCCCCGATTATTCCGACGGATAAAGATGTCGTGATTAAGTTTTTGTTAAAATTCTTTTTCCGGGACGAACCTTTAAATATATCAATGGAACTGATGAAAGAAAAAGACCACCTACTTGGACACATCGAATGTCACTATACCAAGTTAATGGATAATGGTGAGTTATAAAAATAGTTTTGAACAATATTATTATAATAAAACGCGTAAATCGTATTATAATATTTTAATTAAAATATTATGTTTCACTGTAAATAAATTTGTACATGCGTTTCCAAATAATAACACACAACTCATAATATTATTTAATTTACATGAAAATATCCATGAATAATTTATGCATTTTACGGCACGTGGCACGGTTCAAAGCCAGTTATTATATTTATTTATTAGGTATATACGCACACACATATAATTGGAATTAATATTTTATAATAAAATAATAAAGAAAAACAAAATTATTAAAATGGTTAATACTCATAAATAAATAAAGTAAATAAATATATAAATAAAAAATGTATACACAAAAATAAAATAAAAAAATGAAACAATACGTCGCCTGGAGTATTAGACAAGTGTATTATACGACCGGTTTCGAATTAAAAATTCATCAGGTATATCACAGTCAAAATGTAAAACGCGACTGAATATAAAAAATTAAATGAAGGAATACGTAGAAAAAAAATTTACAAATTGGTCGTTTTACATAAAGTATAGAAATAATTTATTTTAATAGGAGAGATTATTTAAAATGTAGTATTATTATATCATTACACTATATATATATTATTATCTAATTATATAATTATATGTTAAAAAATATAAATTATTTGATTATTTATTATCTAAAATGTAGTGATATAAGATATTATTTTTAAAATCGGTTTGAACATTTAAAATATTGTTAAAATTATTTTTCTTTATTTCATTGTGTATGTGTAATTCTTCTAAAACTGAATTAATGTAAATGTTATTTTTGGTGTTTAATATTTCTTAGTCTATATTAATATCAAAAATTATACTATTTTTATTTTCTAAAACGTGTTTAACGAAATTTGAACTAGGGGCAGTTTTTTTAATTTTATTTCCGAAATGTGTTCTTAATAATCGTTTCTTATCATAATTATCAACACGAGCTCAATATTATCTATAATATTGCCCATAGAAATAATTTCAATTTAAATACTATTCAAAAAATTCATAAATGTATTAAAGAAAAAATAACACACAATTCATCAAATAATGTTGTTAACTGTTGCAGTATAAAATATCAAAATAATATGTCTAACGAATTCGTTCAAATTCAGAACAATAATACAAATAATGTAAACATCGCTTTTAAGACTAATAATAATTTAATTAAACATATAAACAATAGAACACAACATTTCACGAAAAATCCCCCTTCTTTTGAAAATGCTGGTATATATAAACTTAAATATAACTGTTAGAAATTTTATATAGGTAAGATAAATAGAAATTTAAAAATAAGATTTAAACAACACATTTCTGAAATAAAATTAAAAAAGATTGCCCCTAATACAAAATTCGCTAAACATGTCTTAGAAAATAACCATAATATAAGTTTTGATATTCATACAGACTTAGAATGGAATAAAGGAAAATAATTTTAATAATATTTTAAATGTTCAATAAGCAACCATTATATGAATTAAGTAAACATATGTTAGAGAATATATTACATAAGAAAAATTACATTTTAAATATTTGTCTACACATTATGTATCAACACTTATGAATAATGTTAAAAAAAAAAACAAGTTTAGCCGTTACAGTTAAAGTTAATTGCGAGTTCTAAGTCTTTAAAAATGGAAATTAAAATGTATTAGGTGTCCACACACATTTCACCCAAATGATATGTACAAACTCGCCATAACGATAAAGTATTTTGTGTTATTCGCCCAAAATATGAAAAACCACTTTATTTTTTAATCCGTGTAAAATGTAAAATACATTGCTGATACACATTAACGGCTCCACATCAGTAAGTACAACGACCAAAGTTTAAATTACCTACACAATAACATGTACGATGTATCTAACTAATTATTGTTGTTTTATTTAAAATTATACGTCACCTAATTTAATTATAATTAGGCCTCAGAGAACCTATAATATTATACCGTACTGTATGCATAATACATTAAATGTTAAAAGTTTTACCAGTAAAAAAGCCGACTTACAGATGGCAACCTAAAAAGCTTTTTCTACGTACTTGTATACATATCTAATAAAATTCATAAATAAAACATGTAAATTTAATATTCTACAGTTTATATCACTAAAGGTGCTTGCATATTTGCTATACAGTCGTATACAATTTGTAATGTGTGTGCGCGCGCGCCCGCTCTCGCGTATGTGTGTGTATGCGTTTTACTATTTTTCCAATTTGAGAGGGGGACGGTTTAATTAAAAATAAGTAATTCTTTTTACGTCTAAGTAAACGATTTGCAGTAAAACGTTAAACAAATTCAAGCCAAGTATTTTTTTTTTCTTGTAGCACTGAAATAGCCACCAAATGAATAGTTTTTAGTGAACATAATATAATATTAACATGTCCTTTGATTAAATATTTAAGTATCATTTATACCGGTAGAAGTTGACATTTTATCCCGACCAACGATTATCCCTGCGAGTAAATTTAAGTAAATTCAATCCTGAGTTTTTCAATAGGTATACCTATATTATATTATATTTACTCGTATTCAAAATATATTCATAAAACTCTTCTTTTTTCTTATTTAGTATACATATAAAATAAATATTAATTTAGCGGCCCTTTTGTAAACAAAACAACAGCGTATACATAAATTTACGAATAAATATAAATACATATAGGTAGGGTTATAAATAAAATATATCAGTAATTTTCGGAATACATAAAATATAATATAAATTATGATATAAGTACATCCCAAATGTGAAATATGAAATAATTTAAAGGGGTACACACCTAAGCACTATAATAAATCAAATATGCCTACAGGATGCGTATAGTTAAGTGTGATTCCGTGTTATTTTTTTTATACAGTCATATTTTAATGCGTGTTTTCTGTTTCGGTCAAAAATATGACAACTAAAATGAATAGGAAATTAAATTAAGCACTTCGAGCGGTGATATAATCAATTGTGAACAAGGTCGAGTTGAAACGATAATAGAGACGCACTGACTTGTCGCCATGGCGACCCGGAAATGAAAAAAAAATAATTCCTTAGTCCCGGAAAGTTCTAAGGGCGGTAGTTTCACGCTTCTGATCACCGAATTATACTCTCGAGATTCTATTCCTTAAACCGTTTTCACAGACGCCACGACAAGTATAACATTAAGGTAATATTCATCGATTACGGTTTTTTTTCTTCTTATTTTTTTTATTTACATAAAGCACGTATTAAATTTAAAAATCGTTATTTATCAAAAAAAAAAAAAATAAAACTGAATTATTTATTTATCTCTTATTACAAGTGTAGGTTCCAGTATAAAATGTATATATTATTTTAAATAAAACAGTTACTTGAAATCTTTTATTATATATATAACGCGAAATATATTACGTTTACTTATCAGTTTTTTTTTTTTTGATATCTATGCGATTGGGTGTGGCGAAGTACAAAAAAAAGACGCATTCATTAATATCAATAATATATACATAAATAATTGCATTTATTAACATTCGTAAAATATCTGTTGTAACTAATAAGCGAATTTATTAAATTAATACGAAATATGATCATAGTATTAATAATACTTATGATTATTTTAAACCTTAATTAGGAATGTATTTATTTATTTCTTGTGGGTATATTTTTCTGAAATATAAGTCAAATTTAATTAAATAGTATCAATTTACTATTATAGTAACATTATAAAAACCAAAAATTCGTTATTACATTAGTACTGCATCTATACTATAATAGTTTAATCAATCGTTGTTAATAATAAATAAGTTTAAAAAAATATTAAATTTTCAGACGTAAATTATTCAAAAATCGTAGAAAAATGAGTGAGGTCAACAAATACGCTTTCAGCGTACTCCCAACCACTGCTGAAGATAAACAAGATGTCATTGCGTTTTTAAGGAAATTTTTCTTCCGCGATGAGCCTCTTATTTTGGGTATAGATATGCTGGAAGATATCGATTCATTAGAAAAACTCGAAACCTACTGTTATAATTTTGTGGACAATGGTGAGCTCAAATTTAAAATATAATACGCTGTAGACTTTCTAAACTATTATAATATAGCTTTTATAAATCAATGAGCTTATATTAGTTTTGAATTTTTAATAACGATTTATGCATTGTTTCACTTATTTTCAAAATATTCCCACACTCACAATCGTTTGATTGTTTTAACCGAGCACCGAATAATCACATAGTAACTAAAACCAAAATTAAATTAAATTTTACTTAAAATATTTATGTAGATATATCTAATCGTCAGCTAGTTTTAATCCAACTCGTGTTATTTTTTACACATTTTTATCAATTGCTCATAAAATTGTTAACATGTACAATTAAAATGTCTTAAAAATGCTAAATAAAAAATGTATAAGTTTTATTTTTAAGATGCTTGCGCGTGACCTTTTTTTTTTTGTTCAAAACATGGTTTATAGGGTGAATCTGCTACCACAAAAAGACATCCGATTTGATTTTTTTTTTTTTTTATTAGAAAGAGGACAACATCTTACAGAGCGCATTTTACTTTTAATTTGATTATGTTACCGAAAAGGCAAAATAAAAAAGTTAAAAAATAGCCAAAAATGTATGATACTCCAACACTAATAAATTATAGATTTTAGAAATGTAATTATATAATTCTTTAATATTCATCAAAATAACAAAAATACAGACCACGCATAGTTCTCTAAGTTAAAAATTCATCCTGGTTAAATATGTCTACGGTGGCTATTTTATGTGCTATATGATACATTATTATTTCTGCGAGTGATAATAATATAATAGTATATTTTAGATTTTGTGTGGAGTCAGGAATGTATTGGTTTTACAATGATGTTGATTTTTTTCCCCTTTTAAAACATGTATAACCGAACTCCGCTCAGAATTGTTTTTCGTTAGCAAAGGATAATCGTTGTGTACAGATATAAATTAAATTTCCCTCCACCTTCCCAACTTCTTATTTACAACAGTAGCCTACCTATTGTGTGAAGTATGTCTGTATAGTTATTAGTTATTAATTAAAACAAGTAGTTTACCAAATATAGATCTTAAAATTGAAAACGTTTTTACTACAAAACAAAATAAACGATACATTTCGATTGAAAATGTTTAATTATACATATGGAATTCACGGAAAGTTCCAAGTACATCAAAATGAAAGGGAAAATGGATTGTTAAAAGTCACCCAAACAAACTACATTATTTTAAAATCACTCGCCCAAACGCATTGTGAAAAATTGCATTGTGTTGTGCAATTTTTCACAAACCATCCGTTAATAATTTATTATACAAGTAGGTATACCTACTTAACTTAATTAAATTTGTATTTATTTATGATTTGTATCTACTAGACATCCATTAATCGCGTCTACCTCCTCCTTCTATATTTCAAGATCAAGTATCCCTAATCTCTTTCGGGTATAAAAAGTATATTATAACCTCCTGGTACTGATAAGGAATCAAACAAAAAAAAGATTGATATAGGTAAAGTTATTCTCAAGATTTTTGATTATACAAATACGTGGTAAGATCGAGAATGGAAGTTAAAACATTCTATATTCCATGGGCTTATCCTCGACAATAATACTATTAAATTTGTAGGCGTATCTATTATTTAATGTCCTGTGAACATATAAAATGTGAGCATAACAATGGTTGAGGAGGGGCTTGAAAGTTGAAACTCTCAAAAGTCACATACTTGATCCTTACACCATACATATATTTAGGGAAGGAGCAAGTAAGGGTATTTAAAGCTTAAAACACCCTCCCCCTGCAAAATAATGGTGAAATTCATATTGAAATCGAAACAACATTAATACACCTAGAAAAAAAAAAAACTCTTATTTCCGAATTTAAGCACATTTGGTCTAGAGGAAAACGCTAACAAAAGTAGTAAGAAAAAGAAATATAAGTATAATATTATATTATAACAGACACAATACATTAATGCAATCAATAGTCTTTCTTTTCAAAGAACATATTTTGACAAATTTCCTAACAAAAATAATGCATTCGAATAAATATCGTCAAACAAACTGTTAAAAACAAAAAATTAATTTGAATGTCATTTATTGCGTATTTGATAAGTTTATGTAAAATAATTGTATATTTCGTACAAATATAAAAGTAATACAGTTGTTATTCAGTAATAATAAATCATTAACAAAGTGAATTTTATTTCGACGTTTAATTGTGCACTTTTCAAACATCAAAATTCGAATTCACGGAAAAATATGTACAACTAAATGCTTAATAAATCCTATTTTAAAATTTAGGACTGGCATTCAAAGCAGTATCTCCAAATGGAGACATAGTGGGTATCGTTTTAAATAGTCTAACTGTCAGAAACGATAACAATGAAGAAAAAATCGAAGACGAAAACGGTCCCGATGATAACACCAAATTTAAGACAATCGGCACATTTTTAGATAAAGTCGAACGAGAAGCAGACGTGTTTACAAAATATCCCAACGTAGATCGTTTAATAGATATAAAAATAATTTCAGTGGATGAATCATGCAGAGGGCAAGGCATATGCAAAGCTCTCATTGATAAAACCAAGTAAGCCAATAAGTATACCTTTACATACACAATAGATATAATTATTACGAGTACTTTATTTAGTGCGAGTTAATTAGTACGAGTATATTATATTATAATTGTCTACAATTTCTATTTTACAAAAACTATAGGCTGTATCTGAATTCCGAGGAGAAAATGCACGGGCGTTCTGTTTATTAAAATATAATATCTGTTTAGACTCATGATTTGCTTGTGATATTCTATCCATCGAATTATAAATGTAACTAAAATGCCGTAGGTAACTAACCTATATCGTAAAGTCTTTACGTAAAATGTGATATTGAATTCGTGAAGCAAAGTATAATTTAATTTACCTAAAATCTGTAGGTGCAATATTTATACACGTACGATTAGTATTATTGTATTAATCTGATAGTTTATCAATAAACAATATATTATTAATAACATGTATATTATTTATGTTTTACCGCATAATATTAATGAAAAATTGTAATTCGGAACTAAATGCCGTTTCATTTTCAGGGAGTTAGCTTTGGAAAACGAATGCAACATGGTTTATGTGGAGTGCAGCAGTTATTATTCGGCCAAAGCTGCAGAGAGACTTGGTTTTGAGTGCATATATACTTTATATTTTCGAGATTATGTCGACGAAAATGGTGAAATTATATTTAAAACTCCTCCTCCTCACGATTCTTCTAAAGTCTATGTATTGAATTTGTAAAACTATAACATATTGAATTGCATAATCCATAAAAAGTATAATTACTAATAACCGCCAATCGCCAAAAAAAAAAAAAAAATATATTTATATAAAATATACATGGTGTCCCACAATGGGTATCCATTACAATATTTCCTGAGATAATAAAGATAGTCAAATTATGGATTTTTTTATTTATATATTGATCGCAGGGATGAGGACTACAAATATTTATATTTCAATTAAATTTTTATGTTTTGGTAAAAAACTAATAATAAACTCTACACAATTTTGATTTCCAAAATTTTTCAAAAATAATAAAATAAAGTTATTTTTTTAGTTTTTTTACCCAAACATAAAAATTTAATTGAAGTATAAATATGTGTAATTTTCATCCTTGCGAGTAATATAAAAACAAAATTTGATAATTTTTATTATCTCCAGAGATATTACAATGGATACATCTTCATGGGACACTCTGTATACATTATAAGTTACTTACCTGTGTAATATATAAATATATACAAATGCTGTTATATCCACTTATTTAAATATTATAATATAAGCATAATATTATACATATATCTCTAAAATAAAAATAAGAATACAACTATAATTCATAATATTACTATTATTATTAACTACCTATTTATTGTTATTTTAAAGCTTATTTACTATATAAATTATGCATTTAATCACAAGGATTAAGCACTTAGGTCAATTTTTTTTGTTTATATAATTTTCTTATTTCAACACTATTCAACAATTTTCTATAATTTTCGCAATTTTTTTCTGAAATTGATCTAAGCTCTCCTTCCTTGGGACCAAAGATATATCTATTATATACCTGATATATTATTTTTAAGCTTGCTATTGTATTTAACAAATATTTATAAATGGAAACCATATTGCTTTAAAATTATACAAATTTAATTTATTCAATATACCTGAGTATTAACTGTACTGATTTTCAATTTTTAATTAATTGTATTTTAGTTTCTTAAACATTAGCAGTTTAGTTCATACTTATATATATCATATAAGTAATATGTATTAGAATACAACCATGAATACGTTTAAAATGATCATAGAGTCTAGATTGGTTATAATTTATATGTTATTAACTGCTTTTGAAAATATGCTAATACTACAATTAGTTCACTTAGAATCTAAAACAAAATACTTATACAAATTTTCGATAAAATGTTGAATCTAATTAAAACAAATTTATTTTCAATATAAAAGATTTTTAAATAATAATAGTTATTGTTGCAAAAAAATAAGATCTAAAGAATTAACTAAGTTTGGGAGTGCGATAAATAGCAACAATTCCTTAAAAGAGCGTCTACCACCTCTCATATTCGATTTTGGTGCCGTCTCTTTGATACCCCCTCTTAAAAATCATTAATAAGTCACTTGTCAATCAAATAATTTATTATGACCTATCAGTATAAGTGTTAGGATATTTTTCTTGATAGGGCCAATAGGAGGCCAACCATTGTAAAATCGAGCCATATCACAGAACACACAGCCCTGCTCCAAAAAGAATAAACCTATTTATTATTAGCTATTTACTAAAATTTAAAATGTTTAGATTATAAGCGCAGTGAGGAATTTATTGATTTTACAATGCCGTGTATTTATAAATAACTATTTTACCAGAAATATTTCTCCAATCAAAAAACGACTAGGAATTTGTTTGTAGCATTTTTAATGAAAATAATATTAAATATATATATTATAGTTGGCTCTAGTTTTATTTTTCAAGCAGTTTTCATAATATTATTCAAAAACATAAAACAAAGAGAAAGTTTACAGAAACAACGGTTTCATCATTATCGCTTTTGTTTTCTAGACGTGGTAAAGTTAAACATTCTGGTGATTTTTGAACCCATTTCTTTTAATATTTTATTTGGTTTTATGTATGTAAAATCGTTTTGGCTGAATATGCTTGAAAATTTTACAGGATGTTCAGAATAAATCTTACTTATAATGGTAAAATAAAGCGTAATATAGTAGTTTGTACATATGTATTTAAAGTTCAAATTTGAATAAAAATTGTAATAAATATGTCAGTCGTAAAACGTCATTAAACGAGTAAATATCGATTAAACCTGATAATATTATTACCGTGATCATTAACCGTTAAAAGGGTTCGTCTGTATTTCAGCACCACGTCGGCGCCAGGTGTTACGAAGCCTAAATGCATAGGCAACTGGTAGGGGGGAGCCTTACAAAATTTTGAATATTTGATGTTCATTTATAAAGTGAAAAAATATTTTAGACAAAACCGGTAAGTGGCGTTTATTCTACACTATTTAATTCAAATTTCCAGGATACTGATGGGCAGCCTACTGATAATGCCAAAAAAAAGTAACGTTATTTATAACGCCCTACCTACTTTTAATAGTAATTTATAAAATCATAACGTAACGTGATGAAAATTAAATTAGAATAATGAGGAAGTACTTTAATTACCATTTTTTGTTGTATTATGTAAAGTTTTTGTATTACAACAAATGTACTAGGTACCCAACATTGACTATATAGGTTAGGTTTAGCCGTTTAGGTATTTATCTAGGTAACTACTACCTATACTTGGTCATTTGAACAGTGCCTACATATTTACTAAAATATAGCCTATAGGTATGGTATGTTGTATTAATTGTTTGTATAATGAATGGTAAAAAATAGGGGGGAAGGATTATGTTTCCCCAAGAACCCAGCCAAGCCCTCCAATTATAGAATTGATAGGCCAGTCCTATAGTTTCTACGCAAGCTGCCGCGTGCCCGCGTTCCTAGAGAGCAGACAATATCTGCTAATATTAAATATTTATATCTCGTGTCTCACAAAGCTGCTTTATACCCACAATGGTTACTGCGATTAATTGTTTGGTTAATGATTTTTATCATCATCACTAATGTGATAATATTATAATTATTATTCTGTTTATATATTGTATTATTGAAAGAAAAAAAAATGTTTTTTTCTTTTTTCTTACTATTACAATGGTTTATCGTTGCGTTATTTGCAAGTCAGCAATGACCAACATGACTTTGTCATTCTATTTGTAAGTATCATTGAATAAAAAAAAAAAGACATCTTAAGACCAAGGTTTTTATATTATAATCTATAAACCTACTTTTAGAACAGTGTTTGGGGACCTGTGATGAGGCAACATGGCTTATCCATAATTTATTATCTATGCCTCAAAACAAGTCCTTATCAAGTAAATACCAAGTACATATTATTATATACCGCGGCTATAGATAATATGGTTGCGGAACGACCTACACTAAACAACACAATACGCCGAGCCGGAATGCTATTAAAAAGTCACGTGCCTGTCGCGTCATCAACGATATTTAATAGAACTCGTACCACGGCTACAGATATTATAATGCAGACAATTATGACATATTAGCTTTCCCGCGCAAATTTACATGTTAAATACGAATTAAAACAACAGTAATAGTATTTGATTTAATTCTTGAAAATGGCTAATTATTGTGTGAAATATCCACATAAAGTTCCAAAAATCACTTTAGGAGTCCCCAAAAACGAATATGAAAAAAATAAATGGGAAAATGCGTTTAAAATTGTTCTTAAAAAAAGTTATAGTGTATGTACTTCACATTTTAAGGAGAGTGACATAGTTTACTTGGGAATCTGGTGGAGATAAAAATAAATGCAGAGTATGAGTATATTATTTAAGTGTACCTATATTATAAACCATTTTTCAATAAATGATAAATTTCTATTTAGATATGTATTAAAGTTCTTAAACTTTTGAATGAAGCAATTCCATCACTATGTAGGATGAAAACTGCCCAATTAAAACTAAAAGAATGAAGGTATCATAACTATCAAAATTTTTCACTTCCTAAAACTAAATTTCTAATTAATATAGGTAATATAAAATTAGTAAGGTACTAGTTTTAGGTATGCGGCTTTCCTATATCTAATGCATGTTGGTAACGTTTTCCTGTAATAGGTAATGCAATTATAATGATAATAGAGAAAAGTGTCTTTTATTATTGTTCTATTTTCCGGAAACAATTGTTTAATATTTTTATTTATTTTGTATAAATTATAATAGTATTATTTTATATTATTAAACGATTAACAATGGCAGACAATTATCAAATCTTCCATTCATAAATACACTATATATCTCGGGGTGAATAATCTTATCAGCTATGTAGCCGTCCAAAATATTGATTTCCCCAAAGATTGAAATATGTGCGCTCTAGGAGAAATTTACTGAAAAACCAATAGTGTTTTGTTTTGAAAACTAGATAGCGTAATACATCTCGTTTAGTTATTTATTTTAATAAAATTTTAAATATCAATAAATAAGAAATTTCAATACTACATAATATATTAATGTTATTATTAGAACCCAGATTTAAATGCACTAAAAATCATTAAAGAATGATCTAAATAAAAGCTAAAAATGCCTTAAAAAAATGCATTCTAGCTAGGAAATGCCCTTAAAAAATGACATAGTTTTTTGAAATTTATTTTTTTAATGAGTAATTTATAATATTTTTATTTTATTTAAAAAAAAAAAAACGAAATTTAAAAAAAATGACTTGTGACTATATAGTGACGATAGTACTGATTGAGGGGCTGTATTTGACTGATTGTCTGGAACACCCGAAAAACAGCAATAAATTTAAATTACTAAGTTGTATCATATAAATTATATACATCAAGTAGAATACATCGATGGTCAAATTATTTACAAATACTACCTATATAATATTGTACTCATATATTGTGCAAATATGCAATAAAACGAAAAATATGACTGAGAAATGCTAATAAATACTCTAAAAATTAAAAAAAAAAAAAAAAAAAAAACCAGTTTATTGGATATTTTTTTAATGAGTAATTTATAATATTTTTATTTTATTTAAAAAAAAAAAAACCAGTTTATTGGATATTTTTTTATAATAACCGAATAGATCCCCTAGTGATAAATTTTTTCAAGTGTGCACATTTAATTTTTATAATAGTATCCGAGATATAAAGATTTAAATGTCAACATTTTAGGGAGACATAGAAAAAATGAAGTAAATATTAATTCGATAAAAAAACAAACTTCATTCTCGTTTTATAAGAAAGCCAACTTTGGTGTGCCGTCTAGATCTTCTAAAACAGATTAGTCAGTTTCTACTGAACCAATCGAATAAGCAATAACAAAAAAACCCATGTCTTCATTAGTTTCAATTTTCCTGCTATATAATTGATAATTTCGCAATGTAGTCCTCTAGTGGCTAGTCCGAGTAGTGTAGTATTACGTTACCAGACTTTAACAATAGGTACTACGTAGGCACAATAAAATATAATACAGGCTGAATTATTTACAATAGACATATTATTAATTATTATTAATTAATTATTAATGTTATTGCCTGCCTATTAATTACGTCTTGCGCATAATTTGTACCAGTATTTACGCTCTTAGCTGTTTAATTAAAACGGATAATTATTATGAAATTTTTATTTTTTTAGATTTAATTTATTTCGACCGGAGAAGACAATGAAATATAAATACTGTCATCCGATGTGTTATTCCCATGGAGTAATTACGCTATAGTTATTCCGGACACCGTTTTATCGCAAAACGCTATCGCATAATATTGTGTACGTTGCCGTTGGCGATTATTGGAAAGCACTACAATATTTTTGTCCACACCATTCAAATTTTATGAACTACGGAATAATAATTGGGAAAATTATTGTACACAAAGAACAGAAACTAGAGATACTTATTATGTAGTGAATTAGATATACTTGTCCCGCTCCGCTTACCCCGGACTGTTGTCTGCGAGGTTAGGTTTTGGATTTTTTTTTTTTTTTTTTTGCTCTAGCCACCATTAAGACATTTTCGTCTCGTATTATTTTCAATTGTTCTCGAGTAATAGTGTCTCGTGCAGTGATTCTGTATACACATCATTACCACAATGTAAAAATTATGTTCGGACGTAATTATATACAGGTTGGAGGTACCTACCCATATTCCACACACAGTATACTTGCACTCAACAGTGTTA